CATTCAGGGGATTTCGATTCTATCATTATAATTAATTAAAAAAAAAAAAAGAAAGAAAGAAAGAACTAGATCCACGAAGACTAAATATAGAAAATTCTTTTTCAAAAATTTCACACTTCATTTTTTTCCAAATATGACTTTTATTTCCTTCTTTCATAAATAAATTTCATAAATTCAAAATAAAAAATAAAAATACTAAATACTAAATTCAAAATTAAAAATTATTTGTCGATTAAAGTTGGACAAATCTTTTTGTTCGGAAAAATCCTTGAATTTACAGAATTAACAACAGACACTTTGTTAATTGCTCGTTTTTTGCTCTTGTGAGTTTATTTCATAAAGAAAAGAAAATATTCTATTTCTTTGTTCCTTTTATTTTATGAAAAGAGTTCAATTAAAATAGTGTCGGTTTTAGTTTATTTAATGAAGAATAAATTGAAAATTAATAAAATATTTTAATATTTCTGGATTTCAATTTTATAATTTTTTTGTATGTCCGATTTTTTATGCCAGGAAAAAATATCAAAAAATTAAAAAATGATTTTGATTTGAATTTATTATTATTTGTTTAATATTATTGTTATTATTATTAGGTATTATTGTTGTTATTATTAGGTATTATTATTATCATTATTATTGTATTATTCGAAATAAATATTAAATTTCTATTTGAATTTGAAAAAAATTGAATTTATATATTTACTAAAAAAAAGTCGTATTTATATTTAATTAAAAATTATTGTATTTATTTAAATTGAATATTTCTTTAAACAAATTAAAATTTATATTTATTTTACTCTAGAAAAGAATTGTATTTATATTTTATATTAATTTTGCATTAATTTGAAAAAACGACAACAAAATATTTTCAGACATAAAAAATCGAATATAAAAAAGAAAAATTACGAAATTAAATTTCTAGTGCAAAAAAAAGTCATTTTTGAAAAATGAAAAAAAGAAATTTTCAAGGGTTGATTATAACAATGACACTTATTTACCTTTTTAATGTGTTGTAAATAAGTGCGGGAAACTTGTCGCACTGTTGTCTGTATATGAAATGAGACAATTATCCTTGAAAATATTCGACAGATAAAACGTGATATCACAAGAGATTTAACACCCTTGCTCATCTTCTAAGAACAACGGGGCTTGCACTGCAATAGTATATACATATGTGTTTGCACACAACAAAAATCGAGCTTGAATTGAGCGCTTGCGCTTTGATATATCAACCTTATTTTTCCCTCCAAGGGCCACCACTTTTCCTCGAGATAAATTATTTCAGGCATTATTTCTCCACATCTCACCGATTATTGCTTCATGATTAGATTTACATATTTTCTTCCTGCAAAAATTCATTAAATTCATTAATATTTCAATATATAATTATTTAGACACTTTCACTTATTTTCTAACACATTATACAACAAAAAATTCTTTCTCTCTCGTTTTCTTCAATTTTTAATTATCAAGTTATCAAAATATCAAGATTATGTATCTTGAATAAAAAATTGACATTTGACCTTTGGTCCAACGATTATTTTCAATGTTCTAATTTCATTCTTTTTCAAGATTTAAAAACGAATTTTTTGAATTTTAAAAAAGAGAAAGAGAGAGATTTTTCTTTAATACTTTAATAAATAATTAATTACTAGTAATATTCAAATAATAAATAAATAATTTCCATAAAATTATAATTTAAATAAAATGTATTTATAAATAATAAAAATAAAGAAAATAAATAATGAATGATGAAAGAAATTTAAAAATTCTGGCTAGTCACGAAAAAAATAATTTCAATTAAATGAGTTTAATTTGATAATTGAAAGCAAACCAGTGTTTTTTTTCTCGAGATAGTTTTATAAATCGCGAAGGCAAAACTACATAGATCAGTGTGTATTCACTAAATGAAACTTATCATTATCGTTCCTCGTGTCCGGTATTTATAAAACGAGTTCACAATTACAACTTAGGTCTTTACCATAATCATGTAATGCTCTTTGACTTTAGACTAGTTATTAAAATTTCTAATAACTATGAAGTAACACATATACTAAGACTATTGTCCATTTTTATAATTTTCCTTTTTTTCTCTACTTTAAGGTCAATTATATTATTTCAAGGTAAAAAAATAAAGAAACAACTATTTTTTAAACCATTTTAGGTCAAATACAAAAACAAAGAAAAGAATATGACCTTGAATTATTAGAAATCGAGAAATTGTATATAGGAAAATCTAATTAAAAAGTTAATTAAAAATCATTTCACGATAAGATAAGATAAACTTTTAGGAAAAATACAAAGCAGTGTTCAATGAACTTTTCAATTATGTAAATTATTCACCTTTTTCTTTACTTTTATTTTAAACTATTTGCTTTATTTTTTTTTGTTTCCTCATAGAGGGTTGTATTTATTTATTTATTATTTACATATTTTGCTTTTTTCAATTAATTTATACTTTAAAGTTCTCAAAATTTACTGTATTTTTTCCAGTTGTTTGTTCAAATTGTTCCAACTTCGCAACAATGTAACTTTTTTCTAAATTTAATTTTAAATGTTTATCAAGTTGACAATTAGGGAAAAATATTCCTATTTTTTTGCAAAAGTTTATCTTAATATTCTTACATAAATGATTATGGTGACCAAGGGAAAATACAATACCGGTTATGAAAATTGATAATAAACCAGGTATTGACGCAGTAAAATATATTTTATATCTAACAATAATTTGTTAACTCAAACACGATAAGAAATACAAAGAGAATATACATAGTTTAAATATTGTTTGTCGAATAGAAAAAAAAGGTTAAAAAAATATTTTTTTTTTTAGATAAACACTTTGTTGTTCGTCAATGTAAAGAGAACTTCGTTTTGAACAACGTTCATCAATCGTCAATTTGAAGTTTTCTAAGTGTTCAGGTAAATAAAAATATGCAAAAAAATTTACTAGGTATTGTCAACTTAAAAAAAAAACTTCTTTTTGAGAAAAAAAATTCTTGCGGAGTTAAAACAATTTGAATGAAGAAACACCGAAAAAAACAAAAATTCTTTCGAAAATTTGTTCATATTCAGTTGTTTTTTTTAGGAAAATATTTGCAATCCACTCATAATTTATTTTTTAAAATTATTTTTTATTTCAAATTTATTTTTTTACCATTTAATTTAAATTTATTAAATTTAATTTAATTAAAATGAATTCAAAAATCAATTTAAAAAAAGTTGTTTCGGTTTTTAAATATTTGTAAATGTAAATTTTAATTTTATAATTTTAATTTTGTAACTTTCGAATTTTAATAACTAATAATACATATTTCTTTCTATTCTATTTTTTTTCTTTTATTTTCTGTATTGGTCGCACCGCCTTTAATTATTTTGATTATTATTCATATTTAGAATTTTTAATAATTCTAGTATTGAAATTAAAGAAAAAAAATTCAAGTTAGTGACAGTTTTATTTTTTTCACTCTCGGAAAAAAAATTCTACTCTCAGAAAGAAAATTTGTTTCATTTTTCAAGTATTTGTAAATTTTAATTTTAGAAATTTATATTAATTTTGTATCTTTTGTAATTTTGACTAATTGTTTTTTTCTATTTTATTTTTTTTTTGTTAAATTAAATTTATAAATTGGTCTCACCACCTTTAATTGTTTTACTTTTAATTAGTTTAATTATTAAATTTAGAAATTTAATTAATTTTAGAATTGCGATTGAAGAAGCAAAAAATTCAAATTAGTGACCGATTTATTTGAAAAAGAATTAATTATTTCTAAAAATGTTTCCTTTTTCAAATATTTGTACATAATTTGAATTATAAATTGAATTTTAATTTCGTAATGTCGTAACTTTATAATGTCGTTAACTTCTGATTTATAATTTTAACTTTAACTTTTACTAATTTTTGTTTCTGTTCTATTTATTTTTCTATTTTATAAATTTAATTATTTATAATTAAATTTTTAATTATTTTAAAATATTTAATTATTTGTTCTATTTTTAATTCGTTTAATTATTATTTAGATTTAGTAATTTTAATAATTTGTAAAATTGAAATTAAAGAAAAAGAAAAATTCAAATTAGTGACCGATTTATTTTTTCTACTCTTGGAAAAAGATTGAATTAATTTCTAAAAAGAAAAATTGTTCCATTTTGTAAATTATTTGTAATTTGAATTTTTAATTTTGTAAATTTGTAACTAAATTAACAATATAATTTTAAATGTTGTTTTCTATATTCGATTTTTTTAATTATGTTTATAAATTGGACGCACCATGTTGAATTATTTCTTTTACATTTTTATTGATTTAAAATTATTTTTACTTATTTAGAAATTTTAATAGTTCTAGTAATGTAATTAAAAAAAAAAAAATTATTGACATAAAATAGTAAATGTAATTTACTGACCGAATTTATGTTTTTTTCTCGTAGAAAGAAATAATTATGTCACATATCGAATTAATTAATTATTCAAATCGAGTTGGTAATTTTTTAAAAATAAAAATAAAATAATTTTTCTCTCGCTGTTTATGAAAAAAGAAATAGAAAGAATTTTTCGTCAGTTTGAATTTGGCCGAATTTAGTATCGAGTCAAATACCTTTTACAGTCCTGCGCTCAACTTTTTGCAGTAAACGTGTGAGAGATAAACGAGGGAGTGTGGAGTCACGGCCTCCGTCAGTGGTTTTGCGGAGGCGCAGAGTGACCGTGGCTGCGGAAGGGTGCAGGCAACGAGAGAGAGAAAGAGAGAAAAAAAGAATTTCTCCCGGGATTCTCTCTGATCAACACATCCAAGAAAATTACATCCGTGTTCTTAATTTTTTTCCATTTTCCAATCAAAGGAAAAACAATTTCAGGATAAATTGTATTGCCACGCGAAGCGACAACGTCGGGCGTCAGTGAATTACAATTGCACAATGCAGATACTCTATCAACTCAGGTGATACAGGTTGATCCTAGAAAAAACGAAAAAGACAATTCATCATCAATTGTTGATGTTAAGGAGAATGGGAATTACAGAATGGAGTCAAAGGAGCAGGACCATAAAACAAATTCAAATCAGGTCCTGCTCAAATACTGGGAAGAAATGCCAGAACATCTGCAATTTAATCCCCATATTAAAACCGGATACAGACCACTTATGACCCCGACAAATTGTGTTCGCAGCATTTTCTTCTTCCACAATGAGACTGTCAATATTTTGACCCACGGTGAGTCGATCCCTCTTCTCTCTCTTGCTGTCACTCTGTCACTTCTCTCTCTCTCTCTCTCTCTCTTCTCTCATTTTTTTTTCCCATTTTCTATATCTTCGCTCTACATCTTCATTATTCAATTCTCTCGAAATTCCATCATAAAATTCACATTTTATTGGATTCTCATCAAACTGTCATTATATTGTCAAATTGATTTTCACTACTGCATTGTTCTCGTTGCGAGCTTTTCATAAGTTTTTCATTGTATCCCACCGTGAATTTCTGAAAAGAAGAGAAAAAAAAATAAATTAGGCCAAAAGAATGTACATAAATATCTTACGTAAAATTGCTTGTGGAGCGTAAATGAGGAATAATTACAAATCTATTTGTATTATTATGTCAAAGATTGACGGTAATTAACTAGGCGTTTACTAGTCACGTATGAAAACAAAAGGAAACTAAAAGTAAAATAATGTCATTTTATACATTTCATTATTTGCTTTCAGGAAAATCAATTTTTAATGCAAAAAAAATTCTTCCTTTGCAGAAATTAAATTTCTTGTAAAGAAAATTTCTACAAGAAAAATTCAAAAAGAATTTTCTTCTAAAAAAAAATTCTCTCTTTACAGAAAAATTCAAAAAGAATTTTCTTGTACAAAAAAAAATTCTTTCTTTGCAGAAAAAATTCAAAAAGAATTTTCTTGTACAAAAAAAATTCTTTCTTTACAGAAAAATTCTTTCTTTGCAGAAAAATTTTCTGCAAAGAAAATTTTTCTACAAAGAAAATTCAAAAAGAATTTCTTTGTATAAAAAGAATTTTCTTTTTTACAAAAAAAAAAATTTTGTTGCAAAGAAAGAATTTTTTTTAAGAAAATTTTTTTTTGTAAAAGAAAATTCGTCTTGTAAATGAAAATTTCTTTGGTAAAAATAATTGTCTCTTTTAAAAATGGAAAAATTGGAATTAAATTGAAAAATGATTGATTAAAATAAAAAAGAAATTAATTTAGGAGAATAAATGAAAATTGGGAATTATTATGAAAATGAAAATTGGATAATGATTCTCTCTTCATTACAAATTAAATTCTCTCTTTACGTCTGACTGAAACTATACACTTCCACTGGGGAAATCACACTTGTCTCATCAAAACTGCTTTCTCTCCTGAAAGCTCTTTCCATGTCTGATTAAAATATCGCTATTCTACTTCGAAACTTAAACTTTTGATTAATAATGCAAATTTTTATCTGGCATACATTAAAATACAGAGAGAGAAAAAAATAAAAAAAAATAACAGAAAAACGAAACAAAAAAATTTTAAAATCCTTTTTGTACTCCGAATTAAAATACAATATTTTTTACTCAATTGGTATAATTTATTTCCATTCGTTTATTTATTTTTATTATTATCCGATTTTATTTTTTTTTCACTATTTCTTCGTTTAAAAAATTTTTTTCTTTCTTTATTTTATTCATTTTTCATTATTTCATTTTTTTTATTCTTTATTTATTTTCATTTTCAAAATAATTTTTTTCAATTTCACTTTCATTTTTAATTTCATTTTCATTTTTTCAATATCATTATATTTTGTTTTTCTTTTAAATCAGACAAACGATCAAAAATAGAAAAAAAAGAGAAACAAAAAAATTATTACTTATTGAAATTCAGAAGAGAAATTGTTAACAACGAATTTCGAAATTTTTCAGACAAAGAATGAAAAATAGAAAAATTAAAAAAGCAAATAAATTATTACGTATTAAAATTAAAAGGCAAATTTATTAAAAACGAAATTCGAAACTTTTTCAGACAAACGGTAAAAAATAGAAAAAAAAGCAAAAAAATTATTATTAAAATTCAGAGGAAAATTTGTTAATAACGAAATTCGAAATTTTTTCAGACAAACGGTAAAAAATAGAAAAAATAAAAAAGCAAAAAAATTAGGTATTATTAAAATTCAGAGGAAAATTTGTTAATAACGAAATTCGAAATTTTTCAGACGAAGAGTCAAAAATACATTAAAAAAGCAAAAAAATGATTATTAAAATTGAGAGGAAAATTTGTTAACAATGAAATTCGACATTTTTGCAGACAAAAAGTCAAGAATAGAAAAAAGAAAAAAAATTATTATTAAAATTGAGAGGAAAAATTTGTTAACAACGAAATTCGAAATTTTTGCAGACGAAGAGTTTAAAATAGTAAAAATAAAAAAGCAAAAAAATAATTATTAAAATTGAGATGGAAAATTTGTTAACAACAAAATTAGCAATTTTCTTGGACGAAGAAAAAAATGTTTAATTATAAAATTTTCAGTGCTTTCTTTGTCGAATTTGTCCTTTATGTATTATCATCTTTTTTTTTAGAAATACTCCAAAAGTAGGGCGTTGAATTCATCTCATCTTTTATACAAGAACAAAAACTAAAGGTTACTTTGAAAAATAGATGAGAGTTTTTAGAGTTATAGTTAACAATCACACTCCAGACGTCAAACGAACCAATTTAATTTCATATGTGAATTTTCCTTAATAATTACTGTACCTACGAAATGAAGCAAATAATTAGAAAAAATTTTTCCTTTGCACTAAAAATATTTTCTAATCCGGATAATTTTTCCTATTTTTACACGTTTATTATTTTCCATTAATATTTTTTCTGTACTTATTAATATTTTATTTCTATTTCTATTTTTTGTTATTAATTTTTATTTTATTTTTTTTTTCATTTTTATTAATTGGACTATTTCTACTTTTCTATATTTATTTTTATTTCATATTTCTACTTTCTTATATTTATTTTTATTTTTCTATAAATTAAAATTTTTCTAAAAATTACAATTTAAATTAAATTTTTAAGTTAAATTCCTGTTATTTCAGAAGAATTTTTTTCATTCAGTTGGCAAAATTTATTATTTTATTTATTCACCAATAAAAAATGAAGAATCTGCAAATTAATTAACAGTTAGTTCACTTTGCAACTTTTCCATTTTTTTACTCGCGAATATAAATAAAATAATAAATTTTTGAGAACTGAATTAAAAAATGTATTTTAAATAATTAAATGTTTTGAATTTAACTTCATTTAAATTTTAATTAAAATTTTCAAACAAGTTTTTAATTAAGAGAATTAAATGAAAAAAAAAATAGAAAAAAAATAGAAATTGAAAAGAAGAAAAATAGAAATAGAAAATAAAAAAATAGCAATAGGAAATGAAGAAAATAAAAAAGTAGAGATGTAAAATAAAAGTAAATAAAAAATGGAAATGTAGGCAAAAATAAATCTAAAAAATAGAAATATAAAATGAAAACAAATCGCAAAAATAGAGAAATATTAAAAATATTTTCTTTTCAATTCAAATTATTCAAAAATAAATAGAAAAAATAGAAATAAAAAATGACAAATAAATTACAAAAATGGAAAAATATTAAAAATATTTTTTAAATAGGAAAAATATAAAAAAGGAGTATTCCGAAATTACTGATATCTTCTTATCGTTAAATGAGTTTTCAACGCGTGTTTCCGGTTATATTTTTCTTCTAGAAATAGAAAAAAAAGTATTAATTAAAACTTTTTTCAAATTTTAAATTAAAATTAAATTTAAACTAAAATCAAAAATTCCCATTCTTTGCAATAATTTTTTTTAATTCAATTTTCGAAACTTATTTTTTATTTATTTATTCACGAATAAAAAATCAAAAATTGCAAGCAAAAATTTTATTTCTGAAAATCCTTCAGACTGAACTAATTTTTCATTTTTAAAAAAATATAAAACCAGGATAAAAATATTAATATCCATATTTATGAAAAATTCAATTGTTAATTAACTTTTAGTCACAAAATTTTGTCTAGTAAAATGATTCTCATAAATTTAAATTAACTTTCAAGGCGACACATATATCAAGTCGATCATAGCATCATAAATCTTGAAATGTTCATTAACTCAGATTCAAGGGGGGATTTATGTTCTCCATCTTCCCTCGCTCTCTCTATACATATATATATATATAAACCAATTCGTTTTGCGAATTTTAATTCGATAAAGGTAATTTAAATATTCAAGTAAATGCCTTAATAATGAACTTGGCCGAAAAAATTAAGTTATTCAATCAAAATGTTTTACCGTCAAAATCAAAGTAAAACCGCACAATATTTTTCTCAGTGAATTGTTTTAATCAAATAAGTAAATTAAATTTTGAGAGATGATTTTTTTCCATTTGGTTTGAAAAATTATTTCTTGCAGAAATTTTTTTAAATAAAATTTAAATTTAAAAAAAAATTAAAAAGTACAATTATTGTGAGTTGCTGTTTTTTTTCGCTAAAATATTACTCGAGATGTAATCAAGAATTCAAGATTTTTCTGCAGGGCGTATAGATTGGCCAATTTCAAAAGAGGCACTCAAAAGCTTCAAGTTGATCTTGGCATCATATCATCCTCTTGGGTGAAATCGATTTCCTCCAAGAGTTTCTACTTTAAAATAAAAAAAAAGGAAAATCATCTCTGGTTTCATAAAAAATTATTCAAAACACAAGTATTTAAAAAAGAAATTAACATAAGAAAACTATGAATTTATTACAATAAGTATTCTTGAAATTTAATTTTTCAATAAATGAACAAAAATTCCCTAAAGATTCGAAGACAATTTTTTTTTTCGTTAAAATTTCAATTTTGTTACTAGAAAATATTTTTTCGTTAATTTGGAAAATTGCTTTTTTTTAATTTATTTTATTTTCAATTTTATTCTCGAAATGTAATTTTTCAAAACAAAAAAATTCCACAAAGATTCTAGAACTCAAATAAACGACGATTTTTTTATTTTTCGTCAGACTTTGAATTTTGTTACAAAGAAATTTTTTTTCGTTAAGTTAGAAAATAATTTCGTTTTTCTAGGTATTTGAATTTTTTTAAATTTAATAAATTTATTTTCAATTTTATTCTTGAATTTTTGAAAATTAAATGATAAAAAATAATCGTTCCAATCTTTAGAAAAATATTCACATTTATATTAAAATAAAAGAAAGTAAAAATTTAATTTATTGACTGTAAAAATAATAAAGTACATAGAATACAAACTTAATAGAAAAATAATTCAATTTTTAATCTAATAATTTGCAAAGATTTAAAATTCTTTGCAATTTTTTATATTTATCAATAGAAAATTAATTTTTCACTAGAAAATTAATTTTCACTTGAAAAAAAAACAATTATTTCTTCTATTTGAAAATAAAAATATTTTGCCAAATAATTTGAAAATTTGTGTTAATTTTTTTTTGAATACTTGTCGTTTAATCGGGGCGCAATTAGTAATAAGTATTTGAATAGCATTGTTTGCTTATATAAACAAAAAACAAAAAAAAAGTAAACTTCGCCAGTGGAATATTAAAAGGTGTCGAAAAGGATTAGGGTCAAGGTTGACAACCTCCAGGTTAATTTTTCGAGAAATTCCCGCAGCCTCAGTAAAGAGGAAACGCATTGCAGTGCAATGAAGAAGTAATCGATAAAAGAGGAAGCCCTGTTAGTGATTACATTCACCAGTTAAGTCACGACTTACGACCAACTGTCAAAGTCAAGGATGAGAAAAAAAATGTTCTCCATTTCCTTTTCTTTTGAATATAAAAAATAATTGCCAAGAAGGAATTTTTGAATTAAATTTTTTTACGAATCAAAAATTTCCCACAATCTTTACAATATTCTCCATTATTTTTAGCAAATAAAATTCCAACTTTTCTCCTTTTATTAAGCGAAAGAAAATTTATCGCAATATTCAATTCTTTAATTTAATGAACTATTTTAAAAATGTATTTTTATTACTATTTATGATTTATTTTAAACTATTTATGATTTATTTTAAACTATTTTTTAATTTAAAAATTCTATTTTTTTAAAATATTATTATTTCAAAAGTTTCCTTATTTTTTATTTTCCTTAAATATTGTTATTTCAATAGTTTCCTTATTTTTTATTTTTCTGAAATATTATTTATTCCAAAAGTATCCTTATCAATTCTGAATGTTTCTTAAGTAATTGAAAATGACTTTTTTTCTCTTTAATAAATTTTAGAAACAATTTCTTATAATTTGAAAAAAATCAAATTTTTAAATGAAAATTTCTTTAATTTTAATTATTTTTTTCTATTTTCTATTTTGTTAAATTTATTCCGAAGAAGGGGAATTTAAAATAAGTTCTTGTTAATCGATTATAATAATTCAAGAGTTTATATCAATTATGAAGTAATTCCGGACTATAATATGCGAATAAAAAATTAATGTAGGTTTAAGTTTGTCAATAATAGTATATGAAAAAAATAGGTCACTGTATTGTAAAATAAAAATCAAAGATTTGTAGGTACAAGACCTTTTTTTTATACTTTCGCTAAATACAATAAATACCAAAAATTCCACCTATTTTTAAATTCGGGTCATGTGATATAACAAAAAAAAAAATTGTGGCGCAAAGAAAATATTCTAAACTCGCAATATTCTACTTTAAAAATATCAGACATGAATATCAATATTTAGCAAAAATAAAAAAGAAAGAAAAAAAAAGGGAAAATCAATGAGAAAAAAGTAAGAAAATCAATAAATGTAATAGAGTAAATAAAAAAAAAAGTGTGTCACGAAACAAAATCAATGAGTTTTACCGGTATTATTTTTAAATCTAGAACGATTTTGAATTTTTTATATTCGATTATCAACAACGTTGGGATGAAAAAAACATGGAGAATTTCTCAATTTTTTTTTCAAATCTCAGTATTTTTCTATTTTCGGATATTATTTTTAATTATTTAATTATTTCTTTAATCAAAAATAAAGCATTTCTTACCCTCAGTAACGTATTGCAGGTTTTGCGATTCTCTACATTTATCTGACAGTGCCGGATGCACTTCCATGGAGTACCCAAGGTGCACTTTCAGGATGCCATTTAATTGGAGCAATAAGTCCATGGATTGGTTCTTTTCTTTATCACGTCTTTATGAACTTGAATTATGGAGAGGACGTCTACAGAAAACTGCTTAAAATTGATATGCTCGGCATTTGGCTCTGTCAAAGTTTTGGTAAAAATTTTCTCCCAGACTTCTCACTTTATTGATTCGTTCATTTTCTTAAATTCCTTTTTCCATCATTTGATTTTGTTTTTTCATTGTCGAAACTCGACGACTAAAATTAAAAGAAAAAATTGTTAATTAACAACATTAACAATATATTAATAAAAATTAATTGCACCAATGATAAATTAATAATTAATTGTATTTAATTTATCAATTAATTTTTTTTTTTTTTTGACGAGGAAAGTAATAAAATGAAAGAAAATTAAAACTGAAACGAGAGAGTAACTAAAAAAAATTTTTTGGAAATTTGTAGTTTTTTCCGAAAATTTTAATTTGATTTACTTTCTTCAGGAGCCCTGCCGATGATAGTAACTTCTGTGCATTGCTCATCAGGTTTCCTTCAGTATTGTTGCATCTCAATCTATTGCTTCCTTAGTTTATTGGGTCTCTGGAAAGTAAGTTTTTCCACTCTGCAAATGAAAAAAGAAAAACACAAGAGAATGCTTGAAATATTAATCACATATTAACAAAAGAAAAAAATCAATTTTTTTTCCATACAAAAAAAACGCTTATTAATCTTTCACAAAAAAAAACTTTTTTTCTAAAAATCTATTCTTTACAGAAAAATTCAAAAGCAAATCTATTAAAATAAACACGTTTGCTTTCTGGTTTCAGCTGCTAAATCTTTTCTGTTCCGATAAGGTAGATTTTTTTTATCCCATTAGGTGTCTATGTTTAACAGCATTAAAAACAATGAATTATTATTTGGAATATCGAAACAATATGAAATTTTTGTATATTTCCAAATAGAAAAATAGAATTCATTGTTTGAATTTTAATAGTAATTTAAATTTTAACAAATTTCAATTGCTACTAAATTCAGTTAAATCGAAAATAATTTATGAATTTTCAGTGAAAATAAATCGTAATTAATAACTAAATTTATTAAAAGATATAAATTTTGAAGTTAATATTTTTAATTTAATTACTATTATTTCGAAAATTCATAAATTTGGAAAATTTCTCCGCTTAATGGTAAATGTTAATTCAAGCAGGTTTTTTACTGTTAAGAAAAAAATTTACTGCACTAATAATTACGAACAACGATGAAAAATAAATAATCCAAATGAGAAAATTAAAAATTAAAAATTAGAAATTAAAAATTAAAAATTAAAAATTAAAAATTAAAAATTAAAAATTAAAATTAAAAAATAAAATTGAAATTAAAAATAAAATTGAAAATAATCAATCATTTTCCGAAATTTACTAAAATATCACAAGGATTATTCATTTGATAGTTGATCGAAAAATTCACTAAATGGAAATCTCGTTGTGACCAAACAAAAATAATAGTTAAACGGTTCTTTAAATTTCACTTACACTGAAAAACACTAAAGAATCATTAACAATTGTACGTGAAAAATGTTAATATTCAGTGTTCAATTATTGTAGGCGATGGTCGCAAAGTCTCCTTGGCAAAGACGTCTCTGCTTTCTTCCTCCACTGTGCATGAGACTTCTGGTTTTGGGTTTAAGATGCTACGGTATCGGTGGTGGAAGTCCTAGCGCTATGATGCACGTCATCTTACAAGTACTGAAATTAAAAATAATAAAACGAAACAATGAAACAAAATAATTAAACCAAAAAAAAAAAATCATTAAACAAAATAATTAACAAAAGAAAGTCGAAAATTGTAATCAGTACATTATTAATTAATAAAATTAATTACTATCGAATAATTATCAAATATTACAAGTATGTAAATAAAAAATAAACAGACGGTAATTAATTTTCTAATAGAAAATTAATTTCTACTGAAAAAATTAATTAATCAAAATAAAAAATCGATAATTAATTTTCCACTGAAAAATTAATTATTAAAATTAAAAAGAAAATCAGTACAATTAATTGTCTCTTTTTTTCAGGACGTGGTGGCTGTGATTGGTGGAATAATAGGAGCGCTCCGCATACCGGAAAAATGGCTTCCCGGCAGTTTAGATCTGCTCTTCAATTCTCACAATATAATGCACGTTTTAGTTGTCTTGGCAGTATGTTCAATGCACGAAGCGACCATTCAGGATTTGACGTGGATGTCCAATCCGACATCGTGCACGGTTCCTAATTACATCCCTTCCATCCACGAGGAACTGTGATCTAGTTGCGAAGAATCCACCTTCTTCGCATTAATCTGTGATTTCTCAAAAAAAAAACAAAAAAAAAATTAATAAAACCGCTTTAGCCTCCTTCGACGACGTACCTCTCGCAAAAGCAAGAAAAATTACAAAAAAAAAAAATAATAATAACTTTTCCTTACTAGCAGAAAAATTTCACGTTGATTCCAAAATATTTAAAAAAAAACTAAACTTAACGAACTCCAAGAAAAAAAAATAATAAAAGTAGAATATATTTAAATCTAGAAAAAAATCTTACTCAAAGAAAAAAATCGACGAGAGATACTCGAGCAAGGATTCTGTTTGATAATAATTATTTTAAATAATTATTAAAATAATACGTTCTATTAAAAAAAAAAATAGAAAAACAAATTGAACGTGTTTGGTGATGATGAAGTTTGATACATATCGGTTGAATTATCGAGAGAATATGAGAGAATATTTTTCAGATAATTGTGATTGTGATGATGATGATAATGATGGCAATTTTACATCGACGTTATAAAAAAAATGACGATTTTTTCATGAAAAATAAAAAATAAAAGTAGGACCATAATTTTCAAGAGTGTTTTTTAGCACGTCAAAAATAAACTTTATTTTATGCTTGCAGGCACGTAATTATGTACATACAAGACGAAAAATTCGATTTCATTTTGGAATTTATAATATTATACCGAAAAATCAATTTTCGGATAAATAATAAAATGTTGTTTCAAATATTGAAACTATTTCTCATTCCTTTTTCTTATAGATCTCTTTTCTAATAACCATTTTTTTTTTTTGTAGAATATCAATATCTCACTTTCATGGTCTTCTTCATAATTTTTTCCGAAGAGAAAACAAACCATTTCATTTTCTTTTTCAAAGACAAAAATAGATTTCCACATTCTTTCACTCTCTTTCTCTCTCTCTCTCTCTCTCTCTTTTTTTCTTTTGTCAGTAATTAGAAAAATTTCCGCCATAAATCGCATTCACGTTCTATTTCTATAGTTATTAGAAAAGATTTTTCTTCTCAAAAAAGAAAATTTATCTTTGTAGTTTAACTAGTAAATAGAATTAAAAATTATATACTTTATAGAAATAAAACTTTTCAACCATTTTTAAAAAATAGCCGTTTTCGGTGATTTGAATATTTGCGCAAAATACGACATCGAGAACATAGAGACGAAAATAAGCCACATTATAACGATGTCGATGATTTATATTAATAATAATAATAATAAGATTTTTAAGAATATTGTTAATTTTTCATACGCTTACTGCAAGGGAGCTTCGCTTTCCTGAGTGTAACTTTTAACTCGACTGAATCTGAAGGGAGGATAACGCATTCCAAGATTCAAGCGGGTTTGAACCTCTTCGCCATTTTTGTATTTCGTATAAATAATGTAGGTGAGCCATGTTAACTGCGAGTTCACTTTCTTATGATGATTTTGAATTTCAAATTCCTAAAATAGAAAAATAATTCATTAACAAATTTTCTAAGGAAAGACAATTTTTTCAATATATATAGTATTAAATAAAAATTTAACATCATAGTATACAAATTACGACAAAAAAACAATAATTAGTTAACGAGAAAATAATACAAAATACTTGTTAAAAGTAGAAAATTTCAAATTGTTTTTAAACTTGAAACTACTTTTTTTGAAAAAAAGGAGAAGAGGATTTAAAAAGCAATAAAAGTGAGAAATTCTAAAAATGAATGGAAACATCGACAATCATCAAAATTGGAATATTTTCAAAAAGAACATTTTTTTGAACATTTTGAAAACATTTCAATATAAATGAAGAAAAAAAAACGAACCCCAATTTGTGTAAGAAAAACAAAAAGAATTGAAACATAATAACGTTTCAGATATATTTGTAAATAGTTCAAGTTTAAACATATTTTAATTAGAAAAAAAAGACAAATATGTGAAAAAATTTTAATTATTGTAGAACAGAAAGAGAGGAATATTAATAAATTATTAATACTTACGGCGTGGAATGTTTGTTCACCGCTGTCGTGTAAAAGTTCTCTCCTTTTACGTCTGTATTGATTGTTATTGCTATTGTTTGTTTTGAGTTCTTGTTTCTTTAGAATCAACGTTACCAAATTATCACGTAGCCGATAGTGACCAATTAAAATCGTTGGATTACGTGGTGTTCGTGATTTCAATGAATTAACGCATAATTGAGCATCGTCGGTCGATGTCAACATGAGAGCTCTTCCCTCGGGAAAAAATCTGCAATAAATTAACGGAGATATCAAATTTTTTCTTCTCGGCGAAAAAAATTAGGGAAAAATTAAATTGAAATTTTATTTTTCTATGGTTCTTTTTAATATTCAAAAAAAAATATATTTTAAAAATTTCGTCTTACCTCAAGTACCTGAAGTATTCGACAAGATGCCAAGGCCTGTAGAACTGATCCTGGAAACTATTTTCACCGTGTCGAAGATAAGTTGTTTTACTCATGTAACATCCATTATACCTCAATCTTGGTCGCTGCAAATACATATCTCGCCAGGATAAATATTGCGGTTCGAATTTGCCACAATTCACGCCCCAGACTCTAGAGTGGGAAGAAAGAAAAACAATTCTTACTATATTTAAATATGTAAATTAAGTATTATATTTAAATCTTAATGCAATGAGTATTTAAATATATATTCAAAGAATATTTAAGTTTATATTAAAGAGTATTTAAGTTTATATTAAAGAATATTAAAAGTGTTAAGAATTTATATTGAAAGAGTATTTAAGTTTATTAATAATAATTTTTATTCGATTCTTGGAAGAAAGAATTAAATGAAACTCAATATTTCATCCAAAATGATATAAATAATTTTAACCAAATATTCAAGTTTATATTGAAAGAGTATTTAAATTTATATTAAATCGGAATTTAAATATAAACGAAATATATATTGAATTTCATAAATTATTCTATTTCAAAAAAATAAAAATACTTCAAATTTAAATGGAAAAAACAACGAACCGAACACAGGCGAGTCTCCAAATTTCAGCGTCACGCGCCGAAATGTAAAATCCACGACAAACTCGAGAAAACATTTCCAGTGATCGTAAATCCAATTCCGAAGAAACAACCCATCTGAGAATGTAGAGCACAATTTCCATAGGTAATGCTGATATATGCGTTGTCTGTGAAATTATAAAATTTGATTTCAAAAAACATTTATCAACCCAAACCAAAGTATTTTCACTTTAATCTTTTTTTAAAAAAAATTTCTTTTATTAATTAATTTAAGAAGAATTTAAGAATTCTATTTAGGAAGAAATTCTTTTATTATTTAATAAAATTCTTTTATATAAAGTCGTATAATAAATTCAATTAATATTTTTGAAAGGAATAATTGAACTGTTTCGAGGAATTGAATTAAAAGCTTTGGAACATAATTAAATTTTTTCAAGGAATTTAATTAAAATTTTACCGAAATTAAATCAATTTATCAAAATAAATTATCAAAATTTTTCAAACTAATTGAATTCTTTCAAGAAATTTTATTAAAATTGTATTCAAAGTGATTGAATTTCTGCGAAGAAATTTATAACAATTGAAAATATGTAATTCAATTCTTAAGAATTTTAGAAAATAATTGAATTGTTTCGAACAAAATTAAAATTCTTTAGGGGAATTTAGTTAAAATTATATTATAAAAATAATTTAATTCTGATAAAAATTATATCAAAATTTTTGAAAATAATAAAAATCCTTCAATCGATTCTATAAAAATGTTTAATAATAATGGAATTCTTTCGAGGATTTTAATTAAATTATATTGAAAATAATTAAATTTCTGCGAAGAATTATATTGTTTATGAAAGTAATTGAATTCTGGCGAAGAATTATATTATTATTTATGAAAATAATTGAATTCTTCTGAAGAATTTTATTAAAATTCTGAAAATAATTGAATTATTGTTTCAAAGAATTTTATTAATATTTTTGAAAGTAATAATTAATTAGTGATTTTTAAAAAATGTCGAATCCAAAATCATTCAGAAATATTATAAATCATATAAACAAAATTCTTGCTAATTACAATAATTTTTAATTAAGTAAATGTTGAATTTACATTACTTATAGATTCTCAAAGGTAATTTTTCAAAATTTTTACTCCAAAAAAGAATTTTCTTCATTTGAACGTTCGAAACTTTAGTGAAATGCAAAGAAATAAAAAAATTGCACTTACATTTTGCTCGAAACGTGGAAAACAAACGCGTTGATTGCGACTGACAATTTTTGACAATTTGAAAAATAGATCGGAATTATCGTCATCATCATCATCATCATCGTCACTGTATTCATGTTCATCTGTCCTGTCGTCTTCACGATTTTTATCATCTAACGAATGAAGTCTTTCATCAGCTTCAAATCTTTGATTTTTCACTTTTGTCGATTCATAAAGACGAAATTCAATATCAGGAACTAATTGCACTGCACGCTTATAAAATTGAATTGCCTCATACAATTTACCAGTTTGCTCATGTTCGATGCCTTTCAAAAAAAGATGTTTCGCCTAAAATCAAATATTTTCTCTTTGAATCCAAATTTATTCAAATTTGAAATTCAGCATAATTAGAATTTTCTTTTATCAATTAAAATTAAATTCCATTTATTTATTGAATATATTAATTAAGTTTTAATTAAAAATATTGAGAATATTTAAAATTCCTTTCCTTTAATTATATTGAGAATAATTTCCAGTTGATCGAAATATTTATAAAATGCTTACTTTATTTTCAATGGAAATTGTATCATCTTCAGAGACACTTGAATTTAATGATTTTTGCTGTTTTATTTTGACTGGATCTCGTTTTGGCGATATTTCAAGTTCACGTTGCCATTTTTCTCGAAATGAATTCAAGGCATCTTCATTATTGGACGGAAAAGACGAATCATCGTCTCCTACATCGCCTTCATCATCGCCGGAAAATTCCTGATGCTCCTGGAAAAAATAAATCATATCAGTTAAATATTACATCATAAAACAATATTTTACATTTTAACTATTTATTTAGTATATTAATACTTGAAATTTAATAATTATAAATTATTATTTATTCATTCGTTAACAATTTAACGATTTAACAAATAGTAAACAAATCGTATTTGAAAAAATATTTTGAATAAAATTTGATTAAAAAATATAAATATAAATCAATTCATGGCGGTTTGATATTTTAGTTAAAATAATTTTAATAAAGATGGAAAAAAAATATAAACCTAATTTTGTGTTTAATTTTGAATCACAGCTGTTTTTAATCGAATGTGATGACACAATAACAACAGAAAAAACAAAATGTAAACTACAAGGCTGATTTAACAATACCCGGAAATATAAATTTTTGAACAAAAATAACAATGTTAAATAATATTTTTCTGAATATTACAAAATTAGTAGAAAATTTTCCTAAATACGTAGTTTCATCATTTCAGAAAGAGGTTAGAATTCCCCTTTTGAATAATAAATGGAAAAATCATTGTTGTCAGTAGAAATTAACAATAGATTATTATCACAGACTCACCATTGTTTCTTGATTAATCCGATTTTTTCAATTATTGCCTCAACGAACAAATTCTCTGTCGGAAAAACGCACTAAACAACGAAAACATAATTTCGCCAGCAATACCGCCGCCATGGTTTTCTTTTTTCTTTTCGAAACTTGATTCGTCATCATTTGAGCCCGCGAAAAGTCACCTGACATTTAGTCTATGATGAAACGAGACTAAAAATAAATAGAAAAAAAAAATCGTTCGTTATAAATTATTTCTCAGGTACCTCAGGTATCAATAAGAAATTGTACATACAATGTAAATATTTATTTCAAATATTTTCTGTTTGTTCGTAAAAGAATAAATGGTAAAAATATTGATGATAATTTAAATTGTAACAATAGCCTTGCCAAAGTTATTTCCCCGCATCATTCCTTGAAATGCTTGAAACATATTTTCAAAGCCATAGGTATTAGATTCCATGGGTTTTAATTTACCTTCTTTAAACCATTGTAAATTTTCACGAGTACTTTCATTGTAACGTGAAAACCAACGTGACACATGTAAACCTTCCATTTTTAATTGTTTATCGATAAAAACACGTTGAACGAGACCAACTTTTGGTAATTTTGTGACATTATTAAGATCTGGAGCATTATAGGATGAAATACTTCCACATACGGCGATACGTCCAAAATTATTCATATGATGCATGACAAGAGTGGACAATTCACCTCCAACATTATCGAAATAACAATCAATTCCATTTGGAGCAGCTTTTTTCAATGATTCATTCATATTAGCGGTTTTATAATTAATTGTATAATCAAAAGCAAGTTCATTTTGGAGAGCTTGACATTTTTCATCTGAACCCGTAATTCCAATAACTCTGAGTCCTTTCATTCTGGCAATTTGTCCAACGTGTGTACCAACAGCACCGCCTGCTCCACTAATAACTATTGTTTCACCAGCTTTTGGTTGACAAATCTCCAAAAGACCAAAGTACGCCGTATGACTGAAATATTTTAGAATTTTTTAATTTTTTACATGTCATAAATAAATGAATATAAAAAAAGAAATAAAAATCAGAGTTGCGATAGAAATTTGATTTTCCCTGACCTGTGTCAACTCTGTTAATCAATTTATATTAATAATCGCTGTATTCCGATAATCTGTTCGCAGTTTGAAACTTTTTTGTTTCTTAATTTTTAAATAATTTTTCTTTATAAATGTTTAAAATTAATGTTCTAAATATCATTGAATTCTTGTAAAGTATTTATAAAAGAAATTTGAAAATAACTGAATTCATTTCAAGAATTTCATCAACAACTTTTTCAATAATTGAATTCTTTCGGAGAATTTTTTTATTTATGAAAATAATTGAATTCTTGCAATAAATTTTATTTAAATTTTTAAAATCCTAATTAAATTCTTTTCAAGACTTTCTTTGAATTTTTTTTAAATAATGGAGTTTCTTTAATAATTTTAATTGGAAATTATTGAAAGAAATAGAATTCTTTCGAAGAATTTTATTATTTATAAAAATAATTGAATGGTTCCGAAGAATTTATTAAAATTTTAGGAAATAAATGAATTTTATGAAAATATTTGAAAATAATTAAATTCTTTTCAAGACTTTCTATGAATTTTTTTTTAATTAATGTAGTTTCTTTATTAATTTTAATTACAAATTTTGAAAGTAATTGAATTTTATTAAAATTGTATTGAAAATAATTGAATTCCTGAGAATAATTTTATTATTTATAAAAATAAATAAATTCTTGCAAAGAATTTTACTATTTATAAAAAAAATTGAATGGTTCCGAAGAATTTATTAAAATTTTAGGAAATAAATGAATTTTATGTAAATATTTAAAAATAATTAAATTCTTTTGAGGAATTCTATTAAAATTGTTTTGAAAAGAATATTGAATTTCTGCAAAGAATTCTACTATTTATAAAAATAATTGAAATGATCGAAGAAATTTATTAAAATTTTAGGAAAAATTGAATTGTTTTGCTGAATTATTAACTTTATTAAAGTCTGTGGTTTTTCATTCTGTCCGTTCGCAGTATGAAGTTAGTTGTTAGTTATCATTTGCGAATTATTATCATGATTTTTTTGTTTGTTTATATTTTTCGTGATGTTTTGACATTTCCGATGTTATGTTATGCGGTAGTGCGGGTGTTTTTAAAAAACGTTAAATTGTGACAAGAATTATTGTGTTTGAAAAATCGTGGAAAAATATCTGGTATCAGGCGAGAGGTTACCGTTTTCAGTGGAAAAAAAACTGTAGATTGGTAAATTCTAATTATTAATTAAAATTTTCTTCTTAATTAAATCATTTATATTATTTCATTTTATTTTGTTAAATAAAAATCTCAAAATAACTTAAAAACAAATTTTATTCGTATATCTTATTATTATTATTATTATTTTTTTTTATTTATAATTATAATTGATAATATTTATTGTATTTTGATTTATTATTATTATTGAAAATTTTATGCATTTTTAAAATCTAAAAAAACTGAAATATCGAATTGTCAATAAAAGTTGTATTATTTTCAATTTTCAACGATTATTAATTTTAATTAAAAAATTCAATTTTCCTGAATCAATAAAAAATATCGTTCTAAATTTTATTACATTGGTCGTTTTCGTAAATTACTGTTCAATAATATTAATTATTCAAAATAATTAATTTTTTAATATTTAATTTTTCAAAAATTTAATTAATCTTCAATTATTAACTTATACAGTGCAGGATCTAGAGTCTAAATTTTTTGGGAAGAGCGATCCCTTTAGTGTGTGCTTTTTTTGATTGCTATTATGAGTGATAATAGCTCCTGGTTCTTTTATGTTTAAAAAATTGTTCGAAATAATTAATTTTTCAAAAATGAAAAAAAAAATTCAATTGTTTCAAATTTTAATTAATTTTAAAAAAATGATTTTACACAAAAAATTTATTCATTTTTAAAAATAATTGCAATTCAAAATCTATTTGAATTTAGTATTTTAATAAATTACTTTTTTATTATGTTAAAAATAAATTGTTTTTTTTAAATATTTTATTAATTTTTTTACAGGCTTCCGTTTCCGGTACCGTTGAGTTGTGCACGCGTTTGTAAAGGTTTAAGAGTTTTTGGCAAAATTTTGAGTATTTTACTGAAGGGTGGGTAGTGTAGTGTTTGAGATAACAAAGGAAAGAGTGGTGGTGAAAGTAAAAAGAGTGTATGTGTGCGAGTGGTTAAGTGTGAGTGATAAAAAAGGTAAAAATAGAGAAGTGAATGTTGTGAGGTTAGGTTGCTTGAAGTGAGAGAAAAGAGAGAGAGAGACATTGGGAAATATTGAATGATAAGGTAGATTTCTGGAATGGCTGAATTTGATTCAAGTAGTGTGCGAGAGACTGAGAAAAAGGCGCCAATATTTAAAAGAGGGTTTGGGAAGAATGGAAAGGTGATGACGTGTGAAGACTGTATGGACTTGATGGAGTTAGTGGAAATGTTGAATGAGGCAATGGAAGAGCGTTTTGTGAGAGTGAGAAAGAATTTTGTAACGGTGTGTGAATTAGGTGATGAGAGGGGTAAAGAAATTGATGAATTAGATGAGGAAATGGAAAGGATGCAGGAAAAGTGGAAAAGGTGGGCGAGTGAGTTGGAAGGTATGAGAGAAAGAGTGGATGATTTGGAAAAATTTATTTTAGAGAAGAAGGAAGAGGATAAGAAAATGGAGGTTATGTTGAAAAAGGGGGTAAAAATGTGTAGTGAGGGAAGTGAAAGTGTATATTATGAACAAAAGGTGAATGAGCTGGAAAGAAGAGTGGAATGGATGGAAAAGGATAAAAGAAAAAGAAATATAATGATTAGGGGTATGAATGCAGGTTTAAGTGAAGGAAGAAGAGAGGTGGGGAGACTGGCTGAAAGGATACGGGTGAAAATTAATATTAGGCAGATGAAAGCGATGAGTATGGATGCGAATGGAATTCCGAGGATGTGGTTAGTAGAACTGGGAAGTGAGGAGGAGAAAGAGGAGGTTATGAGGATGAAAGGAAGGTTGAAAGGATGTGTTGAGAGAATAGATGAGGATAGAACGTGGAGGGAAAGGAGAATAAGATGGTTACTGGGAGAGAAGGCATGGATCGAAAGAAGGAATGGAAGAGAAGTAAGAATGGGTAGGGAATGTGTGTGGGTGGATGGGGTAAAATGGTGCGTGAGAGAAGGTAATGGACGAGTGCTTGAGGTTGGAATAGATGATCGGGTGAATGGGGAGAAATGAAGAAGGACAGTAAGGAAGATGGAGGTTTAGGATTTAAAGGGGTGGGGCGTTAATGGGGAATCAGTCAGTATGGACAAAGGGAACTGGAAACGGAAGCCCTGGCACTGGCGAATTTTGAGTGGATGAGTGTGATGAGAATAGGTTAAGTTGCGTGTTGATTAAGTTGTTGATGGGGAATAAGAGCGACGTTATAGGTTAAGAAGTTTTGTACATATAGAATAAGTTGATTTGTAAATGTATCTGGGAGTCTCGAACCCTGCCTATTGCAGGGAGAGTAAATAAACACACACAATTATTAATTTTTTACAATATTTGAATTTTAAATAATTCAAAAGTCAATTATTAATTATTCAAAAATAAATCAAACAATTTTAATTAATTCAAAAATAAATTATTCTGTTTTTAATAAAAATTTAATTATTTTGAAATCATTGAAAAATGTAATTGTTCAAAATAATAATTAATTATTCAAATATCAAAAATACAATTAATTCAAAATTAAATTATTTCATTTTAAATAAAAAATTGAAATTAATTTATTGGCACTTACGTAAAAAATAAACGTATTTCTGTGTGTGTTTGTGTGTAGAATTAACTTATAAGTGCTTTCTTTTGCAAGAATTAAACTTATCGTTATCTTCTGTTCAAATAAAATATAAAATGTTAACGTTTTTTTTAACACAATATTATAGAAAATAGATTTTCTAAAAAGAAAAAAAAATAATGAACTTAAAAAAAATACTTTAGGCACCGCCTTTCATTTCAACTATTTAAATACTATCAAGTCTTTTAAAGACTATATAAAGTCTTCAAATCATGAAAAATACATAATAAAAAATTGAATTATTCCGAAATAAAATTCAAAAATCAACAAAACAATCAATTTACAATTAGGGCCATTTGGGGTAATTGTAAACAAGGGATAAATGTAAACAATAGATGTTTCAACTAAATTTACAAATTTAAAAATTAGTTTTAAAAACTTGAAAAAAATTGTTCATAAATTTAAATTACTTTAAAAATATCCAATTAAAATTATTAAAGAAACACAATTATTAAACAAAAAATAAAAAATAATTCTTCAGAAAAATTTAATTAGGGTTTCCAAAATTGATTTAATGATTTTTAGCGAAAATTGAATTATTTTCATAAATAATGACATTTTTTGAAGAAATTCAATGATTCTCAAATTTTTTGCAAGAATTTAAATGAAATTCAATATATTAATTTTAATTAAAGAGGCATTTCACGTCAGAAATATCACGATTTGCAAAGGGTATGCCGATTTTCGCAAAAGTTTGTGGGATTATAGTTCTATATAAGAGACTTCTTTCCCCCAAATTTTTTCAAAAAAAATTCAAAATTGTTGAAGATACGCCATTTTGAATTTTAATATTAATTTTATAAAATTTTGAATATCTCGGAATATTGTTTATGGATTTTTATGAAATTTACACATTTTTCAGGTAAAAGTATGTACTTTAAAATGCAAATAAAGTTAATAAAAAAAAAATTAATTTTTAAATAAAAAATTAAAAAAAATTTTTTAAAACAATTTTTTGTTTATTTACTCCTCTCTGAGAAAAATGTTATTAACATATTTGGATTCCTTATGAATTCACCTTTAATTTCATAAAAAAAAATTGATGGAGACTCAACTGGTTCCAGAGATATTGAATTTTTTGTAAAAAAATAGTCATAGTTACAGCAGCAATGCACGACTGCGGTAACGTACTACGCGACTTGTGCAGTATGGTGCTATGGCGCGGCGACGCTTTTTTTTACAAAAAATTCAATATCTCCGGAACCAGTTGAGTCTCCATCAATTTTTTTTTATGAAATTAAAGGTGAATTCATAAGGAATCCAAATATGTTAATAACATTTTTCTCAGAGAGGAGTAAATAAACAAAAAATTGTTTAAAAAAATTTTTTTTAATTTTTTTATTTAAAAATTAATTTTTTTTTATTAACTTTATTTGCATTTTAAAGTACATACTTTTACCTGAAAAATGTGTAAATTTCATAAAAATCCATAAACAATATTCCGAGATATTCAAAATTTTATAAAATTAATATTAAAATTCAAAATGGCGTATCTTCAACAATTTTGAATTTTTTTTGAAAAAATTTAGGGGAAAGAAGTCTCTTATATAGAACTATAATCCCACGAAGTTTTGCGAAAATCGGCATACCCTTTGCAAATCGTGATATTTCTGACGTGAAATGCCTCTAAAATTAAAAATATTGAAACATAAAATTATTAAAGAAGATAGGAAACAAAAAAGTAAATTACAACTAAATCAAAGAAGATAGAAGAAGAAGATATTAATATAGAGAGAAGATATAAAGATAGAAGATGTTAATTGAATAATTTTATATTTCTAAAAAAAATGTATTTTTCATTCTTTCCAGCATTTCCATTTTTTAAATTTATTTAAAACATTATAACGTCATAATAATAATTAAAATACCCTTAAAAATAATAATAATCATTTTAAAGAATTGCTATTTTAATAGAAAAAATATATTTATATATATATTAAAACATAAAATTATTAAAATATTAAACAAAAAAAAAATATAAACTGCGAACAGATATTTTCAATTAATAAATAAAAATTTTAATTTATTTATATAAAAAAAGAAAATGCAAAAATATATTAATTAATAGAAGATGAAATAATTTCTTTAATGGCATTTGAACCATAATGACGTCACAATTTGTTCACAGCATTTGCTAAAAAATTGTGACATCATAATGGTTCAAATTCGCTGAAAAAATAAAGTTTTAATTATTTAAAATAAAACGTTGAAAAAAAAATGCACGCGCGCTCGCGCGCGTCAGTTTTTGCTAGTTTTATAGAAATATTTAAAAATAATTAAATTTTTTGGAGAAATTCAATTGAATTGAATTTTATGGAAATATTTGAAAATATTTGAATTCTGCCGAGGAATTTTATTAAAATTTTGTTAAAAATAATTGATTTTTTGCAAAAAATTTTACTATTCATAAAAATAATTGAATTTTTCCAAAGAATGTTATTATTTATATAAAAATAATTGAATCCTTGCGAAGAATTATATTAAAATTTTTGAAAATATAAACAATAATAATTAATTTTGTACTTAGCAAGTGAATTTTTTAAATTTTGATTATGAAATTATTTTAAAATTTACATTTGAAAATAAAAAATTTTGTAATTTGCATATCAATAATAAATTGAATATCACGTTCCGCGCATATCATTTGTTAGTTATAAATAATATGATATGAATTTTAATCAATAAAATCAATAAGATTAAATATTTTCCTACCCTGGCATTCCTAGAATGCCTAAATAGTAAGACGGCAAAATATCTTTATCCAGTTCAATTAATTGTGGTGGTTGATTTAAAAATGTTTTCTTATCATCATCATTAGGTTTTATAATCGTGTGACTCCTCCAACCTAAACGTCCCAATATTCTTCGTCCAACTGGAAATTCTTTATTCTTTGATTCAATTATTATTCCCACTTGACCACCGATCATTACACTACCAACTGGAATTTTTAACGAGTAAACTCTCATATACGGGTCCACTGAAAGCCACTCAGCCTTAACGAGATATTCTGAAAAAATACCCAAAAAAAAAACAATAATTAATTTCAAGAATTAATTTTTTTATTTTTATTTATTAAGAAAAATTATTCACTCAAGTGAGAAAATGATAAAAAAGATATTTACCTCCATCTTCAATCGGTGGCAATTCTTCTTCCACTAATTTCAAATCCGTTTCCTTAGGTTCACCATCAAAATGCTTGACGATAATATATTTTCTAGCGAGAACCATGATTTCTTCAGAGAAAAATAATCACAAAAATTCTTTGCAATAATATTTACGATGCAAAATTTCGTCTTGATATTTGTAAACTTAAGAAAGTGTTTTATAAGCAAAACCGGTGTTCATTTTTTGTGGGTGGGGAGGAAGATAAAGAGAAATAAAGATATTACAGGGCCGGCTTTCATTAGAAATTTTACAAAGTGTACAAAAATCACAGTGATAAAAAGAAAAAATGAAAAAAGGAGACTACTTTTAATAATTTTAGAGGGTTGACACAGAAATTTAATTTTCATTTTCCCCGACTTTTCCCTGATTTTCAGACAAAATTTTGACTTTTTTTCTGAAACTAAAGGAATATATATATTGAATTTCTGCGATTTTTAATTGAAATTTTATTATACTTTCGAAAATAATTGAATTTCTGCAATCACTTGTAATTTTTTTCGAAATTCAATTTTTTTTAGTGTTTTTAACTAAAATTCATTTTTAAATCAATTTTTATATGAAAATTCTATGAGAATTCAATTATTTAAACACAAAAGTAAATACTTTACTGAATAATTGAATGTTTTTTAAAATTTATTTCTCATAAAGAATTTTATCAACAAATTTTTAAATAATTGAATTCTTTTCATAAATTTTAATAAAAAATTTTAGAATAATTACATTTTTTCAGGAATTTGAAAATATTGAATTGAATTTCTTGCGAAGAATTTTGTTATTTATGAAAATAATTTAATTATTGCGAAGAAATTTATAAAAAATTTGTTTCTCTCTGTTTGCGTAGAATTTTATTAAAATTTATTTTTAATAATTGAATTCTTTTAGAAAATGCTATTAAAATAATAAAAAACGAAAAATCATTGAAAGAGGAAATTTTTTTTAAAGAATTGAAATTTTGACAAGAATTTTATTAAAATGTTTAAAAATAATTTAATTTTGAAGAGGAATTTTATTATACGTTTGAATATAATTGAAACTGTTACTAGAATTTAAAAGAAATTTTTGAACATAATTGAATTTCTGCGAAAAATTTTATTACTTTTGAAAATAATTGAATTTTTTCCTAAGAAATTTATAAAAAAATTTTGTAAATAATTGATTACCTGTAAAATTTTTTTATTATTTATGAAAATAATTGAATTACTGCGAAGAAATTTGTAAATAATTGAATTCAATTATTTTCCAAAATTTTAATGAAATTCAATGAAAGAATTGAATTATTTTCAGTGCAATTTTGATAAAACTTCTCTCGAATGTATTTAATTATTTTTTGAAACTTTCGTAAAATTCTTATCAGAAATACAATTACTTTTGAAAATTCTAATAAAATCGTCGCAGAAATTCAATTATTTTCTATAAATAATAAAATTCTTCGCTCTTGCCAAAAATTTTCAATTATTTTCATAAATTTCAAACTTTTAAAGAGAAATTTTTGTCAGAAATAGAAAAAATTGAAGGTTTTGTATTAGAATTTGTGGCGCAATTTTCCTGACAATTCTACTTTTCTCTGAATTTCCTGACTTCCCTGACCTGTGAGGCCAATCCTATTTGAAATAAGACACACAAATAATTATTTAAATTATTTATTTACAAACAATATCCTATTTTACAAAATACTGACGAGAAAGAGAGAAATATAGAAAAAAAGAAAGAAATGACGAGAAATGTAATAATTAATCTAAAAAAAAATTCCTTAAAAGCCTAGGAAGAATTAATAACATTCCAGTAGAGTAACCAAATCGGAAGCATAATAGAAACAATAAACGAATACAGCCAATTTCCATAAATCGTCGAATCAATTATACTGAGTACAAAAGCTTGTTTCGTCGCCTTCCAGCCTCGGTAAAGAATTGTCAAAATAGCCTCTTCTTTAAAATTTGCGTACGTATAACCAGTGACAATAAACGAAGCGAGTGCAAACGGATGCAAAAGGGGCCACAAAATATAGAGAATTTTATAAAAACCCCTCATTGCACTAGAATTTGAATTGAAATCAGAATTTGAATTAGAATCAGAATTAGAATCAGAATCAGAATTCGAATTGGAATTCGAATTCATTGGAATAAGTAGAGTGAACGGAACAAAAGTGACAGCTGTCAATAGTGCTAGGGAAAAATTATGAATTTCCACACACATCAATGCCGTTCCTAATTCTATCGAAGTAACAATACAAATTAACGAGGTATTCTTAAAATTATCTTTTCTCTTTGGCCGTAAAACTGGAAATAGAATCGTAAAAACTAAAACTATCGCTAGGGAGAAATAAGTCGCACTCTCCGTGTGCCATTTGAAATAATCAGTCACCATCGAAATTAACAATCTAGGCGAGGACATTAACAGAAAACCAAAGAGATGAGTCCACAATAGTTCCGAAGTCACGTAACCAATGTCGAATTCTTTTTTCGTCACTTTATCAGTTTCTTTACTTTTCCTGTCACTTTTAATTTCTTTGACACTTTTACTTTCCCTAACATTTTTACTTTCCTTGTCACTTTTACTTTCCCTGACATTTTTACTTTCCTTTTCACTTTTACTTTCCTTGACACTTTTACTTTCCTTGTCACTTTTATTTTCCTTGACATTTTTACTTTCCTTGTCACTTTTATTTTCCTTGTCACTTTCTTCGCTTGTCTTGTCACTTTCCTTCTCTTGATTCAATTCCTGTAGTCGGAGCCAAATGGAAAAGGCCTTGATGAAAAGTGTCGTGATAATCAAAACCAAGGGCAGTGTATAAATTCCAATAGACACATAACGATCGGTCGAGGGCAGAAGATAAAAAAAGTACGACTGATGAAAACGTTCGAGTAAATTATTCAAAGATCGAATGATACTCTCCACAACACGACCAACTTTAGAGAAATTTGCCTCCGGTCCATTTGTCGTCTTTTCAAAACCCTCCAATGTTATCGCCTCAATTCCAAAACGATGAAACAAACCATGATTTCCGGTCGGCACCCCGGTCGCTTGACTCATTATCATCATCGCCATTGTCCTCCCTCGATACAACCACTTTTTATAATTACTCTCCGACTTGAAGTCAAATCGTTTCTGCACCGATCTACGAATATCCTCCTTATGAATCATATTCTGCGCCAAATTGAATAAATCAAGATTCGGCAATTGTCCATTCAGACCCTCGACTTTCACGTCAATTGACGTTATTTTCATTGCGTGCATTTCGAGAACAATAGCCGCTTGAATGGAACCTGCTTTTCCCGGAAGATCGCCAGCAAGGAGAACGCCACTCTGTCCACTTGTCACTCCATGATAGGCGTCGAGCCAAGCTTGAATTCCCAATTGTTCGTGTTCGGTTACTAGAAAAATAATATCCTTCGCCCAATATTTTTGTTTACGACAAAATTGCGCGAATGCCAATAATAAAGCAATTGAAGGCGCTGTCGTTGGATGAATACTACTCAACGAACGATAGGGAACATTAATGACAATTGATTCTGTACTTACACTTCTTGGTGCACGTACAATGCCGTAAACATTTCTACCTGTGAATTTTTGATTACGAAATGGATGATTGAGGGTAAAATTATGAATATAAGTGTCCAGGTGCAATTGACGAAATCTTGAGGCCATCCACGAGACGGGTAATGAATCGGTACGATGTTTCTCCATTTCGCGCATTAATTCTTTGTAGAATATTTTTGAATCGTACATTAGATTACTTTCTTTTGTCACCAAACCGGGTAGAAGGGCATTTTCCGAGAAATATGTATTGTCACTGAAAGTAGGTGTTGCCAGTAGCATTGTCCAAATAATTCCGCCGAGATACATTAGAAAACAGAGTGATTTCTCCCAGCGGAGAATAAATTTCATTAGTTTCATATTCCCTGCACGTGGATCCGTTAAAAGACCCATTGTTTATAAATTTTTTCACACTCACTTTTTTGTTTTTAGACCAGAAGTAAAAAAGACTGTTTCTTGCGTGTTTTATTGATCATCAACATAACCTAAAATCGCGTGTCGATGTCAACAAAACATCCCAACCTAATCTGACAGATGCGGGTGCAGAAAGGGCGCGAACTTTTGAAATATTTAAAATTTTAAAATAATAGAATACGAGAGAAAAAAAATAATTTTCTCTCAAATTACATCATTCACACTCATTAATTAGTAAAAACGACAAAGTAGCTTTAAAATAATAACTTTAATTCTAAACTATTGTAAAAAATTCAATTATTTTCAAAATAATTATTAATTTACAATAATTAATAATTAAATTAAATAATTTTCAAAATCTAACTTTAAAACTTAATAATTATTTTATATTTAATTATTTTATTATTAATTTATTTAAAAAAAAATTATTTTTAAAAATTGTAATAAAATTTTTTAAAAAATTCAATTATTTCAAGCGTTTAAAATTATTTTCGGGAATTTAATAATTTTGAAAAACTTTCTGAATAATTGAATTCCTCCGAAGAATTTTTGATTATTTACAAAAATAATTGAATTCTTGCAAAGAATTTTATTAAAATTTTTGAAAATAATTTATTTTTTATAAAGAATTGTAACAAAATTTTCTAAAATAATTGAATTACTCAAAAGAATTTTATTATTTACAAAAATAATTGAATTTTTAACTTTTTTATTATTTACTTAATAATTGAATTCTTGCCAAGAATTGTATTAAATTTTTGAAAATAATTTAATTATTTCAAAGATATTTAAAAATTATTTCGTTTTGAATTAAATATAATTGAATTTTTTCACAGAATTGTAATAATAATTTTGAAAATAATTTAATTCTTTCGACGAATTTTATAAAGAATTTTATTAAAATTTTTGAAAATAATTTAATTAACTCGAAGAGATTTAAAATTCTTTCGAGACATTTTAAGTATTGAAAAGAATTGAATTTTTATAAGGAATTGTAACAAAATTTTTTTAAATAATGGAATTATTTCGACAAATTTTGTAAACAATTTTAAAATAATTAAATTCTTTTTAGCAATTTCATTTAAATTGTATTGAAAATAATTCAATTCCTTCGATGAATTATATTATTTACGAAAGTAATTAAATTCTTAAGAATTTTATTATTTCCGAAAATAATTGAATTTCTTGCGAAGAATTGTATTATTTGTGAAAATAATTGAAATTCTTGCGTAACATTATATTATTTATGAAAATAATTGAAATTCTTGCGAAGAAATTGAAATTTGAAATTAATTAAATTGTTTCAAAGAATTTTATTAATATTTTTGAAAATTTTAAATAAAAATTTCAAAATAATAGTTTTCAAAATAATTATTGTATAGTAAGTTTAATTAATTAAAATATTTTTATCAGTAAGTTTTCATAGTTTAAAATTGGAATCGAATGAAATTCAAATCGACTAAAATTTTAATAGATTAGACTAAGAAAAACATTACTTTTAGTGGCAGAAAACTAAAAATAAATATTCAAATACAGTATCAAATCGTAAAAAAGTAGTAAATGGAAGTATTTCAGTAGATGATTTCAAAGCCTGCATATCGAAAGAAAATAAAATTATTCTTTTTCATAAATTTCTCGATAATAATTCTGCGATTGATGAATTTTCATAAATTTAAATTTCAATTCTCAAGTATCGACTTTGACAATTGTTTTTCCCATATTATCTCCATTTAGTGCACCAACGAATGCTTGAAATGTATTTTCGAATCCTTGATAAATTGTCTCACGAGAAATTAATTTATTTTCTTGAATCCATTTATAATTACTGGCAAAACTCTCATGATAACGATTTTCCCAACGATGAATAAGAAAGCCTTCCATTTTCAATTGTTTACAAACAATTGGAAACTGTATACTTTTTGCTAGAGGCGAAATTTGCGGTTCCGAATTGTAACACGATATACTTCCACAGACAGAAATTCGTCCAAAATCGTTCATTTGAAATATAACTGTGCTGGAAATTTCACCACCAACCTTATATTGTTGCAGAAAAAAGAGAAATTAATTTTCAATTAGTAATAATTTCAATTTTTGATTGTCATAGACATAATATAATTTAGTGAATATTTACTAAAATTAAATTAATTACTAATTAAATTAATAATTGAATACTGAATTAATTACTAATTTAATTAATAACTAAATACCTGAATTAATTACTAATTTAATAAATAACTAAATCCTGAATTAATTATTAATAGAAATTAATAATTAATTTTGATTTAATTAATAAATTTTTAAATAACGAAATATTTTTAAAAAATAACGAAATATTTGTCAAAAAAATAAAATATTTTCGTAAAATGATAATAAAATTCTTACATTGTCAAAGTAGCAATCGATACCATTTGGTGCGGCTATTTTTAGAGCATCGGATAAATTCTCTGTTTTATAATTAATCGCGTGATCGAAACTGAGTTCATCAACAAGCCATTTACATTTTTCATCCGATCCGGCAATTCCAATAACTCTGAGACCTTTAATTTTGCCAATTTGTCCAACGTGTGAACCAACAGCGCCGGCTGCTCCACTAACAACTAATGTTTCACCAGCTTTTGGTTGACAAATCTCCAAAAGACCAAAATATGCAGTTTCACTGGAAAAAAAAATGACCTCTATTTTTAATAATTAATTAATTATTATTTTTCTTTGTCACAATCATAAAATATTCTTTATTAAATTGTTTTTTCGAACTTGGTAAAAAATTTAATTTAACAATTGAACAAACGACGGACGTAAAACTTTTTGAAGAATAAAATACTTTTATTCACCCTGGCATTCCCAAAATACCGAGACCAATTGAAGGTGAGAATTCACCGAAATCTGGTAGAACGCGAGGTTTTTCTGACATAAATTCATGTCTTTGCCAATTTTTCGGATCAATTATTGTATGCGTTCTCCAACCATACCAGCCACGAATTCTTCCGCCAACTGGAAATTGAGAATTTTTTGACACTACAATTTTACCCAATTGTAGGCCGAACATCACATCGCCAATTGCCTGGAGATTTGAATATTGTCTTATGCCAGGATCTATTGAAATATATTCTGCCTCTATCATGAATTCTACGAAAAAATTATTACATATTATTATGTACCTATTAAAAAATTTTTTTACTATTATTAGATTTAATTATTTTAATCCAAAATTTATTTTATTTATTTTAACTTTTTCAAATTAATTTTACTTAATTTTCCAAATTGAATTATTTATTCTCTTTTATAGAAGAAATAAAAATCTCACCTCCCATTTTTACTAATGGTAATAATTCTTCAATCAAAACTAAATCAGAAGATTTTGGCATTCCCTCAAAATGTTTAGCAATCACAAACTTTTTCGATAGAACCATTTTGGAATTCTTATTTTCGTTTTCTTTTTTACTTACTTTTTTTTATTTTTTTTTATTATTATTATTATTGACTTATTTTTCTTCTATTAACAGCCTTTTGAAAAGTTCACTTCGTGAATAGTGAAGAAAATAGAAAAGAGTCGATTACATTTTTACGAAACAAAAAAAAAAAAGGAAAAAAATTCCAACTAAATATTCAAATTATATTATCTATTCAGAAAAATTTAACATTCATTTTCCTCTTTTCGTTTGATTAAAAAATTAATTATCAATTCAAATTGAGATTTTTGAGATTAATGAGGGTGGAAAAGTTGTGATAGTATCAAAAGTTCTTGAAAATATTACATAAGGCAATTGTGATTAATAATTATTTTTTTACTAACACTTATCAGTTTGATATTTATTTTTAAAGTATTTTGTCGCGAAATATTCGAGCAAAAAGTATACAAGTGTAAGAACAATTGTTCTTATCAACATTATTAATAAAAAATTAATAATATTATAATATACTAATAAAAATTAAAATTAATATTGAAAATAATATTCCACAAGGGATTAAAATAAAAAAAAATTAGTAATCAATAAATAATTCCATTTTCTTAACTTTAGATTAGACTTTTTGAAACTACAGTTGAGTCAAGTTAAGTTTTGAAATTTCAGTTAAAAAAAATGAAAGCAAACAGTGAATTTCTTCGAGTTTTATTTAAAATGTAAAGAGCTAAAAATATTTGCATTTAATTTAGAATTTCGAATTTGTAAATTATTAATTTGATTTTTAACTTTTTGCTTTGACAGTACGTGACAAATATCTTTAAGCAAGAGAATTAATTATCATACATTACTTCTGGCTAATTAACAAGTCGCATATTTTCATCAATGCAATTTAGCACTTGATAATGCAACAAATTTGATCCGTTGGACAATTTTTCATCAAGGTCCTGTCTATTAGAATATTTGGATCAAAAATTCGTAAGTCCAGATTTTTATGATTGGAGAACGCATTTTATTTTATATTTTATATTTTCCATTTTAAATTTTAATTCCGTCAATTGGATATTTTTTTCTCTTTTAATTTCTCTAATTTTTTACTTTCCGAAAATTAGTTTTCCTTTGGGAAATAATTTTTTAGCAAAAGTTTCAGCAAACCAAAAACTGATAAAACATTAGTTGCCGATTGACTTGTAATTAAATGATGAATTTTCAGTTTCGAAAAAATAGTCGCACCAAATGATAATTGCCTGAAATCATATCCAAATTATTAATAATTACATTATTTTCAATACAATTTCAAATAATATTTCTCAAAAGAAATTAATTATTCTAAAAAATTTGATAAAATTCTTCGCAAAAAGTCAATTATTTTCGAAAAATTTTGATTAAAATCTAAAGGAGAATTGAAATATTTTCAATACAATTTTAATTAAATTCCTCGAAAAAATTCAATTATTTTCGCCACAATATTAATTAAATTCTTAGCAAGATTTTAATTATTATTTTCATAATTTATAAAATATTTCTCTGGAATTTATTTTAAAGAATATTATTTATTTTTCGCCAAAGTTTTATTATTTGGAAAAATTTCAAAAAAATTCTTTATAAGAAAAACATTTAATTAAATAAAAAAAATTTAATTCTTTAACTAAATAATAAAATTCTTCGCAGAAATTCAATTATTGTTAAAAATTTTTTATAAAATTCTTTATAAATGATTTATTTTTTATAGAATTTTAATAAAATTCTTACTAAGATTTCAATTATTTTCATATAATTAGTAACATTTCTCGAAAGAATTCAATTATTTAAAAATTTTTTTGTTTAAATTCTTTATAAGAACTAAAATATTTTAAAATGCAATTGAAAAATGTTGATAAAATTATTTATGAGATATAAATATAATTCTTCGCAGGAATTTAATTATTTTAAAGAATTTTAATAAAATTCTTGGCAACAATTTTATTATTTTGAAAAATTTCAATAAAATTCTTTATAGGAAATAAAATTTAATTCTTTTCATAAATATAATAAAACTGTTTTTTTCAATAATGATTTAAAATACACAAAATATTTTAAATTTAAATTAACAAAGTTTAAAAAACTGAATTATTTTAAATTAATATTGAAAAATTGTAATTTAAAAATTATTGGTTTGCATAATTTGTTATTTAAATTTATATAACAAATTTTTCCACTCAGGACGATAATTTCTTGCACTGAACGAATGCGACAAAGTGAACGTCAATAAATTTGTGTGCAAAAAAAAATTACCAAAAATTATAAAATTAACAATCTTTTTTGTTCTTCAATTGAAAAATATGGATCAAATTAAAAACGAAAATAAAATAACCAAGAAATCCAAAAATATTGACAAAAATGAACCGAGTATTATAATTATTGGAGCCGGAGCATCAGGAATTGCTGCCGCGGCAAAACTTTGTGAAAATAATTTCCAAAATGTAAAAATTCTCGAAGCTGAAAATCGAATAGGTGGACGAATTCATACAACTAAATTTTGTAATCAAACTCTTGAATTAGGAGCTCATTGGATTGTTGGCGAACATGGAAACGTGATTTGTGATTTAGCGAAGAAATATAATTTATTCGATGCTGGTACAGGAACCATAGATGACAGTGAAGAGAAAATATTCAATTCCTCAGGAAATTTGATTAGTCTAAATCCAACAGAATTGGAAAAACTCAGTGAAATCTACGATATTGAGGGTAATTTCAAAGAATTTTGCTTGGAGAATAAAAATTCATCGGTAGGCGATTTTTATAATGGAAAAATTCATCAATTTCTCGAGGAACATCCAAAATGGAAGGCAAATAAAAAAGGAATTACCCATCTTCTTGATATGATGATGATGGCACTCTATTCCGGCGACAGTTGGAATGATTCTTCAGTGATGAACAACATAAACTATGAGGAATGTCCCGGAGAGTATATATTCAATTGGAGGGAACGTGGATTTATTTCCATTATCGATATTCTCATGAGACGTTATCCAAAAATCGATGAACAATTACCAGTGATGAGTAACATTCATCTGAAGACAAAAGTTTCATTAATTGATTATTCTAGAAAAAATGGAAAAATTATCGTAAAAACAACAAATAACGAGTGTTACACTGCCGATCATGTTATTTTCACCTGCTCGGTTGGTGTATTAAAAAAACAACATAACACACTCTTTAAACCCCCATTATCGGATCTAAAGCAAAAGGCAATTCAAGAAATGGGTTATGGAACATTGGTGAAAATTTATCTCTACTACGATGAACCATGGTGGAATGTTAGCGAATCTATTGGTCACAGTTTTCTTTGGTCGGACAATGATTTGGAACTAATGGAGAGTGATGGGAAAAATTGGCTACCAGGGTTAGTGGGATTTTATTCTTTTCGTGATAAACCGAAAATAATTTCCGGTTGGGTTTTTGGTAAATATGCACGTATCGTGGAAAGTTGCAGCGATGAAGAAGTGAAAAATCATTGCTTTCAAATATTAGGAAAATTTCTTGGTAAAAGTTATAATGTCACGTATCCAACGTCAATCCTCAGGTCAAATTGGTACAGTAATGAAAATTTTAACGGAACTTTTTGTTATTTTAAAATGAATAGCGATCATGGAATTGGTAATGCTGAAAATCTTGGCGAACCTATTGTTAATGATGATGATAAACCGATAATTTTGTTTGCCGGTGAGGCGACGAGTGAACATCATTTGACAACAGTTCATGGTGCAATTGAAACTGGCTGGAGAGAGGCGCAAAGAATTATTGATTATTATTCATAAAAAAGGAAAAATAAAAACAATAATTAAATATTTGGTAATAATAATAATTTACTATTATTATTTACGTTAATGGAAATATTAACTTTAAATTTTTAAATTATTAAATAATAATAATTATTTAATACTTATTATTATTTAATTATTTAATATTTATTTTAATTAATTTCATTTAATATTAATATTTACGTTGAAATTCACAATGATTATAATCAAAAATTTGGAAATAAAATGTTTCATTTGGATTTTAGTCCAAAAAGAATTTGTTTACAATATTTTCTTGATAAAAAATTTTGAATTATTTGTAAACAAAAAATATGAGAAGCTACAAAAATTTGATTTTATTTTATTCTGACATTTCCCTGATTTTCAGAAAGAATTTTAACTCTTTCCTTGAAATTAAAAAAAATATATATTAAAGAAGTAAAAAATATTGAAGAGGATTTTAATTATAGAAAATTAAAAAAAATATCATTTTTAGAAGCAAAAATTTAATTTCAAACTTTAGGGAAATTTAAAAAAAAAATTCAATTACGTTCTTAATAGCATTTTAGGAAACTTCAATTATTTAAAAAAAATCTTCAATTATAGACTTGATTATAAAAATTCAATTATTTTTAAGCAATGGAACTATAATCAGGATTCCTACAGAAATCCAAATTTGAAATTCCATACCTTTTCCATGATTTACAGGTCAAATTTTTACGAAATTCCAGTGGAATTTTAAATCTAATTTCAATATTTTTGGGCTCTTTAAAAACACTTTACTTATTTAATAGTCTCCACCCTTTGGTAAAAATTCTAAAATTATCGAAAATTATCAAAAATTCAAAAATCCGAATTTCTTATAAATCAACATTTTTTCCTCTCTTTTATGGGATTTAGCTTCATTATTTTTGTGCTCTTGGAAAATACTTTACTTATTAAATAGTCTTGAATCTTTGGTAAAAAATCTAAAATTATCAAAAATTATCAAAAATTCAAAATACCGAATTTCTTAAAATTCAACACTTTTTCCTCTCTTTTATGGGATTTAGCTTCATTATTTTTGTGCTCTTGGAAAAGTAAAAAATCTAAAATTATCAAAAATTATCAAAAATTCAAAAAACCGAATTTCTTAAAATTCAACATTTTTTCCTCTCTTTTATGGGATTTAGCTTCATTATTTTTGTGCTCTTGGAAAATACTTTACTTATTAAATAGTCTCGACTCTTTGGTAAAAAATCTAAAATTATCAAAAATTATCAAAAATTTAAAAAACCGAATTTTTTAAAATTCAACATTTTTTCTTCTCTTTTATGGAATTTAGCTTCATTATTTTTGTGCTCTTTAAAAACACTTTACTTATTTAATAGTCTCGACTCTTTGGTAAAAAATCTAAAATTATCAAAAATTCAAAAAACCGAATTTCTTAAAATTCAACATTTTGCTTCCTCGTGAGGAAGCTTTGTAGTCGTTTAATTTACAAAATTTTTAAAAATCCTTTTAACAAATTTTCTTCTATATGGGACTATGTTATATAAGACCCTGAACAATTGTCCGGATGTATGTATGTGTGTGTGTGTATGTGTGTGTGTGTGTGTGGATCCCGATTTTTGTGAACACGATAACTCAAAGAGGTTTTAACGAATTTGGCTAAAATTTACCAGGTATGTTTATCCTAAAAATATCTCGAAATGGATTGATAGACTTTAAAAAATTCTCAAAAAAAAAATTTTTTTTGACTTTTTTCTAAAAAAAATTTTTTTTAAGTTGGTTATTGAAGTTAATAAATAATAAAATCTTATTCTTTGCATCAAGACGAATCGATTGGTATATAAAAAGTATAAATTGTATGAGAATTTGCAGAGTTAATCACAATTAAAGCTGAAAAATTCGCGTTTTTATCAAAAAATGAGTGCTTTCCGCAAAATTATGTTGCCGTATAAGAAAATCTTACTCATTTATTTCTAAAATCTTATTCTTTGCACCAAGACGGATCGATTGGTATATATAAAGTATATATTGTATTTAAATTTATAGAATTAAAACCAATTATAGACAAAAAATTTGCACTTTTAATAGAAATTCATTTTTTCTTAAAAATCATGTTGCTGTACAATAAAATGTTATTATTTATTGAAAAATAAATCAAAAATCTTATTCTTTGCATCAAGACGAATCGATTGATTTATATAAAGTATATAATCTATTGAAAAATATAGAATTAATTACAATCAAATTTGAAAAATTCACTTTTTTACTAAAATTTTTTTTATTTATTTAGATTCATATTACTGTTTAAGAAAATTTTATTCTTTCTATTAAGACGAATGCACTTTATTTTATAAATGTTAAATTGTATTAAAAGTTATTTAAAAATTAAATATTCTTATTGTTAATGCTTCCTCCACGAGGAAGCAAATTTTTTTTGCTGATCGTAAAGAGGAAGCAAAATGTTCATGTAATGAACATCTGGATTTACAACTTGTTTTCTTCTCTTTTATGGGATTTAGCTTCATTATTTTTGTGCTCTTGGAAAATACTTTACTTATTAAATAGTCTCGACTCTTTGGTAAAAAATCTAAAATTATCAAAAATTCAAAAAACCGAATTTCTTAAAATTCAAAATTGTGTCTTTTCTTTTATGCCATTTAGCTTTATTATTATTTGAATTTCTATTCAAGAGAAAAAATGGAAGAATTTTAGAAAAATTTAATTTTTTCAAAATTTTTTGAATTCTTTTTTTTATAAATATTCAACAATATTTAGAAAATTAAATTGAAATATTTTAAAATGTCTAATGAAATTATTGGACTAATTTAATTATTTTCCCCTCAATTTCACAAAATTTCCATTAATTTGATATTTTATTAAAATTTTTCTCAAAATTCAAGTATCTTTAAAAGAATTAATTTAAATTTTTAAGAAATCTAACTTTTTTTTTATAATTTTATACGAAATTAATTCCTCTGGTTAACTTGCTTCCTTGATTATTTTCAAAAAATTCAATTATTTCTTTTTATATAATTTTAGAAAATTTCAATTACTTCAAAAAATTTTTAATTACATTTTTTTAAAAATTCAATTAAATAAATGGAAATATTGATAAAAAATTGAAAATTTAAATTATCTTTAAAAAAATGAATTGACCCTGATTATTGTTTGTTGCTTAGAAAGTATTTTTTCCTTCCAATTGTCGATAATAAACTTTGTTAACTTCACCTACGTTATCACTTGGCACTAAAAAAAATATTTTGAAAATAAAATGGTAAAATTACTATAAAATAATTATTATTGTAATTACAATACTAATTATTATTAATAATTAGTTTTTATTAATAATAAATAATTATTATTTATTATTAATTACATTTGCACTTGATTATCAATTTATAAAAAAATGCAATTCATATTCTAAATAAAAGATTATACGAATTATTGTTTTCTTTTTCGATTATTAAATGCAATTAATTTTTTCTTTAAATTATTAAAGATAATAAAAAAAATTATGTGATAAAAATTGTGTTTACCGGTTGTTTTGTTTTTTTCCAATCAGTAGTATTTTGTTTTTAAATGCATTCCTATAGGTCTCACATTGTCATCAAAGAAACAGCTGAATATCTATCCCCCACTTTTTTAGATTATTTTTTCTTCTCCTCTCCTCCACTCTCTTCGTCATTCGCTGCTTTTCAAGTGTTTTTGCAGCATCGGTTGAAACTTCGTTGTATAGACAGTTTCAGATAAGCATCCGTTAAAGTGAAATTCTATTCCTCTTCTTTAATTTTGATTTTGCTTTCTCTGAAAAATAATTAAACATTTGTAATTATTCTTTAGTACTATACTTTAGCGTAACATATAAATAAGTGGATTCTGTTAAATCAGTGAATTGAAAAAATGGTTTTATCTAAGAAATTCATAATTGAAAAATATTTCAAAGGCGAACCGAATGCTTCTGACGTGAAATTAGTCGAAGAAGAATTGCCCGCGATTCAGGATGGAGGTATGTTGTTATTATTTTAATAAATAATTTAATAAAAAGGCGAAAAAAAGGGTAAATATTGTTTAAAAACTCATTTTTTTCTTATGGGAAGAAAAACATTAGATATTCTCGTTTCTTAATATTTTTGTAGGAAATTCTCAATTTTCATTAAGGAAATAATTTGCATCAATTCTATTTCTTAGTTTCAATTGTTTTAATAAAATTCAGTTTTTTAAAAATAAAGGAAAAAAAAGGTTTATAACTTCCATTTGTCAATTAGAAAATTTAATTGAAAATGAAACTGAAAATTTTTTAATTTTTAGAATATAAGGGAAAAAATTTTATTGAAAAAAATGTTCTGTTAAATTTATTTACGTATATGTTTAATTGTAAAATTATTCGAAAACAATTTCTTTTTTAAATATTCTAAATATTTAATTATTATTATTTTTCCATATAGGAATTAAGTTTGTCAAAATTTTCAAATTTAAACTAAAATTCATTTTCAAATAAATTTTTATTAGAAAATTCTACAAGAATTCAATTATTTAAACACAAAAGTAAATTATTTATTGAATAATTGACGAATTTTACGAATGTTTACGTTCAATTATTTTTAAAATTGATCATTTTATTTAAAATAGTGAGAAGTTAGCCGCGCGAATTGTTGCTAGTTAAATAATTAAATTAAAGGAAATAAAATAAAATAAATTAATATAAAATAAAATAAAAAACACAATAAAATAAATTAAGGAAATCAAATTTAGCATAATAATAAATAAAATAAATTAACAGAATAAAATAAAAAAACACAATAAAATAAATTAACGAAATAAAATTTACAACAAAAAAGTAAAATAATGTAAAATTTCGCAGAGGTTCTCCTCGAAGCTGAATATTTATCAGTCGATCCATACATGAGGGGGTATTCGTCAACTCTTCCAATTGGCAGTGTCATGTTAGGCGGTCAAGTGGCAAAAATAATTGAATCAAAAGACCCGAAATTTCCTGTTGGCAAACGAGTGAGAGGATATTTTGGTTGGCGAACTCATACAATTATTAATCCCTCAAAATGGAAACCTTCTAAATTCTTGGAGGAGAAACCAAAAGTGTTTCACGATTTTGGAGATTTATCGCCTTCTCTAGGTCTTGGTGTACTTGGCATGACAGGGTAAATAGAAACGAAAACCATTTAATGCACTTAATTAATTTCTCCAAGAAATAATTTTCTACTCTTCTTTTTTTTAATAGAGACACGGCATATTTTGGTCTTTTGGAGATTTGTCAAGCAAAAGCTGGAGAAACTCTAGTTGTCAGTGGAGCAGCCGGCGCCGTTGGTTCACACGTTGGACAAATTGGCAAAATTAAAGGTCTCAGAGTTATTGGAATTGCCGGATCGGATGAAAAATGTAAATGGATCGTCGATGAACTTGGATTTGACTCGGCTATTAATTATAAAACACAAGACGTGTCTGTCGCTCTAAAGAAAGCTGCACCTGATGGTGTTGATTGCTATTTCGACAATGTAAGCAATTTAACGCAAATAAGTTTCGAATTAAAACTTTCGCGAATCATAAACACTTTGAAATTAATTTGATGAATTTTATTAATTTTATTAATTTAACACTAAAGAATCGAAATCTTTTCAACAGGTTGGAGGCGAAATATCGACAGCTGTAATTTACCAGATGAAACTTTTCGGGCGAATTGCAATTTGCGGATGCATTTCGTGTTACAATGATGACATGAATGAACTGCCAAAGACTAAAATCGTTCAAATTGGTCTTCTAATGAATCAAGTGAAAATGGAAGGCTTTATCGTCACTCGATGGTCGGATCGGTATGATGAGAGTTTTGAGGAAAATATGAAGTGGATACGTGAGGGAAAATTGAAATATCAAGAAACTATTACCGAGGGATTCGAGAATATGTACAAGGCCTTCTCTGGAATGTTAAAGGGAGAAAATACTGGCAAAGCAATTGTTAAAGTGTAATTCTATCCTGAAATGTGAAAATGTAATTATACATTAATTATAATTAGTCTATATTTTTATAACTTGTATTATTATATATTCTTTAATGTAAATTTAATATAAAAAAGGGAAAAATAAACGTAAAACGATTCCTAACCTAAAAAAGTGAGTTCAATTTGGATGATAATATTTTGGTGGGAATTCAATACGAAATTCGCGGTATACTTCGAAAACTGTTTTGTTATCAACTTACCAATTAATTTTTTATATTGTAACAGGAGAATAAGTATTTTTTTCACTTTATTTTTTAACACTAACGAACAAATTTTTAACGGAAAATGCCGGTGATCCGCCCGCCTACCGGTCATGTAAAAACCATATTTTTCAACGGTGGACAAGTTTCGAAATTGGGACAAGAATTATTCTGCAGGGTTGCCAACCATCTTTGAAAAAAATTACTAATTTTCTTCACGTCTACCAACCTAATTCTATCACAAAATTAAATTATTTTGAATTCAATTTCATAAAATTTCAATTATTTTGATAATTCTTTAGTAAAATTTGTTTGAAAATTCAAAAATATTTAAAAACTTAAATTAAAATTTCTCTGTAATCCAATTTAAATTTATGAATTCAATTATTTAATTATTTAAAAAGCAAATAATCTAATTTTTAATTAAAACATTTTAAAATTAAATTAATTAAAAATTTGATTTTTTTTAAATCTCCAATTAAATTCTCTCACAAAATTAAATTATTTTCAATTCAATTTCACAAAATTTCAATTAATTTGATAATTCTTTAGTAAAATTTTTTCAAAATTCAAAAATCTTTAAAAACTTTTGAATTAAAATTTCTTATTAATCCAATTTAAATTCATGTAATTCAATTATTTAATTATTTAATAATCAAATAATCTAATTTTTAATTAAAACATTAAAACAATTCAATTGTTCTCAAAAGTTTTTAATATGATTCTTTGTAAATTTCTATTATTTTCAAAATTTTCAATTAAAATTATTTTTTATAAAAATGCCATTATTTTTACGAAATTTAATGAAATTCTTCCAAACAAAATGTAATTATTTATAAACACTCTAATAAAATTGTTTAAAAGAATTTAATTTTCTCTAAATAATTTTAATATAAAATAATAGGAAAATCGTTAATTCCAATTAATAATAAACAGGATTATTTTAAAAACTTAAAAGAAATTCTTCTTAAAATTCAATTATTTTCACAATTTTCAGTAAAAATTATTAAAAGAAACTTTATTATTTTCAAGAATATTGAAATAAATTTTTCAAAACAATTCAATTATTTAAAAAAATTTTAATAAAAATCTTTCCAAGAATTAAATTATTTTCAATATAATTTTAATTACATTTTCTCGAAAGAAATCAATTATCAAAAAAAAAATGTTCATAAAATTCATGCAGCGAATTCAATAATTATTTTCAAATTTTTTAAAACTACTTTACAAAAATTCAATAATTTTTAGTACATCGACAATTTAATTATTTCTGGAAATAATTGAATTCTTGAATATAATTTTATTTTAACTTTTTTAAATAATTGAATCTCCGAAAGAATTTATTATTTCAACATAGAATTGAATTTTTGCAAAATCTAAAAAATGGAATGAATTTTATTTTTTGAGAAGAATTTTATTCAAATCGTATTTAAAATAATATTGAATTCCTGTGAAAAATTTACTATTTATTGATATTATTGAATTCTTTCGAAGAATTTAAAAAAAAATGTTTAAAAATAATTTCATTTTCCCAGGAATTAAATTAAAATTGTATTAAAAATAATTGAATTTAATTTTATTAAAAATTTTTTAAATAATAGAATTCCTGCGAAAAATTCAATTATTTTTTTAAATAATTGAACTCCTGTGAAAAACTCAATTATTTTTTAAGATAATTGAATTTTCTCGTAAAATTTTTACAAGATTTTTAAAAATAATTGAAATTTTCAAAGAAATCAAATAATTGAATCCCTGCTGCAAAAATTGTATTAAATTAACAGAAATTAAATTTACTTTACAAATTACCTCAAAATAGATAAAAATTTCTTTTTTTAAATTAAAATTCCAAAATTGAAAAAATAATTTCCAACATGTAAATAAAATTTCTAAATAACACATGTCGATATAATTATTGTTTTTATTAAAATTTCCACTCAATAACGCAAAATTTCCTTAAAAAACTATAAACAGTACTTGAACTAATAATTATTGAATAGTGGACAAAAAAAGAAGGAAATCTGTATATTATAAATGCATTCGAAAAAAAACTTGTCGTTGATACTATAAGAAACAGTTGGAAAACAAAATTTAATACCCAGAAAAGAAAGCCGCTCTATACTTGTATCAAAAAGAATAAATGAATAAATCTCTTCAATCAGTCTTCATTTTATGGAATTTAAACAATAATTTATCACTTATTTATAAAGAAAATCTCATTCTCAATGTTTGAATCTCAAAATTTCACTCTCTTTATTTCCCTTCACTATATAGTTATAGAGCTGTCTTTATGTCAAAAATATATTTTTTTCGCCCTAATTTTGACATTTATTTTGTATTCGGAATACTGTTTTGTAAATGTTCAGTATCTGGATTTTGTGATTTTACTGGAACTTGCTGAATTGGTTGTTGAACTTGTGGTTGATTAACTTGACCCTGAGGTTGATTAACTTGAATTTGTGGTTGATTACCTTGTCCTTGGGGTTGATTCACTTGTCCTTGGGGTTGATTTACTTGTCCTTGGGGTTGATTCCCTTGTCCTTGATTCACTTGCCCTTGGGGTTGATTCACTTGCCCTTGAGGTTGATTCACTTGTCCTTGGGGTTGATTCACTTGTCCTTGATTAATTTGTCCCTGGGGATGATTCACTTGTCCTGGTTGATGATATTGTTGCGGATTCACTTGATTTGGATGATATTGTTGTGGTGCTGGTTGATATTGTTGCTGTTGGCCAGGTACTTGTTGGGGCACTTGTCCAGGATGGACTGGCACTTGCTGATACTGTGGTGGGACTTGCTGATACTGCGGCACCTGATGTTGAGGAATCTGTTGATATTGCGGTCCCTGATTATGTGGAACTTGCTGATATTGTGGTACCTGCTGATGTGGAGCCTGCTGATATTGTTGATACTGCATTTGTTGTTGCTGCTGTTGAAGATGTTGTTGTTGTTGTTGTTGAAGATGTTGCTGCTGTTGCTGATACACAGGTTGTCCATGATAAGGAACTTGTTGATTTGGCGGCATCTGTCCCATTTGCGATAAATGCTGCAATTTCGGATAATTTTAATTAGTATTAATTATTGATAATTTGATAGAAAGAAAATAGTAATTTATCAAGTAATTTAATTATTACTATTAATGAGAGTAGTTTATTAAGTAATTTGATTATTACTATTAATAAGAGTAGTTTATTAAGTAACTAGCAAATGATACGCGCGAAACGTGGTATTCTATTTATTACTATTTTGTAAATTAAAAATTTTTATATTTTAAAGAATAAAAATCAATTTTGGAATGATTATTGATTCAAAATTTAAAGAATTAAATTATTTAGAACAAAATATGAAATATTCTTGTTTATTATTATTTAAAAATTTTTTTAAAAATTTTTCGCAAGAATTTCATTATTCTCATAAATAATAAAATTCTTTAGAGCAATTCAATTATTTTCAATACAATTTTAATAAAATTTCTCGAAAGAATACAATTATTTTTAAAACTATGAATTGAAATCGATTATTTTCAAGAATTTAAATATAAATTAAATACAATTTTAATTACATTTTTTCGAAAGAATTTAATTATTGAAAGCATCTAGTTACAAATTTTTTTTCAAATTGTAAGTATTTTGACATGTTTTATTGACTCACCTCTTGTGTTGATGAATTTACAAAGAAGATGGTGATATTTTCTACCAAAGACAATGAATCGTGCACATGCTTAATTATTCTAATAACTACCACAAAGAAAGAGAAATGAATACCAAGGAATGACTCCAATTTTAATGAAAGTGTCCAATAAATGTTGTGTTAAACATTACCAAGCGTAATTTTTTTCTAATTATTATTTTTCTAAAATACTTATTTTAAACCCCTAACTTTTTATCAAGAAATTGATAAAAAAGTTATAATAATTATTATTATTATTATCTTGCAAAGTTCGAAACTTCAAAACTTCGAACAACAATTCAACTAACAACTTTTAATATTTTTAATAGTGGAAGGAAGTTTATAAAGTTTATAATTATAAATTATATAGAAAAATCGTTTAATAAAAAACAAGTTTATTAATACATTAGAAGGAAATTAGTAATAGTAACTACTTAAAAATTAGTATGATGAATTTAGAATGAAGAATTTTAATAAATAATTTACTAGAGGAATATTTATAATAATAGAGGAAATTCAGAAATGTTAATATTACACTACTAAAGGTGTGGAAAAAAAATTTGTTTTCGATTCTACTTTTTTTTTGTCTACGTCGTACTTACATTATCGATCGATTTTTTAACGTCTTCCATTCTTTTTTTCTCGAATGCTTCATATTCTTCTTGAGTGAATTGTTTATTTTCATCAATCGTTTCCCAGCCTGAATCCACGGCGAACTGTGGATTGTTCGTTACTGCTAAATATTCGTCGTAACTGTTGAAAATAAACAATATTTACAGTAAGCGCAGTACAAAAATGTTTATAAATCATAAAACAATTGATACTGTGAAAAATGTACTATTTATTGATATTATTGAATTCTTTCGAAGAATTGAAAAAAAATGTTTAAAAATAATTAAATTTTTTCTGAAATTCAATTAAAATTGTATTTAAAATAATTGAATCCCAGCGTAAAATTTCATTATTTATGAAAATAATTGAATTTTATTAAAAGTTTTTTAAATAATGCAATTACTATAAAATATTTCAGTAAGAATTATTAAAAAAAACTCCACTATTTTCAAGAATATTGAAATAAATTCTTAAAAACAATCCAATTATTTAGACAGAATTTTAATAAAAATCTTGCCAAGAAATAAATTATTTTCAATACAATTTTAATGACATTTTCTCGAAAGAATTCAAGTATTGAAAAAATTTTTGATAAATTTCTTGAAATGAATTCAATTACTTTCAAATTTTTTTTTAAATACTTTACAAGAATTCAATGATTTTCAGTACCTTCATTAATTTTAAAATTTAAAACTTTTAAAAAGGAAAATTATTTAAAAATTTAGGAACTAAAAAAGCAAACAGCAACTTTTCAGTTTTAAATGGAATAGAAAAAGATATTAATAAAAATTAGTGGAATTTAATAAAATTTAAAATTAAATCTTAGAAAGTAAAGAAAAAGGTAAAAAAGTAAAAAAAAATTATAAAATATAGAAACTAATAATTTATAAATTTTACCTTATTAAAGAGTCCTTATTGGTGTCAGCCTCTTTTAAGAAGTGCTCTCTCATTCGCTCCATTTCCTCAACTCTCTCGATAATATCGTCTTCAGAATGTCCCACTTCGTAGATTTTATCCAATTCTTTCCTGAATATGGCATTTATTTCTTCGATATCCCAGTAGCCATTACCGTCAAGATCTTAAAATTTTTTAAAACACATTTAAATACATCATAATAATAAAATTCTAAATATTTTCAATATTCTTGATTAAAAATGAATTGAAATTGAAATTAAATTAAAAATCCAGATTAAATAAATACCATGCATATAGAAGAATGTTTTTGGATCAAAGTCCTGATCGGTCATGTGATCTTCTTCTTTCCAGACTTCCTCGAATTGTTGTTTACTTCCAGGATGATGCAACTTTTAAATAAAAAAGTTATTTTTAAATTTATATAACAAAAAAATGTTTTTTATATTTATATAATAAAAAAATGATTTTTATATTTATATAATAAAAAAAGGCTTTTTATAATTATATAAATAATAATATAAATGCTATTATTTGAGATATCAAGTATGTAAATAGGAAATTTGTCGTGAAAAAAAAATAATTACTCACAGGATCGTGTTTTTTGTGCTTCTCTTCATTATCGTGAATTTCAGTTTCATACTTTTTGCGATCTTCTTCGTTCATACCTGAAAAGAAAACAAAAATAATTATTATAAGAAAATAATTATAAACAACATGCAGTTTTCAACTAAGGCATGCAAGAAAAATTACTCCTTAGTATGGAAAACTTTTTTTACCAGTATTACCCTTCATCTTTTGTTCCTGCTCGTATTTTTTCTCCATTTCATATTCTTTGAAACGCTCCTTTCTCTCTTTGTCGTATTCCTCTAAATCGTTATGGAGCTACAAGTAATTAATTGCAAAATTTATAAATCAATTACAGAATTTATAAATTAATTGCAGAATTTATAAATTAATGATTCATTTTAATTATCATATATTTAATTTCTTTTTATTAATATACTCTACCTGATATATTAATTTCTTTAAATCTTCTCTTTCGAAAGTGTGAGGATTTTTATGATCGAAATGTCCAACGCCATTTTGTTCTTCATCTCTAGCCTTCACTTCACTTATTGAACGCCTGAGTCTTTGAACTTCGCTACGTTTTATTTCATCCAATCTATTTCGCACATGATGATTAACGTAATCGAGTTCGTGAGCTATGTCTCCACTCTTGAAATAAATGCACATTTAATAATTATTTTCTAATTTCATTTTATTCATAACGTTAATAAAGTTTTTAAAAATATTTTAATGTAATTTTTCGAAAACAATTGAATTTCTTAAAAGAGTTTTTGTATTATTTAAAAAACTAATGAATTTTTTGATGAATTTTAATGAAATATTTTGAATATGATTTTTCTCTCCAAAATGTTCAAAATAATTCTAAAATGTTATTATTTTTTGTATGTATTTGAATTTTCGGAAATATATATGACTGAAAGTACTGAAAATACTAAATTTAAAAAAAAAAATTAGATGCTAATTTTCATTAATTCTCATTTTTAAATTTACGTTTAAAGATTTTTCATTAAAATTTTTGATAATACAATTATTTTGAAAATTTGCAATTAAAATTCTTCAAAAATTCTAACAAAATACTTGAAAAAAATTAGTTACTTTCAATTAAATTTTACAAAATTTCAATTACTCAAAATCTTTTAATATATTTTAAAAATTTAAATAGAAAAATGATTCAAAAATAATTTTTGAAAGATTTGTTTATAGTTATTTTTCGCACTATAAAAATCGAAATGAATTAAATTCAAAACTAAAAAAAAATATATTTTCTTGCAACATTTGGAAGAAAAGTCGAAAAAAATATCAATTTTCTAAATTTCACGGACAAAAAATTCTTTTTCCTGACATTTTCCTGATTTCCTGATAATATTCTTTGGAAGAAGAATTGTTGAGTAAGTGAAAATTTAATTTAAATAGAATAAAATTTCAGTTTTACTTACTTTGATATACTCGTCAGATGAAGAATTGAGAACTTTCATAAAATGAGGATCAGTCTCGAGAACTTCTATAACTTCTCTCGCATATCTTTGATACTCCAATTTGTTAAACTAGAAACGAAAATAAAAATTAACATGATAATTAATAATTAATAAATTTTAATAAATTAACAAAGAAATTGTAAATAATGTTTATTTTAATTAATTGTAATTTAATTAACTCAATTTAATTAATTATAGTTTAATTCACTTAATTGACTTAATTTAATTAATTATAATTCACTTAATTGATTTAATTTAATTAATTATAGATTAATTAATTAATTATTATTTAAATAACTTAATTTAATTAATGATAATTCGTTAAATTTAATATTGTATTTCAATTCGTATGTAATTGCAATTTGATTATATTGTTCTTACCGGATCATTCATTGCTTCGAACTCATGATCCTCTTTCTTCTCCTCTTTATTCACTGGCGGTGCAACGGATATTTGAATAATACCAAAAAATAGTGCGAAAATCAAAAAATGCTTCATTTTCCTAAGAAACAAAAAAAATGTATGTAAATTATTTTGTACTTGCACCATATGGAAGAAATTGTTGAATAATCTGTAAACGTGCATCAGGAAAAAAAATGATCGATGTTTGTTTAATAAAAAAAAATTCTCCTCCTCTTCAGAATCAATGAGTCACGGGGATTCAATATATTGAGCAATATCGATATACTTTCAATTACAATAAAAATTATCTTTTCCTTGCAGAACTATTATAAAATGATTACGTCGATTATGAAGTCAATATTCAATATCACACTTTCAGTCTTTCAGTTTTTCAGATTATTAATATTGAAATAAAATGAATGAAATGAATAAAATTAATAACTTAATTTTATGGTATAAAACTCCGTCTCGTGATCTATATGTAATTAACATAATAGAGCAATTAACATAATTTCTCTAATTGAATGAACTGAATTAATAAAACAGAATCTTTATAAAAATGAATCTTACGAAAATATGTCAAGGAGTAAATTTTATATTAATTTATATAATTTGTAAATTTCTAACTGTAATAATTTTTCGAAAATTTAATGTAATATGAATGTAAAAATGAAATTGTTTCAATATTTTACAATTATTTTAGTAAAGTGTAAATAAAGTTTCGAGTATAAATAAGTTAATTCTACGTGCAATCAATAATATAGTTAATAGGTTAACTCACGTCATAATACTGTAAACGTTGAAATCGTTAATGTTTGCATTCAAAATAATCTGCACTTAATTCTAAATTGCTTTCGTGTTATTTTAACTATATAAGAATTGCTTAAAAGAATGTTGACGTGTACATTTGCAAGTGGTTAATTGTTTGACAGCTTTTTATAATAATTTTTATTGCAGTGCAGAATTACCAGCGATGGACAACAGGGCAAGAAGAATAAGGGATGGGTAGGTAAAGTTATCCAAGTTTCTAAATAACAAATTCTGATTGGTTCTTAGTTGACTGTGGGGAATTTTTCTAAACCAATCAAAAATAGGATTGAACTTTGAATTCGATATATCGAAATTATATAAATAAACAAGTAAGGTTATGTTTTCTGTCAAAACACTTTTTTTTTCTTTTGTCATCATGTAAATAATGAATAAATACACATGATGTAATAATCCTGTTTACTTTCTTTTTTTTTCAAAGAAATAATAGTACAAGAAAGCTTTATTTGATAGCTTTAAAATTATAGAAAAATGATTTCGAACGCTGTTCGTTTATCTGTTTGTTCGGGTAGTTTTCTCTACACTTTTTATGTTATGTGTAATTTCATGATTTTCTTATCAAGTCATAGTGGTAATCAAAAACTTGTTGAACTGACTGAAACAGGTATGATTTTCTCTTACTAGTCCTAAATTTCTTAATTTCTTACTAGTCCTTAAATTAAGTTTAATAAAAATTAAACTTCTTTCTGTAAAAGAAAAAAGATTTTGGAGTTTTCATTTGTTCTCTTTGGTTCTCTCTTGTCATTATTATGGAATCGAAATGAATTTCCGTTTACAGAAGATGAAGAGGAGGATACAATTCTCATGACAATACAATATTTAATGATCAACACATGCTTGATAGGTGCCTTTGTCCTGCAACATTCATTAATGGCTAGTGATTTTATAAAAAGAATTTTTTGCTCATTAAAAATAGAGGATCTCGAGAGGAGTATTTATAATGCTTGCAGTGCAGGAGCACTTCATTTGTTGATTAAATTCTGGACGCCGATATCGTCGATAATATTGTGGAATATAAATACGATACAAAATTCAAAAATATCTTTAGTGATGACAGTTTTTCAAATTGTCGGCTGGATTATCATTTACAGCGGCTGTCTTATGATGGATATCGGCGAATTAGTTGGAATAAAACAAGTTATTTATAAAATAAAAAATTTGCCCTCGCCAATAAGCACAAAATCCCGTGAATTAAAACGTTATTTTTCTCGTATGAGACATCCAAGTTACATTGGATTTTTATTCATTCTTTGGATTCATCCATTCATGAGGTATGATTAAATATTTAATCTTCTTCTTCTATCTTCTTCTATATTAATCGTTGTTTTCCGGTAATCTGAATTTTTCCGAAGAATGTTATTATTTATGAAAATAATTGAATTCTTCCGAACATTTGCTAGTAATATAATAATTATTATTATGTAATACTTTCTAATATGTAAAAATTGTCTCTTGCAAAATTCTTTTTTATACCTACTTTAATTTTTTCCCGAAAATTAATATTTTAGACTTTTACCAAACAGAATAATTTTAATTTTTGTTTTTTTTTAGCCTCGATCGACTATTACTGGCACTTCTTCTCACAGTATTTATGACAATGATGTGGAACATTGATGAGCAGGATTATCATTATCATTTAAAATCTTTAGAGAGAAAAAAGAGAAATTTAAATCACTCGTAACTTTTTTTTTTACTTATTTATTTTTATTTAAATATTTATTATCGTCACTATCATTTATGCTTTCAGTATTCATTCACGCTTCACTCTTTAACACTTGCCATTGAATTATTTATTTTCTAATCTTAAGAAGATTTAAAAAAAAACAATCTAGTTAATAGTATTTAATTAATTTTACGCCGAATAATTAATATTACGCTGAATCTGAATAATTAATAATTCGCTCAATCTGAATAATTAGTGTTACACTAAATAGTATTACGCTGAATCTAAAATAATTATTTAAAAAATATTAATAACAAAATTGCGCTATATTTGAATATTTAAATTAATATTACGCTGAATCTGATTAATTAATTAACAAAAATATGCAATTAAAAGTATTTAACTATTCGCTAGGAAAATTAATAGTTAACTAATAATTTTGTACCGAGTGTGTGAATTTTTTTGATGAGAATTAATATAGAGAATATTTTATTACTTTATACAATTGATGGTATTTATTTTTTGGATCATTAATCCGTTACTTGAATTAAAAGAGCAGTTCCTTTGAGTATCCAATATGATTGTTTTTGAATTGAGGGTAAAAGAATTGCGAGAACGAAATTTGTACTGTGTCCAGTTGTCGATAAAACTCCAGCTCGAATACTCGTCTTGTAAAGAGGACAAATATATCTGGAATCATTCGCCGGCAATGATAAGACTGGTTGAATGTGTAAAACAGGAAGTAAAGGATTCATCTCTCCTGTAAGTGAATTTAAATCAGTATTTATTTACAAAAACAAAAAAATTATAAATAAATTCTTCATCATTAATTTTTTGTATAAGTTACTTTTTTATATTTTATTATTATTTTTCTATTATCTTAAATTTATTTATTTCCTGTTTAAAATTTTTTCTAATTTAAATTTATCTATTTCCTATATTTACATTTTTTTCTATTTTAAATTTATATTTCCTTTTTGAATTCTATTTATTATATAATATATTTTATTTTATTGCAATTTAGGAAATTTACCTTTATTTTCGTCGACCAGAATCATAGACTGAAAATCCCATCGACCGGCGTCTATGAAGAGTCCGTGAATAAAAACTCCGTCCGATGGTTTTTCAAGATTTTTATAAGCGAACGAAATTTCTTTATTTTCCCTCTTGTGAACTGCTTCTATTTCTTCTTGAAGCAAAAGAATATTTGTCGCTTTAAAATCAAGTTTCAAATGATCAATTGGAATGTTATATTTTCTCGCGTAAGTTTGCAGAACTCCTGTTATAAATCCCTGGGGAAATGACAATCCCGATATCCAGAAGGAAATTGGTTTTGAATTTTTCAACCAGACCTTTAAAGGAATTTATTTATTTGTATTTATTTCGAAACAAAACATTGAATTTAAAATATTTTTATTAATTAATTAGAAAAGATATAAATAACCAGATAATGAAAATAAAATAATTTTTATCTTCAATGAAAAATTAATACCTGAATAAAGTCAATTCGAAGTTCTAGATCTCGAATCCAGGAACCCAAAGTTTTCAACGAAGGATAGACATTTACTTTGTGCCATATTTCCGGTACCTAATTAATTCAATTCAATTAATTAATTAATTAAATGATTCGGTTTCCCAATAATTTACTTGATTGAAATGTAAATTACAATATTTGGTGCTTTCTAGAGGAAATATTTACTTGATTATTGATTAGAGCATTGAAGACTGCTTCCAGTTCGGCTGACATAACGACAAAACCTTTAATGGCTCGTTGTAAATTTTCCATTGACGAGTGTATTTTTCTTAAGAGTTTATTATAACGATCCACCTCGTGAAGTAAAACTGTCGTAAGAGACGGGAGACGACCAGCAAAATCTTTCTGTTCGTAAATTATTTAAATATTTCGTATAGAAAGAGCAAAATAGAAAAAAAAATTTGTAGAGAATTATTTTAATATTAACTTCTAAATGATTTGAATGACAATTGTCTGGGTCAATTTTAAGAATAATTCTTTCCATAATTATTCTCGCCAGTTCGTAAGCAGTACCAGATGTCGATTTTTCATTATCGATATTATCTTCCTTTGCTTGCACGTCCATTATTGTATTCAATACAATTTTCGTTTCTTTCAACTGCAAAAATATAAAATATTCAAAATTTTCAAATTGTATCCTTTAATTTTTAGATTTCATCTTTTAATTAAAATTTTTAAATTAGAACTTTTAGATTTGAATCTTTTAGTTTAGATTTTTAGACTTAAATCTATTAACTAAAATTTAAAAATTTGAAATGTTGATATTAAAATAAAAAATTCACCTGAAATGTTATATTTGCATTCTCATGCATTCCGAAAATTTCCGGATCTTCAATAATTGGAAAATCTTCTATAAATTCTCTGTATTCGTGAAGAGTAATTAAATTCGGACAAAAATAAGTTCCGGATGTAGAATAGACGTAATCTAAAAATAATTATTCATTTAGTAAATAATTTTATTAGTCTAAATTAATTAATTTTTTTAATTTCTTATTTTTTTGAATGAATTATTTTTATTTCGAAAAACGTACTCGCTTCCAACGTTTTTGGTGAGAAAAATTCGTTGAGAATCGTTTTTAAACAGCGCAAATCCCAATTGTCAGTTATTCTCCCGCCATAAGTGATTTCTCCTAAAATAATTTTTTTCTTAATGAAAAATTGTACTTTTTACAATTTTATTCAATTATTTTCGATAATAATTTAATAATAATTTAATATACAGAATTATATTTTGTAAAATTAAATTATTCTCTTCTTTTGAATTTTTTTTCTTCGCATAAAAGATAATAAATAAATAACCAGTAATGTATGTCAGGGCAGTCCACGAAATTGTTTCTTCTTTACAAAACATTTTTAAATTTAAAAGACAACATTCTCTGTCATTATTATTGAATTCATAATTAATATTCCAGCCGAGTGGTCCAAATTTTTTCCTCTCCTGAATAATTGCATGGAAGAAGCAAATTCCAAATATCATTTTCCTCCAGTTTAGTTCCAAAACTGAAACAAAATTTTTCGTTATTAAATTATTTTGAAAAAATATTTTTATGAAATAATTTTAAATATAATAAAGTAATTTTTGATAAATGAAATAATAATAAAAAATATAAATTTATTTCTATTTTCTCACTATTGTTCTCGAAGAAATCCTCATTGAGATCGAAGAAAGCACGTTTGATATTCGCTTTGAGACCCTTGGGCGGCTCATTGGTGACCTTAACAGAATTTTGAAGGACCGATATGGGAAATCCTTTATTTGGCATTGAACTCAAGAAGAGGCGGAAATTATCATCAACGTCTTTTGATTCTTGAATCATTTCGATAATTAATTTTTCCATATTATTCATCCAGGAAGTGGCTAAATGACAATTTTGCAAAAACACCCAACTTCCATTGTCTTTTCCCTTTCGTAAAAGATTCTCCGCTATTGGTCCTTGGCCCTGACCTAATGATATCGATTGATATTTGTCGCCAAATCCCATTTTTGTTGCGAATTTTTGGAATGCACTGAAAGGATCCGATCCGGTGTTTAAAATAAATACCAACGGTATTTTTTTCGATGTATCCGAATATCTGAAATTTGAGACAAAAATTTAATTATTTTACTTTTGTTTCTTTATTCAATAAAGAATTAATAAATTAATAAATTTGATTAATAAATTAATTAATTTTGTTTTAATTAAATTAAATTTGTTGTAATTAATTTAAATTAATTTTATAATTCTGCTGATACTTGCAGTGATTCGAGAGAAATTATCGGCGATTCGACGAATTTTTGTCCGAGATTTTTCTTCACGTACGCAGTTAGTGCGAAAATTAATTTTTCTTCTTTCAGAGCTTTTAGGAGCATTAATTTTTCAATGTCGGTCAGTATTTTATTCCAGTCGAATTTGGCTTTTTTCTTGTTCTCAGGAATTATATTTATTTCCTAAAATTAATTATTTTTGAAGAAGAAAACTAAAGAAGTAAACTATTTAGTTTTAATTATAATAATTTATAATTTTTTTTAAATATTTACACTGAAAAAAACAAAAAAAAAATTTTTTTGAAAACGTTTAAAAACATTTAAATAACCTCTTGAAAATATTCGATGGACAAATAAATTCTGCTGAACACGTCAGTCATGATATTTTCAAATGATTTAAAATGACTCGCTAGAAAATTCGCCGAGATCCACATTGTTTCAGTCAAAGTTGAATAATCCGGTTTCTCGGACTGAAAGACAAAAATATTTGTTAATTTTATTTAACTATACAATTAATAAAATAAAAATTAATTTTAAATGGACAATTAGAAAATAAATAAAAATATCAAAAAATTTAGAAAATATTTGTCGATTCGGTAAATAATTACGATTTTAAATTGTCCAGCGCCGCGCAGTAAGAAATCCCATTGAGAGTAAGTAATAATTCGCAAATTTAAAAAAATCGCTATATTTAGCATGAGACTGAAAACAAGTTTATGCCGTTCGAATAATCCACGTGATACATTTGTGTAAATTGCTAAAGTAATTTCGTCGTATAATGTTTTTAGGCGAATTTCGAGATTTTCACTTTTTTCGCTCATCTCAATGACATTGTTGAATATCTGTAAAAATAAATAGAAGTAATTAAAAGTAAATTTAAATTAATTAAAATGATCAATTAAAGAAAAAATAATACTCACTTGATTAAAATATTTCAGGGAATATTGATACATGGGATCAATTTCGGCCAAATCGGCAACGACGAAATACAAAACAGAACCACGAGTCGCTACCGAACGATATTTATCTCGAGTGACAGAAATTTTCTCCTCTGTCGCTTCAGTTTCAATTAGTCTCGTAAAAATTATCGCAGACGTCTCCTTACTATTATTTAGTGTCTCGATTAATTCTTCATTATCAAGAATATTATCACCAGAACTAAATAAAAGTGAAAGAATTTTATCCTCTATATTTTTCAATTGATTCTTGTCCGCATTGATTTTGGCAATTAATTCGTTTCTCAATTTTTCCAATTCTGGTTTCTCCAAACGAACCACGTCCCTAAAATAATTGCAATTTTTTTAAAGAGTAAATAAATTATTTACGATTCGGAGTTTAATTTTATTCCCTATTAAAAAAAAAATGTTAATCGATTATTTTTATTACGCAAGAAGTTGTTCTTCTAGTCCCGATGGCGTTACGGTGAAATTAACAATTGTGACTTTAATGCAAATCTCCGGCAAATAATGAGGATTGGACATTTTTGTAGTAATGTAAAATCGAAAATTGTCATCGTATTCAATATCGCTCTCTCCTAGTCGTATCACTTTTCTTCCTCCCTGTAAAAAAATTTTTTACTGAAAATTGTTACCGTCTGCATAGAAATTTTAACATAAAAAATTTTTTTTAATATTAAAAATAAACGAACTTGAAGAAAAGTTTGCTTCAGAAGAACTGGTTCCAAACTGGGATCCAAAGTTTCACCGACATCCTCAAGCAAAATTGGCGAACCAATTCTAATGCACGACTCCATAATTCTCATTAAATTTCCATCTGTTAGCTTACAAATTTTTAACTTATTCTCCTGTTCCATATTTCGTATCCAACGATTTGCCTGTTGAACAGTTTTTAAATGAAAAATAAATAGATATTAAAAATAATTCTTTTTGAAATTAATTTTTGATATTTCAAAAATTCTTTTTCGAAAAAAGAAATGAATTAATTGCAAATGTCAAAGCGGACGAGAATTATAATTGATTTTAATTAACAAAATTTACCTGTTCTTGTGGATCAATCATTAGTGACCACTTTTCAGCTTGAGTGACGAAAATTGCATTCTCCGTGCTCACTTGATCGCGAGGCAAACCAAAACTATTCCAGAGGCGAATTTCGTAGGGATCAATTAGAACATTAATTAGATTAAAATTCTCTGTTATCGGTATTTTTTTCTCATTGCAATTTTTCAACCATTTGGTTAGTAATTCCCTTCTGTATTCACTGGTGAATGCCCCGAGATATGCCAATGCTCCAGCGGCCACTAAACTGTCGCCAATAAAATTTTCCATCTGCCTATCGAAATTCTGTTCAGAGAGAAAATCGAATTTAATTCATTGATATTTCTATTTTTAATTAGAAAATCTAATTAAATTTATTAATATTTCTATTTTTAATTAAAATCTAATATAAAATTTAAAATCTAATTAAAATATCCATATTTTTAAATTAGTTAATCAAAAAATGTGGTTAGTAAAAAAATATTTTCGATTAATTTTACTAATTTAACATTTAATTACTAAATCATAAATATTTTCTCAATTCCTGCAGTTAATATTAATTAATAATCGAATAATTATAATTTATTCATTATTTACTGTTCTTTTTTTAATTGAATTTTTAATTATTTGGTTATTATTTTAGTGACATTATTCACTGTTAATTATTTCGTTATTGGCTTACTGACAAATCACAATAAATTCGAAATCAATTCTAAATAATATTTTATAAAATATTAAAATTTCTGTAGTTACTTTCATATTTTCTTGCCAGCGAATTTCTTCATCGGCCAGAGCGGAAGTTAATCTTCCCGATCTATTTAGTCGAGTTTCGCTCAATTCGATATTATATTCCAAAGATGTTAAATTATCAACAGCTTCCTTGTACTCTCGTCGTAATTTATTTATTTTATTCTCCACTTCTCGTAATTGTTGTTGCTTTTGTTCCAAAACGTCCATAATTGCGCGCAATTCTTTTTCCGCTGCGTATAATCTATAAAATTCATAATAGAATTATAATTTTAAAATTAATTCGTATTTAATAGTATTTTTGTTTGTTTTTTTAAAATTAAATTTATTTTTATTTCATTTTATGAAAATTTATTTAATAGTATTTTGTAATAATAACAATAACAATAATAATAATAATAATAATAATAATAATAATAATAATAAAAATAAATAAATAAATAGTTTTCTATTTAATAAATTCAGTAAATAAATAGTTTACTATTCGATAAATTTAATAAGTAAACAGTTCACTCTTTAATAAATTTAGTAAATAGAGAGTTTACTATTTAATAAATTTAATAAATAAATAATTTACTATTTATTTATCATTATTGTTATTATTATTAAATAAAATGAAAAAATAATCTCACTTGAGACGTTTTGGATGCACAATTCTAAACAATTTCGCATAACCGTCAATGGCACGAACCCAAATGCAAATTGATTTACAAACTTTGCTCTGTTTTGCAACAAGATGAGGCAAAAAGTTCGGATTGTTTATATAGTCCTGCAATTTCTTCAGAAGTTTATCATTAATTTCATCTTTTGGATATTGAATTAATCGATCCAAAAAATGTAAATCGCCAAGAACGACTCGCGCTGTTGTCCAATCCAATCTGTAAAGAAATAATTTTGCGTTAAATATTTTTCTAATACATAAAATAAATAAATTATTAAATTAATTAAATTTTTAATTAAATTAATAAATTAGTAAATTAATTAAATTTTTAATTCAATTAATTTAATTAGTAAATCAATTAAATTTTTAATTCAATTAATTAAATTTCGAAAATAATTAATTTATTAATTTATTGAGTGAAAATTTAAAATATAAATTATAAATTTAAGGTATGTTTTCTTACTTTTCTCCCAATAGCAAATTAACGGCTTCCATCACGTATCGAACGAGAGGGGGAGGACTATTGAAAACTTTAATTTCATTGATATCATTTTTATTCAATGATTCAAGGGCTTTTTGCGCTTCCTCCAATGCTGGCATTGCTGCTTCTAAATCTTTTCTGGCTTCAATTTCCAGGGCGCCTGTTTCTTCCGCTTTCACCTATTGAAGAAATTTTATTTTATTTTCCTTATTATTTATTATATTCATTTAATTTTCAATATAAATGTGTACCTTGACAATTGCTTCATCAGCAGTGACAGTGATTTTAACTTTATCGAGTTCTATCTGTTGCTTTGCGAGAATTTGCATTAATTTCGAAACTTCCTCTGAACTTGTCTTCAATTGTGGGGCAAGAATGATCAATTGCTCCTTCATCATTGCAATTGTTTCGTTTGTTTCTTTTAATTTCTGGAAAACAAAATTTTTTCTTTAATAATAATTAAATTATATTAATTTATTTAATCATTAAATTAATCACAGTTATTTGAATATAAAAAATTATTTGTACAGTTTTATTCGAAATACTGTCACTTACGTTCAAGCCATTGGCAATTTTGCTTTTTAGCGTCAAAGTGTCATTGGTTTTTTTCTTCAAAGTCGCCAAGAAGAGTTTTAATAAAGCTAAATAACTACTCGGGGTGGTGTAATATCTTCTTCGCATTTCGTTGTAAAATTTCACCGTCATCTCCTCAACACTCTGCGTAATTAAGAAAGAAAACAATTAATTTCATCTAATATTTCAAAAAATTTTCTTGGAATTATTCACAAAAAAAAGAAATTATCAATTTTTACTAATTCTTCCAATTTTTTTCAATTCTCTCTGTTTGAAAATTTCAATTAATTATTTTCTAGTGGATAAAAGAATTTATTTTTTTTTAAAAAGAAAAGTAAACGAAAAAAGGCTTTTTAAAAAAGAAAAAGAGAAAACAAAAAGAGCCTTTTTAAAAAAGAAAAGAAAAAGAGAGAAGCCTGTTTAAAAAAGAAAAGAAGAAAAAAGAGAGAAGCCTTTTTAAAAAAGAAGAGAAGAAAAAAAAGAGAAGCCTTTTTAAAAAAGAAAAAAAAACATGAAATTAATTTTCTTATATTTAAATTAAAAAAATTTACTTCGTGCATTAAAACACAAATTGAAGATAAAGCGGATAATTTATTCTCATCATGCTCGGCAATTGGTTCGATTATTTTCTTTGCCACTGAGAGGAGTGCTTCGTTAGGCCATTTTGTAAACCAATCTATCGTACAACAATTAACTAGCGATGGAAACATTCGACAGCGATGTCTTTTAAAAAGAAAAAAGAATTATTAAAATTATTTGAAAAAATAATACTTTCTTGAGAAAAATTACATTTCTTGTGGTTTTTTCTACTCTTTTTCTGAACGTTGATTGTCAATCGACTGTTGATTAATTTACCTAAAAGTATTTCCTACGGGGCTCATGCAGAGCATCAAATGAAGATGATTTCTAACTCTACCGATGAAATAATTGTAAATTCCGTCTCGATCGGATTCGTGAATTCCAGCTTCTTTCGCAGCCAGTCTTGTGGCGATTATTGCCTTTTCCAATTCGTCGGCTTCAAATAAATTTGGCACTTCTCCTGAAATATTTAATTATACACTATTTAGAATTAAGTAATTTAAATACACTATTTGAATTAATTAATTTTATTACACTAATTAGAATAATTATTATTAATTATTAATTGTAATAAAGTACATGTTCCGGTAATCTATTCGCAGTTTCGGGAGAATTCAGTTATTTTCCTAAATAATAAAATTCTTTGAAGAAATTATATTATTATCAAATTTTTTTATAAAATTCTTTGCAAGAATTCGATGATTTTCAATACATTGATTTTAAAATTGAATATCATTTATAATTAAAATCGATAATTATAATTGATAATTGAAAATAGAAATAGAAAAAAAAATCCCAAAATTGAAAATAGCAATTTTTGGCAATTTTAGCAATTTTTTGTGTAATAAAGAAAAAGCAATTAAAAAATTTGTTTATAGTACCGGAATTTAAAGTGTTGTTTATGTCTTCTAAAAATTCCTCAAGAACAATTTGTGTGTCAGTGAAGAGAAATGTTACATCTTCGGCAAACGCTCCTGGTTTAAAGTAGAAACGTCGAAGATCTTCGTGCCATGAATTCATGTCGTAGCCACGTGTCACTTCAATTTGCATGCATCTATAAAAAGAAATAGAGAAATAAATAAAACAAATAAAAAATAAATAGAAAACAAATAGGTAAATAAAATAGAAAATAAAAATTATTTATTTTCTATTTTATTATTTTTAGATTAAAACATTTTCTTTTGCCTGAATAAAAAATAGTAAAAAATAAATAATAAAAACAAAATTTGCCAATTTGCAATCACAAAAAATATAAATTTCGTTTTTAATTTTTTTTTAAATCATTTTAATTCGGCATTAAAATTGAAACAAAAATTCATACCTATAGCCATTTAAATGTGACGCTAATTTAGTTAAACTTTGTTTTCCCATTCCACCAACTCCAACGAGAAGGCCATTTCCTCTTTCCGAACGCAAAATTCTCGCCAATCTGCATAAATGTTCAACAGCGTCGGTGAAAAATATCAGATTCATCTCCTTCGATGTCACCAAGCAGTAATCGTCCAGATAATCCTGAAAAAATTGATATTTTTTCAAATTCATACATTTTATCGTTATTTTTTGTTAATCCGCCTTTTAAGTTTTATTAGTTCAAAATTTATTAGCTACACTAATAATTTGCTAATTCTAATTTGCTAACTCTAATTTGGTAATTATTAGAAAAAAATTGCTTTTTTTTGAAAGAGAAAGAAAGAAAGAAAGGAAATAAAAATACTTGTAAGATATTTGTCGCTTTTTTTAAATCGGTGATCTCTTCATAAAATCTCTGCTCTTTTGAAGCTCCAAAGGACATAAAATCGCCGAATAGAATTAACGGAGGCTGTGTGACACCTTCATCACCACGAAGTGGAATTATTTCTTCTTCAAATGTACGAGAACAAATATCGCCTAAAAGATGATGAAAATAATTTTTGTCCTCCGTATTTATCAGTCGATCGTGAAATACCCTCAAGCACTCGTGATAAAAGAGTCTGAAAAATTGTTCAAAATTAAATTTCTAATTAATAGATTCCTAATCAATATTTTTATAAAAATGAAAAATTATATAATTATATGTTCTCTTCTTTTTCTCTAATTTCAATAAACATGTTTTTTAAACAAATCTATAATAAAAGATAAAAAAATAAAAGAATTAATAGTAATAACAAAAATAATAATAAGAGAATAACAAAAACTGATAAATATAGTATTAATAATAATAAAAATAAAATAGAATAGCAATAAAAAATTTTAAAATATAGTTGTGAAAAACTTAAAATGTAAATTAAAATGATTTTTTTTTGTCTTAAAAATAAGAAAGCAAAACCTAAGCATTTGTTTTACGCCAATAATTATTGATGGATCCGCTTGAAGTATTCCTTGAATGCATTTTGATAAGTCTCGTAAATTAAAAATATAATGACTCTTCTCAGGCGTTGGAAGCAAATCGACAGTAATTCGGTTGTAAATTTCAATCGTTGCCGATACAATTTTGTCGCCGATTTCGATAATTGGCTGCAAGAATTCTTGAAGAAATCCCTTCATTATCGAACTAGAAATTCAAAAACATTTCGAATTATTACCGTAAATTACTATATTCATTATAAATTTAATCATAAATTTAATTACATGTTTAATTATAAAATTTTTTGTAAATTTAATTATTGGAAACTAAAATGAACAAAGCTCAGGGTTGCCACAATGCAACCTTTTTGTGCATCTAATCATTTTGCGTAAAGAATGAACTCTTTAGTAGATTAAAAATTTTATTTATAATTTAATTTGAAATTAAATCGTAAAATTAATTATAAAAAAAATACAAACTTTCGAACAAAAGAGCCTCAAATTTACCTAAAAATGACTTTTAGAGAATCTTCAGTAGGCGTTGGAATTGCGAGCATTCCAAAATGACGAATAAATCTCGGCGTTAGAGGATTTCTCCCGCCTCCAGGAGGTGCACAGGCGCAACTCAATACAATATCTTCCATTGTTTTCCAAAATAATTTATCCCGATCGTAAATGCCTCCAAAATCGAGAAATTGTCTGAAAATTATTGTCACTTGTTAATATTTTTTCTTGGAAATTAGAATAAATATTATTTAAAAATTACAGGATTATTATTATGATTTCCTTAAAATTACATACCTCAATAATTCAATTGGTGGTTGAGAACCGTAGGTATCTAATTTTGGCATATTCACGTCATCGATAAAAATGCAAATTCGTTTTCCCACAGGCGCGCCCAGCATTGTTCGCTTCTTTTTCTCTAATTTCAATTCAAGAATTTCTTGAATTCGTCCGCTACTTGTTTGAGCCGAGAAGTTCATTACAACCGGAACCCAAAGTCCAGAATGTTGAAGTGTTCGCAGTACGACTTTGGCAATTACTGATTTTCCAACACCTAGAAAAGAAATGAGAAAAAATTCTTGTCTATAAATAAAATAAAAAAATAAAATGAAATTATTTTCAAATAAAAATTTTCTAAATAATTTCATAATCAAAATTTAAAAAATTCACTTATTAAGTACAAAATTAATTATTACTGTTCTTATTTTCAAAAATTTTAATAAAATTATTAAAAAAACTCCATTAGTTTAAAAAAAATTCAAAGAAATTCTTCAAAAGAATTTAATTAGGATTTTTAAAAATTTTAATAAAATTCTTTGTGAGAATTCAGTTATTTTCCTAAATAATAAAATTGTTTGAAGGAATTACATTATTATCAAATTTTTTGATTATTTGATTATAAAAATTGATATTTCAAAATCAGAATTACAAATAAATATTTTCAAGAATGAATAAAGACATTTTGCGAATATATTAAAATTCGTTTTTTAATCGACGAGTGAATTGAAAAATTCTATCATTGAAAATATTTTTACTAACCAGTGTCGCCTGTGAAAAGAATTGCTTTATTGACATTCAAAAGTTGCTCCATGAGATAACCAAATCTGACCGTATCGACAGTTGGAACGAGAATTTCAAAAAATGGCACCGTCTTGTCATATGAAAACGATGGCATTAATTTTATCCATAATTCTAAATTTCGATTTCTTGTATTTATGTAAACATCCCATAAACTTTGCGAAGGCAATCTAAATAAACGAAAATGCGAATTAATTGAAAATTGTAAAAAACAATACAGAGAAATTAAAGAATGTTGGAAAAAAAAATTTTACTAAATCATACCGAGAATATGGATTGTCGTTGAATAGATTTCTCACAAATAATTCAAAAATTTCTCTCGCTGAATCAATTAAATTTCCACCAATTGCCCAAATATATGAGAAAATAAATGACTGGGTGAGAAAAGTTTTCACAGTTTCCTTGTCAGCGGATCTATCAATTGCATTCGGTTCTAAAATAATGCTTTCCATCAAAAAGCAGAGCATATTCACTTTTCCGATATCAACCTGAAATTTAAAGAAAAAATTTTCTAAATTAGAAGACGAATAACTTTTAAAATTCTTTTTTATAATTCTAAATTCTTATTTCTGATTTCTAACTTCTAATTTATAATTTTCTAATTCTTAATTATAAAAAATAAATACAAAATATACATTATAAAAATATAACATAAAATAGAATTAAATAAATCAAAATACAAAATATTTAATAAATATAATATACCTGTGCTATAATTTGATGACAATTCTTTTTTAAAAATATAAATCCATCATCGACATAAGTCTCGAAAAGGTAAATTATCTCCTGACGTAAAGAATTATCAAGATAATTCTCGGGAATTTTTTGCAACCAACTTTTTGCATAGGGCATCCATTTGAGATCAGCAGAATCAAAATACACCATTCCTGTAAAAAAAATTAGAAGAAAAATTGTTTTATTAATCAATGGCAGTAATTTTTAATTTCGAAAAATTGAAATAGTATTTTTTAATTAAAAAAATTGGAATACCTAGTATTTTTTAATTAAAAAGTAGTTTGATGGAAAAAAAAATGTTACCGCATCTACTGACAGTGGCCGGTGAAGCTTGAGAAAGATCCATTACTTCAAAAAGCATATGAACATACGGTGTGAATTTAATTCGCTCTGAATTTGCAAGACACAACATTTTATTATCATCTAAAACGGTATTCATATTTTCTATCCAAATTGCGTCAACGGGACCATCGCAAACGATCCACTGATGCTCCTCAGTCGTGAACTGAAATATATTATCACAAGTCATTAATAAATTAAGAAAAAAAAAAAAAATTTCTCAAAATTTCTTCAATATGAAATGTAAGTATTTCACTTTATTATTTAAAATTTTTTTTTAAAAACTATTATTATTAAGAAAAAAAAATTAAAATTAATTGAAATGAACTCTTCTGTGATTAATTAAACTAAAAAAAAAATTAATTCGTATGAATAATTAAAAAAAAAGGTTAAAAACGAAATGAATTTATTCTTACGGAACATGCGTGGCGAATAATTGCTCCAATTAAACCATCGTGCCATTCATTGCTCATTGTATCCACTGATCCGTACAATTCGCCAATTGTCACCGCTTTTGGATTCAAAACGTAGGTGTGAACTTTTTGATAATATGATTTTGAAACATTCATTTCATAAAGTCGGGTATAAGTCTCCTTTAATGTCTAAAATGGTAGAAATTAATTAAAATTAGCAACAATTTGCGCGCGGCTCCTCTTCTCACTCACTTTTTTAAATAAAATTACCAATTTTAAAAATAATAGAACTTAAAAATTTTTAATTCAAATTTTTTTTTATAAAAATAAAATATGAATTGCAATATATAATTTAAATTTAAATTAAAAATAAATTTGAATTTAAATTTACATTAAAATTAAATTTAAATAAAACTTGAATTATAAAAAATAGAAATTTTCTTCTTTTAATTAAAATTTAGAATTCTTTTGTTTAAAAATTGTAGGCGAAATAAAATCTCCTTTTAAAAATAAATTGTTGAATAATAAAGTTATAAATCAAATTGAATTATTTGGATAATTTATTATCCAAGTGGAATTTTTCTGCTTAAAATTTATAAAGAAAAAAAAAATTATAAAACAAGAAAATTAAAGTACTTGGAGAACGGTCGTTTTTCCGGATCCAGTGGGACCAACCAACATGACTCCATGTCTAACTAACATTGTTTCATGTAACTGAATAGTCTTAACAATGGAACACAATTCCGGTTGTAAGCCAGCATCCCTCATCATCTGTAAATTCATCAGAAAAAAAAATTAGAATTTTAAAAATTTATTAAATTAAAAATTATTTGAAAGTTTATTAAAATTCTTCATGAGACAAATAATCAAAAAATCGTCTCATATTTTGCATTATTTTCAAAATAAATTTACCTTTTCTGCCGTTTCTTGAAAAACGCCATAATCTTCGTCGGGAATTACAAGACCTTGAAAGAAAAAAAAATGTAACAACCATTTTGTTATAAGAGACTATTTTTGAAGATTTTAATTATTTTCCGAACCTGGGAATAAATCGCCTAGAATTCCCAAAAATAATTCTTTATCGTCAGACAAAAATTTCGGTAAATTGCTGTCCCTTAAGGCTCTCAGTAAGACGACGTCTTCCAATTTTTCGGGATTTTCTCGTTTCAGACTGCCTGCCATTACCAATACACTCTTCACTGCTCTGTAAATTAAATTTCCAGAGTTAAATTTAATTTAGTTTTATAATTAAAAATTAAAATTAAACTAAAATAAAAAAGAAAATGAAAATTTTTCAATTGAATAAAATTAATAAAATTAACAATTAATAAACAATAATAGAAAAATTAATTTCACCTCATTCCGAAGTCATAGTGATCTTGTTGAGAGAGTTGTTCGCTGCACAATGTGTACATTAGTGTCATTTTTGTAGACAACGATTTTGATGATTCGAAACCCTCCGAATATAACGTTACTTCAGCGATGAGTTCTAAAAAATAAAAATTATACACTTTAGTTGTTTCCATTGTTTACAATTAATTCACTACTTCTTAATATTTTATTTATTATCTGGATTTATTATTTTCTTTTTACTATTTTAATTACTATTAATGAATTATAACGTATATATAATGAATATTTTTACAATATTATTACAATATTACAATATACAAAATAATTTAGTAATAATTAAATTAAATTTAATTTAAATTATTTATTAAATTACTTTTTATTAAATTAATTAATTTGAAACAATTAATATTTTATTTTTAACAATATCTTAATAATATTAATAATAATAAATTTTTTTGCTACTTACTGTAATCAGGAACCATCATGGAGAATGGTCTGAAAAGTGATTTTAAATTATCCGGCAATTCCGTGCGTCCAGCATAGCCAGGATTCATTGTGATAAAAGTTGCGCAGGACATCACCAATTTAATCATTCGACCCTCAAAAATAAATCTGTAAAAAAAGAGAGAAAAAAATTGAACTACAAATTTTGAATTAAATTTTCTTCTCGCTTGTTTCTAAAAGAAAAAAAATCGTCTTACTCATTGGCGCGAATAATTTTAGCATTTCTGATGGTAATTAATTGTTGGGCAATTACAGAGAGGACCTCAATGTCGATTCGATTAAATTCATCAAAGCAGCACCAAGCACCCGAAGTTGCCAGACCGGAGAAAAATCTTCCCATCATCTTTTTGGAAAAGAAAAATTTGCAATTATATTGAAAAATGAAATCCAATTCGAATTGAATTTAAATTTAAATTTTAAAACTAATTTAAACTAAAACTCAATTTAAATTTAAACTAAATTTAAATTGAAATTTAAATTTAAACTAAATTTAAATTACTATTTAAACTAAAACTAAATTTAAATTACAATTTAAACTAAAACTAAATTTAAATTAAAATTAAAACTGAATTTAAATTAAAATTAAAACTAAATTCAAATGTTATTTAAATTTAAATAAAAAATAAAAATTTAAATTTAGATTTAAACTAAATTAAAAATTACTTTAAATAATTTTTTGCGAACTAATTAAAAATGAAATTATTAAAAATTACACGAATAAAAAAATAATTTTTACCCGATAGTCTAAACCTTCGGAACAATTGAATACCACACATTGAATGGCTAAAGCTTTGGCAAGATCTTTTGTCGTCTCGGTTTTTCCGGTTCCAGCCGGACCTGCAGGTGCTCCACCTAATTTTAAAATTATGAATTCTCGTATTAATTATTATCCAATAAAGTCCATAATTAATAATTAATAATTTTAATCTAATTTAATATACAAATTATTCCAAAAACATTTTTTCTTTGTAGAAATTTACAAAATTATTCAAAAAAATAATTTTTGAAATAATTTTTGCTTTGTAGAAATTTACAAATAATTTACAAATTATTCAAAAAAATAATTTTAGAACTAATTTTTGCTTTGTAGAAAATATTTAATTACCTAAATTTAATTGAAGTGCTCCCATTAGACACAAATAGCATTTATCAGTTAAGGGAGTGATCACCAGTCTTCTCTGAGCTCCAAGATATTCATAACCATAGCGATATTCCGCATTACTCATTCTCGCCAGACAACTGTCGATTTCTTCGTCCCAGTAATAGCGCAAATTCTTCATCCAATCGAAACTTGAACTAAAATGAAAATATTTCAGAAAGAAATGAAAAAACTGACAGAGAGAATTTGAATTTTTTTTCTCTAATACAGTTTTTTAAGAAAAATATTTACCTGGATTGAATTTTATTCTCCACTAGGACTGAAATAATATCTCTCGCGTGGACATCGACTGTTATGAGATTGATAATAACTTCGCGAATTAATTTCGGTAATTCTCCTCTCACAAGGCCAGCCAATTCGTTTAAATCCTATAAAGAAAAAAATAATTCCATTAAAAGAAGGCAAAAATAATTTTTCTTTATAAATAAATTATCAAATTTTTCTAACATTTCTAAATTATTTTTTAAATAATTTTCGATTTAATTTCGAAGTGACAATTTCGATACTAAAAATAAATTTCGAATTAGATAAATTTCTAAATAAATAAATTTACAATTATTTTTAGTCGAACTCTATTTTGAAGAATAAAATTCCTTTGATTGAAAAGGAAAAACTTACTGCGAAGCATTTATTTTCGAAAGTTTTCATCGCATTCAAGTCGCCAGAGTCCAAAATAGCGTGAACGTCTCGAGCCCAGAATATTTGTGAAACTGTCAGGACATTCTATTCAACAATTAATAAATAATTTAATTACCTTTGTATTAATTGATTTTCAGCAAATTTTCTCTTATTACTTTAAACCAAAAAAAATTTACTTTCTGCAAATTTAAGAATTCAACTGAGAAATAAATAAAAATAGAAAAAATAAAATTGAATTAAGAAATAAATAAAAATAAATGAAATAAAATTAATTAGAAAATAATTATAAATAAGTAAAATCAATTGAGAAATAAATAAAATGAAATAATTGTAAACAGAATAAAATCAACTGAGAAATAGGTGAAAATAAGTAAAATAAAGTCAACTAAAAAATAGGATAAAAATAAATGAAAATAAAATTGAGAAATTTTCTAAGACACCGAGAGAATACCTGAGACGGAAAAGATTCGATAAATATTCGTCTTCCTTTCTCCTCGAGATAAATGATTCCTTTCTTCATTTCCCTCTTGAGTGCCGCGAACATAGCTTGCTCCACATTTCCAAGCCAATCCTCCACATTTCCTCTGGCTTTTAATCCTTTCTGTAAAATTACTCTCTCGCCTTCCGGTGATAACATTGCTACAATATCCGTCGTAAGAACAATATTTTTTCTATTTTCTTCGCCATCCTGATTTGCAATGGCAAACTTCAAACGATAAATTGCATCGAAACACTTTTGTAAATGTCTCTGTACAGCGTGTGGATTTCTCGTCTACAAAAAACAATTGTATTAAAAAAATTATATTTAAAAAATTGTATTAAAAAAATTATTTTCCTAAAAAATAATACATTTTTGTGTTAACAATTTTTTTTAAGCAAAAATCAATAAATTTTTGTATTAAAAAAAGTTTTTTTTTAGCAAAAAACAATACATTTTTGTATTAAAAATAATTTTTAGCAAAAAAGAATAAATTGTCGTATATTAAACAAATTTTTTTAGTAAAAAACACTAAATTTTTGTATAAAAACAATTTTCTTTTGTAACAATTAAAGAATAAATTTTTGTATTAAACAAATTTTCTGGTAAATAAAAAATTTTTAATGTAAAAAGAAGATAAAAATTATATTAATTATTTACAGTATCTAATTTTAATTGTGTAAATATTAAAATGTTTTTAATTAAATAATTACAAAACCTTAAGTTTCCATTTCAGGCTGCAGTAATAATAACACATTAATTAATAATAGTAATGAAAATAATAATAATAACTGAGTGCATACTTGTGCCAAAATTTCCAAGAGTTCGTCGTTGGAGAGAAAGAAAAATCTCGGAAAAGCGATTCGCTTTGTTTCGAGATAAGCTTCTAGGCATTTAAGAATTTGGTCTAAATTGTTATTATTTTCCATGAAACGTTCCAATAATCCTGGCTGAATGCAAAATTCCATGGCTAAAGGCACCTGAAAAATTTAGAAATATTATTCAAGTTACGAAAGTCTTTTCAGTAAATTAATTAATTGCATTATTATTATTTTATATTAATTAATTTCCTTCTACTTATTAGAATTCCATTGAAAAATTATTTTATTAAAAATAATAATTAGTTTGAATTAATTTGAATTAATACAAAAATTATTTTATTACAAATAACAGTTCATTTGCATTAATTTGAAAATTACTTTATTAAAAATAATAATTAATTTGAATTAATTTAAAAATTATTTTTTTGAAAATAATAATTCATTTAAATTAAATTGAATTCATTTTTGAAATTATTTTATTAAAAATATTTAATTCATTGGAATTATTTTCAAAATTATTTCAATTATTTAGAATTATTTTAATTTTAATTGAATTTAAGTAATTTTCTAAAATAACCTTTGCTACTTTTCTCATAATTTCCTTCCAGGATCGATCAACTGTTGCAAAAAGTTTCGCCTCTATTGGAAGTTGTCGTTTAATATCAGGAGCAGAAAAAATTGCCTCCAAGTACATCCACTGTTGTTGACAATACTGCCAAGCTTCCTAAAAAAAATAAAACAGAATCAATTTAATTGTAAAGAAAAAATTTTCAATTTTCAAAAAATAAAAAATTTAAATTTAGTTTAAATCTCAAATAATATAATAAAATATTCTGTACATTTTTTTTTTAGATTATAAAAAATTCAAGTTTTCTTTCGATTTCTTTTCAATTCAATACAAAATCGAATTGAATCGAATTGATTTGAAATTGAAAAATTGGATAAAAAGAACTGAATGAATAAAAATTGAATAAAAAAAAATTAAATCATTTAGAAATTTGCTAAATTGTATAAAAAAATGAAAAATTGAATTAAAAAAATTAAAAGAAAGAAAATTGACAAATTAAATGAAAAAAATTGAAAAATTGAACTGAAATTGAATAAAAAAATTTGACAAATTAAATAAAAAACAATTAAAAAATTAAATATAAAAAACTGAATGAAATAAAAATAAATTGAAATTAAAAAATGAAATAAAAAAAAAATTGAATGTAAAAATTGAATAATTGAATAAATAAAAATTGAATGAAAAAAATTGAAAAATAAAATAAGTTAAATTAAAAAAAACTTGAATTACCAATTATCGAAATTAAAAATTCTCTTAGTGAAAAAAAACCCAAAAAAATTCGCACCAAAGTTCGGGAGACAAGATCCAGTTGCATAATCCAATCATCAACTTGCGATTTTATAGAAGCAACGTGTCGCGAAGCGGCAATTGTTTGTATATTAATATTACTATCGTCGAGAGCCAATTGAATTTCCTCAATTGATCCAAGATAATTGACATCCTTAATTTCCTTATAGGGTAAAACAATAAATTCCAATGTTCTCCATGTGTCTTCAACTTTTTTCAACATCACTTCCAATGCAGCCTCTGAACTTGCACACGACGCAATTTCCAATAGTTCATTTGGATAATTAAAAATTCCAAGACTCTCGATTAATGCCAAATTCAATGATTCATCGAATTTGAATTTAAAATTCAATAAATCTTCAATTTTCATCCAATGGCGTGATTGTAGATTTGGATTTCTCAAGTGGCCAATAATTGAGAGTTTCTCCTTAAATAATTCGACTTTTTCTTTAAAATTTGGCAAGACATTATTCACGGGCAATCCTTTTTCGAATTGAATGATATTTTTTAAATTTCTAGTTGTGAAATTTGTTATTTCCTCGACGTTTAATTTATTGAAGTTGATTTGGTACCAGTCTTCTAGGGTTTTCGTCCAATTTATCACACTTTCCCAGAGGAGAATTCGTAGTTTCACTTCGTTTGTTGCGTGGTCCAAAAAATCGAATTTTGTCATTTCCACCTAAATTTGTGTCGTAATTTTAATAAATATAATTTCAATTTGAATTAAAATTTCATTAAAATTGAATTTTCTTTTGAATTAAATTTTGGTTTCGAAATTATTAAACGAAAGGGCGAAACTAAAAATATTTTTTTAATTTTTACCTTAAATCCTTTTTGGTGATTTCGATATTCAGCAGCTAATTCTGCACATTCTGTTAAACGTTGAGAGAGATCGTTGAGAGTTTCAAGGCAACCTTCCACATTACTGTCAGCGTCCAACAACCACGATTGCTGAAATTTAAAAAATTTGAATTTTTTTTAAACTTTATTTGATTTTTAATTTATAATCAAAATTGTTCAAATCACGCCGAGAATTTGTAATATTTAAATAAAAATACGCACAGTTGCTTCATCGTTGATATCTGTAATTTTATTAATAACAACATCGATGTCCTTTTGTATTTGAACATTAAATTTGCCTATCAATTTTTCTCGATGCTCCAATTTTTTATTAACGGCTGAGCACAAAACTTTGAATTGATCACTTATTCCCTGGAGAAATTTTATTGTAATTAATGTTTAATTAAAATTATTAATTTACATAAAATATTAATTAATTTACATAAAAAAGTATTTAATTTAAATAGAATTAGAATGAATTGGAATTAATATTAAAGTCAAATATTTAAGTTAATTAAAGATTATTTAATTAAATAGAAATAATTTTGCCTCGAACGGAATTAAATTAAGAAAAAAAATATTTTACTGAATAATTAACAGCGTCCATTGCAGGAACAGGAATTTGATATTCTTCCATAATATCGTAAATTTCCTTTACGTATTCCAATTCCACTTCCATTCGATTCACATTATTTTGCGCTTGATCGACAAAATTAATATAAGCGACGAAATCATCAGTTGTCACTGGATTTGTGTCCAAATAATTAATGGCTTCATCAGCTTCATTCAGAAGCGCGTCGACTCTCTTTTTACCCAAACTGAAAATTCGAAAAAAAATTAGAACTAAAATTCAGAACTAAAATAAAATAAATAAATAAAATTTACAGTTTACTTAAATTAATTTCGTCATTTCTAATTAAATTAGAGATTTTCTTAAATTTTCAAACATTCAACTAAACGAAATATTTTTTCTGTTTAAATATTTTTTAAAATTACAATTTAATAAAAAATTTTTTTTTTTAAATTTTAAATTAAAAATAATGTAAAATAAATATTTGTTTACTTAAAAATCAATATTTTAAATATAAAAAAACAATAAGAAAGAAAAACAATAAAAAACAATATTTTCCGAATAAAATTCAAATTAACTGAAGTAATAAAAATATTTTTCTTTAATTTGAACGTTCAAAATTTCAAGAGCATAATTAGAGATAAAAATTTAATTTCTTTACATTTTTAATTTTTAATATTAATTTTAATGATATTATGTAAACTAATTAAAAAAAATTTACACATATTTTTTTTTAACTCTCACCTGGGAATTACTTTTTCGATAACAATCCACTTTTGAGTGGGAGCAGGTAGAGACAAAAATTTAAATCTCCCTAATTTAATGAAAAATATCCCCGAAATTTCATCTTCCTCTACTTGGGAAATTATTTTTATTTCACTCTGATATCTTGCGCATAATTCACGAAAAATTGAACACTCCTCATTTTCTCTTATAATCACTTCATTTTCATTCATGTCCTCGTGAAAAAATTTCTCAATTTCACTAAATTTCCTTGAAAATTGTCTGACAATTTGGAAATTTTCAATTAAAATATCTTCAAATTTTCTCTTCAAATCATTCATGGGACAATCATTGTTTATTATCGTCAATATTTCCGGTGGCTTTCCCGATATTCGATTTTCAATTTTGTGATTTATCATTGGCCTGCAAAAATGGAGAATAAATAATTTTTTTTTTTTCGTTACAATTTTTAAAATGTATAAAATTTATCCTAATTAATTTTAATTTAATTAAAAATGAAATAAATCAGAAAAATAATTTATAGTTAATTTTACTTTTGTTTCGATACTTTCGAAAATATTCGAATTTACAGAATTTACAAAATAGTAAAATAGGAAAATAGGAAAATAGTAAAATAGATAAATAGTAAAATAGGAAAATAGGAAAATAGTAAAATAGGGAAATAGTAAAATAGGTAAATAGTAAAATAGTAAAAAAGTAAAAATGTAAAAAAGTAAAAAAGTAAAATAGTAAATTTGTAAAAAAATAAATTAGTGTAAAATAAAAAAAAATCGAAAAAGTTGATACCTGGTGAAAATATCGAAGAATGGATCAGATAGAAAAGGCTTTATCTCAAATAAATTTTCTTCCCACATTGATTGAATTGTTTTAATGACGTGCCAGAAAATTTCTTCAGATGGATCCAAAGCGATTCCAAATTCCAAGGAAATTACCAAGTCTACCACAAAATAGGGACACTGAAAAATATTTTCATGTTTGTAATTAAATTCTTGTTGAAATTGTATTTTATGGAAATTTTTGAAAATAATTTAATTCTCTCGTGTAATTTTATTTAAATTAGATTAAAAATAATTAAATTCCTGCAAAGAATTTTAGTATTTACAAAAATAGTTGAATTGTTTCGAAGAACTTATTAAAATTTTAGGAAATAATTGAAAATGGAAATATTTAAAAATATTTGAATTCATCCCAGGAATTCAATTAAAATTGTTTTGAAAATAAAGAATAAAGAATAAAGAATTTTACTATTTATTAAAATAGTTGAATTTATTGTTTCGAAGAATTTTACTATTTATAAAAAGTAATTGAATTTTTTCGAAGGATTTATTAAAATTTTTGAAAATACGAACAGTAATAATTAATTTTGTACTTAATAAGTGAATTTTTTAAATTTTGATTATGAAATTATTTAAAAAATTTATATTTGAAAATAAAAAATTTTGTAATTTGCATAACAATAATAAACTGAATATTACGTTCCACGGGTAATATTTGCTAATTTAATAATTAATTTTCTACATACGCGAAGTTTCTTTTTTAAAATCGATTTTGTGTCAAATTCTTCTCCTTCATCCTCGTCGTTGTCATCCGGTGAGGAATAATTTACACTTTCTTGTAGAGTGTCCAGCAAAATTTTATACGTATTGTAGAGCAAATTCTGCATCATATTCGTTTGTAGATAATCAATCAGTTGAATAAAACTAAAGAAAATATTGAAAATATTTTAGATTCAATTCAATTTTTTAACTATTTCAATTTGATTTTTTTTACAAAATTGTGAATAGGTTTATAGAGTGAAAAAATAGAAATTTTTTTTGAATAATAAAAATAAAGAATGAAATAGTAAAAATAAATGATAAAATAATAAATAAATAATAAAATAATAAACTGCTTTTTCGAGTTAAAAATTGAAAATTTACCAAGATAGTCGATAGCATTTCTCCCTTTTTCTCGCCTGCTCAATGTGACTCATTTTCAAAATGCCATCTTTTGGCATTTTAAATTTTGTCCCTGCGAAACGTCCTGATAATAAAAAATACTTTTGTCATTTTTGTTTCTTAGAATTACAATTATTCATATTTTTAAACGAGGAAAAAATAATTATTTCGTTTTGTACCTAATTGTCCAAATTCAGTTTGCTCGATAGTTATATTCGAATCGTCGGGCGTATATCCAGCTTCCAAGAGAGTTTTCAAACAGGCATCTCTCACTAATTTTGCGGTTGTCTCTCTAAAACTGTCCAATTTGCTCCTAATGTCTTCGAGTTTAGCGAACTGAAAGAAAAGAAGAAAATTTAATTAAATCCTCGAAACAAATCGCTGGCAATTTTTATTTCGATGAATAGAAAAACAGCTAACAATTTTTGTTGTGCATGAAAAAATACTTGAAAATTTTATTTTGACGAATAAAAAAAATAGTTCTCTTCCGTAAATGAAGAAATAGAATTGATAATTTTGTTTTGTGAAAGACAATTTTTTTTCATGTGAAAATATAGTTGACAGCTTTTCTTTTTGTGAATGAAAAAAATATTTAACAATTTTCTTCCATGAATGAAAAATAATATTTGACAATTTTTTTGCGAATGAAAAGAAAAAAAAATTACTTGTATTTCCGTGAAGAGAAAAAGAGGCAATTTCTCAAAAACACTCGTATCAACGAGAGAAACGTGTAAAAATTGCATACACATGGTATTAATTTCAAGAAGAGTTTCACTTAATATTGAATGTGATACAAAAAGATTTTCCATTAAATAATCCCTTGCTGCATTAAATTTTCTCCACGATATTGACTTTCTCCAAACGTAAAATGCCTTCCATTTGGAAAAAATTGTGAATGTTTTGATCTGAAAAAATAGAAAGAATTCTTTTTAATTCTATTTCTTTGCTAAAAAATTATGTGTATAATATTGAAGAAATTAAAAATAGTTTGTAAATGTTTTAATATAATTAATAATAATAAGATAATAAATTCTATTTATTTACTTTTGCGATTTTCATATAATCTTTATATTCTCTCTCCCATAATTCAATTGGAGTGAAGATCATTTCATCCGGACTGTATTTTGTCACTCCATTTGCGCTGATTGTCATAAATGTTTTGCTAATTTCTTCATAAGGCACTAGTCTGAAAGAGAAAATTTGATTTTAAAAATTTATTTTCTTGAATAAAATTAAGGAAAATAATTTTTATTTGAATAAAATTGAGAAAAATCATTTTAATTTGATTACTATTTTCGAAATTTGGAAAAATTATTTAGAAAACTAATTCATTTGAATAAAATTGAAAAGAAAATAATTTTAATTCGAATAAAATTGAAAAAAGTAATTTTTATTTGAATGAAATTTAAAAAAATGAACATTTTCATAAAATGAAAAAACTTACTTGAATGCATAAGGTGTGAAAAATTTCGAAGATCTCTCGACTGCATAAATCATATAGTAAAAATCAATTGACGAATCTGTTGTTAATTTTCGAATTAATTCCAATTGATCGGCAATTTTTGGCGGTTGAGATTTTTTGTTCTCGTCAATTTTCTGATCGTCGAGAAGCACTTTTCCTTTTGGTTTGACTTGAACTGCGAAAATATTCCCAACATTTTTTTTTCATTTCATAAAAAAAATTTCATCAATTTCTTTAATTATAAAATAATAATAATAACAATAAATTTTCTACTCACTGCTCACAGTTTTCTGCCAAGAATGTCCATTTAATGAAGAATAATCCTCATCTTTTTTCTCTCGTTCCGCTAAATGAATTGTTGATTTCATTGTTTCCTTATTTTTCACTTGATTCTAGTATTTGTACAAAAAAATATTTTTTATTTATTTAAATAAATAAATTAAACAAATTATTGTTATTAGTTGAATTAATAAAATTTGAAATATTTGAAAATTCAAATTTATTTATTCGATAATTTTTTTTGAATGAATTTCAAAAGGAAATTTTTTCAAGTGTCTAGAATAAATTTAATTTTTAATTTCTTACAAGTGGTTCAGGAAATTCTTTCTTCTCTTCTAGAGTTTCGAGAAGTTTCTTGTGAGGTTTGTGAAAGGGAATTTCATCAATTTGTCTATTAATTCGTTTATTTTAAATTTATTTATTAATATTTATTTACTTGATAATAATAATCATTGTATATTTTTATTTTTAGTTTAAAAAAAATTCTGTAGTAAAAATACAAATTTTAATAAATTTCGTTTTTTAAATTAAAAAATGGAAAATGAATTTATTAACGATTCATAAAAATATTAGATTTTAAAAACTTATTAGAAAAAACTTATAAAAAAGATAAATAGAAAATAAAGATATCAGAAGAAAAAAGAATAAATAGAAAATAAATGTTCTAATTTTTTTTACTCGGATTGATTCGTCAAATTTGTTTGAGAAAAAAATTGATCATTTTTCTCATTATTCGAATCATCTTGAATTGATTTTGTATTTTTCTTTTTACGAATTTTCAAATTATCCTCATTGTTTCCTTGATGAGGCGAAATTCTTTTGTAACTCTTTTTATTTTTATTTTCGTTCATTATTTCCTACAATTCACTTTTTCATATCGTATTTTCTCTTTTATTTTACAGTTATTTTTTTTCTCTTAACAAACAAGTTTTGAATTAAAAAGATTTTAACTTTTTTTTCAAATACACGTGTTGTATTATCAATAGACTACCGTTTCTTTGGTTATATTATTGATTAAACAAGCAAGACGAAAAATTGAAAAAACAAGAGAATTCCTTCTTGTCAAATCGAAATTAACAAATTTTTTTTAAATACATACAGCGAAAATTTAAGAAAATAATTGAATTTTAAATTTAATTACAGCGAAAATTTTTGAAAATAATTGAATTTTGAAAAGATTTCAGATTAAAATCTTTAAAAATTTGATTGCAATTAAATAAAAATTTGAATTTTTCATATTTTTAACTAAAACTTCTCTGTGAAAATAATTTTTTTTTTTTTGAGGAACTTTAATTGCGGATTTTTTTTTTGAAATTATTTACAATTTTTATTTTCTAATATATATATTTAATTGAAGAATTTACGAATAATTGAAATTTTGTAAGATTGAATTTTAAAAAACATTTAATTATTCAATGAATTATTTGTTTGCATTTTCTTTTTATTTAAATAAATTGAATTCTAGTAGAATTTTCTAAAAACAATTGATTTAAAAATTAATTTCAGTGGAAATTTTAGATTATAATTGAATATTAAAAGCAATATAGCGTGAATTTTTGAAAATAACTGAATATTGAAGTTAATTTTTTTGAAAAAGTTTAATTGAATTTTTAAAAATATTATTTTAAGTTTTTATTTTCTAAAATTTATTTAATTTATTGAAGAATTTACGAATAATTGAAATTTCGTAAAATTGTATATTGTAAATAAATGGATTTGAAAATTGTCAAAGAACTTTTTCGAAAATTATTTAAAATAATCGATTTAGAGAAGAAGTTTAGTTAAACGAATTTTTATTTCAAAGAATTTAACGAAATAGAAAAAAATTAAAACTAATTCTAATTTTTTTCCAAAAAATATTAATGAGGGTAGGGTGAAAGAAAGAAAAAACCCCTTTTTTTTAGCTACAAAAGGCACCCATTATAGTATATTTCATAAAGTAATAAAATACAACGGTAGTACAATACTGAAATAATAGTGTTATTCAAATATATAATAATATGTACAATTGACGACGAAGTTGCGATAGATTTTTAAAAAACGTAGAGTTTTCAGGAAAAAGGGGTGTTCATAGGGGGAAGAAGGGGAGGGGGGCTAATAAGATTAGCTACTTAAAAAATAACATTAATAAATATTTTTAAGAAGAATTAGAGATAAAAAATGACTATATCTGTATAATTCGAAAGGTACACTCTGTTCATTGTTTTCTTTTCTTCTTTTTTTGCTTTCTTCTTCATTTTTTTTTCTTCATTTTCAATTATGAATGACAGATAATTAATTAATAATTCGATTATGCTTCAGAAAATTCTCTTTCTCGAAAATAATCAGATTTTACTAAGTGACAAAAATTCGCAGAAAATATAAAACATTTACAATATTCGATTGCTCAGTAAAATATGTATTATTTTCGATTTTTGAGAATTCTGAGAATTTTAAGAATTTAAAAAATTTTAAGAATTGTAAAAATTGAAAAACTGTTTTCCTTTTTTGCGTCGAAAAAAAAGGAAATTGTATAGATCACATTTTTATCGAAATTAAATTTCAAGAATTTGACATTTTTTGTTTAAACGCTAATAAAAAGAATTTAGATCAAAAAAATAAATAAATAGAAAATTAAAAGTAATTTATAAAAGTCATGGTATACAGCAAGTTTTGTGTATAAATTGGGTGCATTAGACTTGGGTGTCAAAAGCTCGCTGCAACTTCTAATTCATCTACGAGACTATATGGATTTTTTTTTCTTTTTTTTTCGTTTTTTTTTCTTTGTTAAAAAGGTACTTGAAAATTAAAACATTTGACTTATTTAAAAAAAAGGGAAAATAATTATCTTCGGTCATTATCCATGAAGATATCGTTCGCAATATCTTGGCAGACCGTGGCTTTTTTTTTTTTTTTTTTTGAAAAAAATGGCTATACGCAAGCAACTTTTCTTTCTTGGAAAAAAGAGGCGATGACTTCTTTTTTTTTTTATTCCCCATCGCTATTTTCCAATTCTTTTTCACAAATTTCACTTAACTTTTTTTACTTTACTGAAATTCGTGAAAAAAATAATGCTGATTTATCGTAAGTTCTCTATTTGTGGTTGTTTTTTTTTCTAACATTTTAAGATTGTCTTTAAAAATATTTGGATTTAGAGAACATTCGAAAATATCATTGCACCCTAAAAATTCATCATCCGTATAAAAAATACATTTATGAAAAATAATTGTATGCGTGTGGAACTTTGCCTTGAGATGAGCTTTGTTTTTTTTTATTCAAGCCCTTCTAAAACGTACCCACATCGCCTTAAAATGTATAATTATAGAAAAACTAATTATTTTCGAGGGACAAATTTTTGCTTACAGGCCAAAAAAATAAGAGATAAAATTGTATTATTTAATATTTTTAGATTACGATTAAAAAAAATGTTTTCTTTTTTTGACTTGACGTAAGAATATATATTGTATAATATTTCATATTTGATATACATATATATATTCTGGAAATTATAATATATATTTATAATATATATGTATAGCAAGTGGTTGTATTATGTTATATAAACCTTTAATAATATTACATTATATTACAAGAATGGTATGTGTGCGTTGATTTTTTGTGACATTCTTGAGAATAGTCCCGATTTTTTCTTGTTTGACTAGGGACGAAAATTTATTTTTAACGCTATTATTCTCAAGAGTGTCAGTTGTTTTTTTTTCGTCAGTAAATCGGTAACCGATGTTTAAAAAGAAAAAATTTTTCTTCAAATTGTTCGATTTCGAGTATGAAAGTATTCTGGAAAATACATTCTTTTTTTTAAAAAGCTTGTGACTTACTACTTTCAATACACGAGGAACAATGAATAAGTTTCTGATTTTTCTTTTCTTTTTTGTATAATTAATATTATTTAATAAATGACTATATTTAAAAAAGTTGACCTTGTTTCTATTTTTGCTTTCTTTTTTTCAGGCTGATTAAACATTACTTTCAAATAGTACCTGATAATGAGAAACGTGGTCTTTTTCTAAATTCGCTTGTTCTCAGAGATTAATGGACATGTCTTGATCGTAGGGAGTGAGATTGGCGTCGGACGATGAAGGTGAGGTAACTGGCGTCGAGGTTGAACTGATGGGCGATTGAAGTGGAGTTGAACTTGATGGCATTTGTGATGTTGGACTCTCGAGTGTTGAATTCCAGTGGCTTCTGTCCGTTCCATCGCCACCGTCGTCCGAGACAATTGAAATGTCCGCGATTATTCCACTTTCTGTAATTTAATTTTCAATTATTTATTTAATTTCAATTATTTTTTATTTTAATTATTTAATTTTGGATAATTTAAATATTAGTTAATTTTAATATTTGATTTTCTTTTGTTGAAGAATTGTTTATTAATGATTATTTTTTAAAAATTGATGACTTACCGACACTACATTGACTATTAAGGGTAGTGCTTCGGTGATGAGGTCTGGGACTCGCGTCGAGACCGAGATTGAGAGTATTTGGTGGACCACTGCTGCCTCCGCTGCTAGATGACGAGCTCACTGATATTACACTGTGAGGTCGTCGACTGTAACGACCGGAATCATCCGACATCGATATTGCAATCGAATTCCTGAACCTTGGAGCTGAAGCGAGAAAATTTATTCAATTAATTAACAATTGAAATTAAATTAAATATTGATCAAAATTTATTAAATTAACGAAACGATTGAAAATTAAATTAACCAGCGCGCGAAACGCGTTATTACATTTATTATTATTTTGTAAATTAAAAAATTGTATATTTACAAGAATAAACATAAATTTTTGAATGATTAGGCAGATTTAAAATTTAAAGAATTTACTTTTAAGTACATAATATTAATATTAAAAATTTTTAATAAAATTTGTCGCAAGAATTTAATTATTCTCATAAATAATAAAATTCTTTAAAGCAATTCAATTATTTGAAAACAATTTTAATAAAATTTCTCGAAAGAATACAATTCATTTCAAAAAATATTAATTAAACTCGATTATATTCAAGAATTTTAAAATAAATTCAGTTATTTTCAACAATTTTTTATGAAATTCTTTTATTTTTAAAATTTATCAATAAAATTCCTTTAAAAAATTCAATTATTTTCAAAAATTCTGATTAAATTCTTCGGAAAAATTCAATTATTTTTATGAATTGTAAAATTCTTGGCATGAATTCAATTATTTTTTTAAATAATAAAATTCTTCTGAGAAACTAAATTATTTTCAATACAATTTTAATTAAATTTATAGGAAAAAATTCAATTATATTCAAGATAATTTTAATAAATTTTCTCTAACAGATTCAATTATTTTTAAAAACTGAAGAAAAATGTTTCTAAACAATTCAATTTCTCAATTATTTTAAAAATTCTCAATTAAAATTATTAAAAAAAAATCCACTATTTTTAAGAAAATTGAAATAAATTCTTTAAAACAAATTCAATTATTTTAAAGAACTTTTAATAAAAATCTTGACAAGAATTTTCAATACAATTTTAATTGCATTTTCTCTAAAGAATTCAATTATTGAAAAAAATGTTGATAAAATTCTTGAAATGAATTCAATTATATTCAAATTTTTCTATAAATACTTCACAGAAATGCAATGATTTTCAGTACCTTAATTTAAAAATTTTAAACATTTAAGAAGAAAAATTATTTGAAAAATTAGGAAACAAAATCAAACGAATTGAATTAACGTTTGAAAATTAAAAAACAAATTAACGATTGAGAAATTAAGTATTAATTTTCGGCAAATAATTAAATAGCAACGAATTGTAATAATTAAATGACAGCTAATTGCGATAATGGAGTTTAAATTACAAAAATCGAATGTAAATTAAAAGTGAAATTCTTACTTTTCGATAACTGAGCGACGCTGATTGATCGATCATTAATTTGATCAGCGCTAGGTCGAATATCCAAACAGGGTTTGTTTCCTATTCCCATACTTGACATTTCCGCCAGGCGCACTTCTGCAAAATTTTTAATTTGACAAATTAGTTAAAAAAAATTCACAAAATTGTATTTTTATATTCTATGATTTTATAACCCTTAAATAATTTTTTTTATCCATAAAAGAATTAATGTTTTAGTTTTCTTCTAAATTTTCTTTCAGTCTTTTTAATTTTCGTTTTAATTTTCTTTCTAGATTTTGTAATTAAAATTTCACCTCTGTTTCGAAGCGCCTGCTTCCAGAGAAGTTTACTAAGTTCCTCGGTCCACGCCTTCTTGATATCCTCACTGGCACATTGCAACGTGTACGTATCACCGGGTTTTCTCTTTCTGAACCAAATTTCAAATTTCGTCGGCGAATCAGCAATAACCGCTGTCAATCCAATGTCCGTCGTTTTGATACTGTGCTTATAAATATAAATATCGAGATTCTGAAAGAAAGAAAGAGCAAAATAATTATTAATTATTTTCCATTATACGAGTCTTTATTATTTTTTTTCTCCGATTTGAATTTTTTTTCTCACCTTTCGATCGGGAAAACGTCTGGCTTTACTAAATAAAATTAAATCCTCGAAGAGGAACACTTGTCGCAGGCATTTTTTACCCTTGCCCTGCCAAACCAGGAATTCATTTTGCCTCAGCAATCTCCCCTGTTCCTTTACATTCACCTAGGAAGACAAAAATCGATATTTTAATTTTAATCAACTTTTTGTAACGATATTTTTTTTTCTGACAATAACTTTCGTTATTATAATAACGAATAAGTAAATAGAGTAAATAAAAATACAGAAAAGAAAAAAAGGTAAAAAGAAATAAAAAATAAAAAGTAAAAGTAAAAAATAAGAATAAATAAGGATAAAAATAAAAGTGAAAAAATAACATTAAAAAAGTGTAAAAGCGAAAGCAAACAACAAAATGAAAGAGTTAAAGTAAGATACAAGATAAAAACGATAAATAAATAAATAAATAAATAAAATAGATAAAATAGAATGAATTGCAGAGAAATATGATAAATAAAGTTGCGCAACTTACGTCGCAATCTCGAAGTGAATCCATTGCAAGAAGATCATTTCCATGTCGAAGTTGAAATCGCACCATTTGTTCGGCTGCTCTTAAATCGGCTTCACCTTCAACCATTGGTTTTGCCTCATCACTGTCGTCTTTTTCATCCTTATCACCATTGATTATCTGATCCGATAGATCAGTACCGGCTTTCACCAATTGCTGAAGAAGCAATGCATATTTTCCCATTCTTTGCACTGGTTTCAAAAGATAACTTGCGAGATCCATTTTATCACCGAGCTCCATTTGTTTTGCTTTAAAAAAATTACTTCCATATTCCGCCATAAGGGAATCTGAATTCGGCTTATTTTTATTGTACAAGGCGTATAGGTAAAACTTCTTTTCCTGAAAAAAAAACAAAATTTTTGAATTTAATTTATATTAAAATATTAATAAATAAAAAATAAATATTGAAAACAAATTTCTTTAATTATAATTAAAAATTTAATAGGAATAGAATTGATCTCTCTTTGATTTAATTATTTCTTTAGTTTTTAAAAATTTAATAGAATATAATTTATATTTCTTAGATTTAATTATTTCTTCAGTTTTGATTTTTCTTTTAATTTTTAATTACGATTTTTCACAGTTTTTCTACTTTTTGAATTTTATTAATTTTAGTTCTTTTTTGTCTTTCATTTTTTTTCCCCTATTTTTCGGAAACATTTTTTCCTGATTGTTGGTGTATTAATTATTTTTTCTGCTAATCTTCATTTGTCATAATCGGCAAGTTACATAAATTTCATTTTTTCCGAGTCTGACGTACGCGATCTATTTTCAGAACATCAATGCAGTTAAGAAATATGCAATTTATGCAATTTGACGTATTATTAAAATATTGCAGATTAGAAAAATAATTGTTTGTGCGATTCGTTTATTATTTAAGTATTTTCGATTATGAAAATAAATTAAACTGGGAAATTTAATTTTTAAATTATAAAATTCAAATATTAATTTTAAAATTCAATTTCAAAATTTTTATCATTTAAAATCAATTTTTAAGATTTGTATTCAAATTCTAAAGTTAAAAATTGATTTTTTTATTTTTCCATTCAATTTCTGATTTGAAATTCAATTTTGTTAATTTTGCTTTTAATTCTTGAATTTAGAAATTCAATTTTTAATTTTTCCATTCAATTTCTGATTTAAATTCAATTTTTTAATTTAGAAATTGAATTTTTGAATTTAGAAATTGAATTTTTTATAACTTTCAATTTTTGAATTTAGAAATTGAATTTTTCATTTATTTTCAGATTTGAAATTCAATTTTTCAATTTAACTTTCGATTTTTAAATAAAAAAATTGATTTTTGAATCTAATAGTTGATTTTTTAATTTTTCCATTCAACTTCTGATTTAAAATTGAATTTTTTTATTTTACTTTCAATTTTCGAGTTTAGAAATTGAATTATATATTTTTCCAATTAATTTCTGATTTAAATTCAATTTTTGAATTTAGAAATTGAATTTTTAATTTTTCCATTCAATTTCTGATTCAGAATTCTATTTTCTAATTTTACTTTCAATTTTTGAATTTAAAAATTGATTTTTTATAATTTTTCTATTCAATTTCTTAATTTTACTTTCAATTTTTGAATTTAGAAATTGAATTATATATTTTTCCAATTAATTTCTTATTTAAATTCAATTTTTGAATTTTACTTTCAATTTTTAAATGTAGAAATTGAATTTTTTATTTGAAATTCAATTTCTGATTTGCAATTCATTTTTTTAATTTAAGTTTCAATTTTTGAATTTAAAAATTGATTTTTTTTATAATTTTTCCATTCAATTTCTTAATTTTACTTTCAATTTTTGAAAAAAAAATTGTTTTTTTAATTTTTCCATTAAATTTCTGATTTGAAATTGAATTTTTTAATTTTACTTTCAATTTTTTATTTTTTCATTCAATTTCTGCTTTGAAATTGAATTTTTTAATTTTACTTTTAATTTTTTAATTTGGAAATTGAATTTTTTATTCTTTCATTCAATTTCTGATTTGAAATTCAATTTCTTAATTTTACTTTCAATTTTTGAATTTAAAAATTATTTAATTGATTTTTTTAATTTTCTTTCAATTTTTTAATTTAGAAATTAAATTTTTTATTCTTTCATTCAATTTCTGATTTAAAATTCAATTTTTGAATTTTACTTTCAATTTCTGAATTTAGAAATTTAATATTTCAATTTTTCTACTAAGAAATAAGTCTACTGAAATAATTCCAAAATTAGAATTAAAAAAATACAAAAATTTTGAAGCAAAAATACCAAGATTTAAATTCAAAAAGTAACAAAATTTGAAATTGAAAATTGAAAATTTCAGTTTAAAATGCAAAATAAATTATTCTTTTTGAAAATTAAATAGAAGAAAATTTATCAATGAAAACTCACATGTCGGAGGAAGCATTGACCAACCATCATCGGTGATTGTTCACATTGTTCCAATTCGCGCAGAAAATGTTGACTATGAAACTCATAGATTTTCTCCACATTACCGAAAATAACATTTCTTTGGCCTCTCAACGATTGTGGAATGTCCTCACGCACCAATTCCGGTATGTAATTCTAAAATAAATACACATTCTATTTGTACTTCTTCTAACTTTGTTTACCAAATTTTATAATTAATTATAGAAAAGATAAAAAATTTTTATTTACAGTTTCTTGCAAAAGTAGGTAATAAAAATATTAAAAGTTAAATTAATAATGAATTTAATATAAAATTTGTTGAAAACTATAAATGTCGTAATTTTTAAATTAAAATCTCTATTATTTTTAATTTCAGTAATAAATGTCGTTATACTTTTTTAAATTAAATTTTCAATTAAATTATTAATCGATTTGATATAAAATTTGTTGAAAATTATAAATGTCGTTCAAAATTTTTATTTTACATTTTTTCGAAAACTAAAATTATTTGTAAACAGTAGAGAATATTTTTAATACGTTAAAATCTTTTGTTATCTACTTTTTATGCGCTGACAATATTTTTTTAATATGAAATTCTTTTCTCTACATTAAATTTTCTTTTTTGTACCTTAAATTTTTTTATACATTAAAATGTACTTTTTACGCATTAAATTTTCTTTTTTAAACATTAAAATTTCTTTTTACATATTGAAACTTATTTTACACGTTAAAACTTTTTTTACACGTTAAAACTTTTTTTATACGTTAAAAAATTACATTAATGATCCACTAAAAGAAAATAAAAAACACGAAACCAATAATACTAAAAAGAGAAGAATTAACTTTTAAAGACTGTCAATTACCTCTATTATGTATTCAAGGGACTTGACGTAGTCGCGTTCAGTCTGTATCATTTCCCTCATTATGAGCAGTATTGTTCTGCAAGAAGAAACATTTCATTATAATAGAGAAGCGCGGCGACAATTATATAACGGTCCGAGAGAATCTTAATTTACTTTAATTCTCCATTATAGAGAACAAAAAAAAAAAATTCCTAAAGATTCTAATAACGGAAATTAAAGTTTAAAACAAAAATTTCTCTCTCGTCCTTTGTTTCTTCGATTTCTCTCTTACTTTTTAGCCTTCATTCCTGGAGCGATGCTGGGAGCACGATGAAGATGTGAATTTACTGGAGGCTTCACCAATCTTCTTGGTGCTGGACTTCGTGGCGGTGTTCTCGGTGGTGAACAATCCAAAAGTTGCTCGGCACTCTCACGAAGTTCCGCAATATTATCTAGAACTGGTCGTCCACCACTTCCGGAACCAATGCTCTCCATTGGTCCAGCGTATGATGCTCCACTGTCACTGTCGTCCCATGAAGTGCCTGCAAAATTATTTTCATTGTTAAAATTACATTTCAGCGTTAATAATAAACGGAAATTTATTAAATTAATTTATCATTTTTATTAATTAAACACTAAATTTATTATACTAAACTTAATTAATTAATTAAACTTATTAATTAATCAACTAAATTTTCTTAATTAACTAAACACATTTTACTTAAGTTGTTATACTTGAAACTAAAATTTCTAATTTTCAAATATAAACTTCAATTTTTGAATAATTTTAGATTCATAATTTAAAAAATTCACTTATTAGTTACATAATTAATTAGGTATTAATGTTTATTATTTTTAAAAATTCAAATAAAATTCTTCGCAAGAATTCAATTATTTTCATCAATAAAAAAAATTCTTCCGAAGAATTCAATTATTTTTATAAACAGCAAAATTCTTCGCAGGAATTGAATGATTTCAATTATTTTCAAAAATTGTAATACAATTTTAAAATCCAATAATCAAATTTTAAATTATAATTATTATTTCTCTTATTATCTTCGAAAATTTTTCAAATATTCAATTATTTTTAATAGAATATAGAATGTTAGAAAATTTCAATCACTTAAAAAATGTCTAATTATTTGCATATATAAGAATTCAATTATCTTTAAAAAGTGGAATTTAAAATTATATTTAAAATAATTGAATTCTTTTAATGAATTTTATAACAATTTTTGAAAATTATAAATTATAATTGAATATTTTAGGTGATTTTTATCACAATTCTTTAAAAATAATTGGATTTTTTTGAATATATTTATTAAAAATGAAAAAAAGTAACAGAATTAAAAAAAATAGTTGAATTTTTTTGTTGAGAAGTTTTATTAAAATTGTATTAAAAATAATTGAACTCCCGCAATGAATTTTTTTATTTATGAAAATAATCTAAAAATTTATTTATGAAAATAAATTTAAAAAGAATTTTAAATCCATTTTCTGAAAATAATTGAATTCATTTGAAGAATTTTATTAAATATTTTGAAATAATTAAATTCTTTTTGGGAATTTTAATAAAATTGTTATTAAAATAATTTAATTTTTATAAAGAATTTGATTACAATTTTTGGAAAATAATTGAATTCTTAAAGAATTTTATTCAAACTTTTAAAAAAATAATACATTTCTTGCGAGAAATTTTATGAAAACTGTATTAAAATTAAAAATAATTGAATTTTTCTCAAAGAAATTTGTTAATTAAAAAAATTGAATTCTTGCCAAGAATTTTATTTAAATTGTCAAAAATAATTGAATTCCTGCAAAAGAATTTTATTATTTTGAAAAAAATTGAATTCTCGAAGAATTTTATTAGAATTTTTTAGAATAATTGAATTCCTTCGAGAAATTTTGTTGAAATTGTTTTGAAAATAATTGAATTTTTAACACATTTGTGTTACTTATAAAAAATAATTGAATTTTTTTCAAGAATTTTATTAAAATATTCAAAAATAATTAAATTCTTTGGATGAATTTTATTCAAACTTTAACAAAAATAATTCAATTCCTGCCAAAAATTTTATTAAAACTTTATTGAAAATAATTGAATTTCTTTCAAAGAAATCTATTATTTAAAAAAAAATGAATTCTGGACAAGAATTTCATAAAAATCTTCAAAAAAAAAATTGAATTGTTTAGAATATTGCTAAAACTTTTGATAATTAAAATTAAAATATTTCTAGGAATATTATTAAAATTGTATTAAAAATAATTAAATTTCTGCAAATAATTTTATTATTTATGAAAATTATTCAATTCTCGAAGAGTTTTTTTTAGAATTTTTTAGAACAAATGAATTCTTTCGAGAAATTTTGTTGAAATTATTTTGAAAATAATTGAATTTTCTTCAAAAGAAATTTGTTACTTACGAAAAATAATTGAATTTTTCTCAAAGATTTTTATTAAAATATTCGAAAATAATTAAATTCTTTGGATGAATTTTATTCAAACTTTAAAAAAAAAAATTCAATTCCTGCGAAAAATTTTATTTTAATTTTATTTAACTTTATTGAAATTAATAAAATTTATTTCAAAGAAATCTATTATTAAAGAAATTAATTCTTGACAAGAATTTCATAAAAATCTCCAAAAAAAAATTGAATTGTTTAGAAGAATATTGTTAAAACTTTTGATAAATTAAAATTAAAATATTTCTAGGAATATAATTAAAATTGTATTGAAAATAATTAAATTTCTGCGAAGAATTTTATTATTTATGAAAATAAATTGAACTCTGGACGAATTTTATTAAAATCTTTTAAAAATTAATTTAATTCTTTCGAGAAATTGTGTTGAAGTTGCATTGAAAATAATTGTCTTGAAACAAAATTTATTATTTATGAAAAATAATTGAATTTTTCTTAAAGAAATTTATTAATTAAAAAAATTGAATTCTTGCCAAGAAATTTATTATTTAAAGAAAAAATGGAATTCTCGAAGAGTTTTATTTGAATTTTTTTTTTAAGAATAATTGAATTATTTCGAGAAATTTTACTAAAATTGTATATTTTCTTGAAAATAATTTAATTCTTGCGAAGAATTTTATTAATATTTTTGACAATAATCAATATAATTAAATTATTTCGAAAAATTTTTAGTAAAATTTTAGAAAATAGAATATAATAATTATTAATTAGTTAATAAGTATGTTAATTAATTAAATAGTAAATTTAATGACTAATTAATTAATTAAATAGTAAATTTAATGACTAATTAATTAATTAAATGGTAAACTAAATGGCTAATTAATTAAACTGTAAATTCTAATAATTATTTAATTAATTAGACATTGTACGTACTATTTAATTAATTATTAAATTTAATGACTATTTAATTAATTAAATACTGGATTTAACGGCTAATTAATGAAATAGTAAATTAATCGCTCGATGAATGGAAATTACGTTTATTTAGAGAATCATCCCAGGAGTTGGCCGAGTCGGACGCGCCATAGGATCGTCTTCGGGCAGGACTTCCGGGCGCGGAACACGCCCTGGTGAATTCGAGTGCCTCGTTGCATTTGCTCTTTGCAATGCGACATTGCTCGAGGAGTATTTCGTTGCCAAGTTTCTCCGCTAATGCCATCATTTCGGTGAAATGTTCGGGAGGTGGCGGCGGTCTTGCCATGAGGAATTGCTGTGCCCGTCGTTCTCCGGCTAATTTCGCCTCTTGGGCCCATTCGTACGCCCTGTCCTGGAGCAAACAGCATCTCGATGTATCCTCAAGATATTCCCTTCTGTCCTCCAATCTCGCGCTAAATCCACGCAAATGATGCTTCAACGATCGAGCGAGCTCGCGAAGTCCACTTGCGCTCGCTGCCTCTGCAAGGTCGCTTCCTTTATCCAAATGTCTCTGCAAAAATTACAAGAGAAAAAAGAAATTAATTTCAAAATTCATTTTCACCTTTATTCAATTATTGTGACAATTCATTTACATTTCTCGGAAAATAGAATTTTAATTAAAAACGCGATTTTGACATTTTCTTTTTCAATTATCTACTTAATTAAACTTTATTTTAGTTTTACAATTAAATTTTTTAATTTTAAAATTCAATTATTAATTTTAAATTCAATTTCTTAGATTTTAATTCCATTTTAATTCAATTTTCTAGATTATAATTCAACTTTAATTGAATTTTGTAATTTAAAAAGTAAATTATTAATTTTATAACATTCAATTATGAATTGTAAAGTTCAATTTTTGGATTTGAATTCAATTTGAATTTAATTATTAATTTGGAAATTCAATTTCCTACATTTTAATTAAATTTTAATACAATTTTCTAGATTTCAATTCAACTATAATTGAATTTTGTAACTTTAAAAGTCAGATATTAAATTTAACATTCAATTATGAATTGTAAAATTCACTTTTCCAGATTTACATTCAATTGCAATTCAATTTTTTTTTACTTTAATTCAACTTTAATTGAATATTTTAAATTTAAAATTCAATTATTAATTTTAACATTCTAATATGAATGGTAAAATTCAATTTTTCAGATTTTCATTCAATTGCAATTCAATTTTTTAGATTTTAATTCAATAATAATTAAATTTTTTAATTTAAAATTCAATTACTAATTTTAACATTCAATTATGAATTGTAAAAATCAATTTTTTAGTTTTAAATTCAATTACATTTCAATTTTTTAGACTTCAATTTAACTTTAATTAAATTTCTTGAATTTGAAATTCAATTATTAAATTTAACATTCAATTGTGAATTGTAAAGTTCAAGTTTTTAGATTTTAATTAAATTATTAATTCTATTATTAATTTTAAATTCAAATTCTTAGATTTTATTTAAATTTCTAGATTGTAATTCAACTTTAATTGAATTTTGTAATTTTAAAAGTCAGTTATTAGTTTTAAAATTCAATTATGAATTGAAAAATTCAAGTTTTTTGATTTTAATTCAATTATTAATTCAATTCGGAATTTTAAAGTCAATTTCTTAGATTTTTTTCAATTTTAATTCAAATTTCTAGATTTTAATTCAACTTTAATTGCATTTTTTCAATTCAAAATTCAATTATTAATTTTAACATTAAATTATAAATTGTAAAATTCAATTTTGCAGATTTTAATTCAATTGCAATTCGATTGTTTAAATTTTAATTAAACTTTAATTGAATTTTTTAAATTCAAAATTCAATTATTAATTTTATCATTCAATTATGAATTGAAAAATTCAAGTTTTTTGATTTTAATTCAATTATTAATTCAATTCGGAATTTTAAAGTCAATTTCTTAGATTTTATTCAATTTTAATTCATTTTTCTAGATTTTAATTCAACTTTAATTGAATTTTGTAAATTTAAATGTTAGTTATTGATTTTAACATTCAATTATGAATGGTAAAATTCAATTTTTTAGATTTTAATTCAATTGCAATTCGATTGTTTAAATTTTAATTAAACTTTAATTGAATTTTTTTAATTCAAAATTCAATTATTAATTTTAACATTCAATTATGAATTGAAAAATTCAAGTTTTTTGATTTTAATTCAATTATTAATTCAATTCGGAATTTTAAAGTCAATTTCTTAGATTTTATTCAATTTTAATTCATTTTTCTAGATTTTAATTCAACTTTAATTGAATTTTGTAAATTTAAATGTTAGTTATTGATTTTAACATTCAATTATGAATGGTAAAATTCAATTTTTTAGATTTTAATTCAATTGCAATTCGATTGTTTAAATTTTAATTAAACTTTAATTGAATTTTTTTAATTCAAAATTCAATTATTAATTTTAACATTCAATTATGAATTGAAAAATTCAAGTTTTTTGATTTTAATTCAATTATTAATTCAATTCGAAATTTTAAAGTCAATTTCTTAGATTTTATTCAATTTTAATTCATTTTTCTAGATTTTAATTCAACTTTAATTGAATTTTGTAAATTTAAATATTAGTTATTGATTTTAACATTCAATTATGAATTATAAAATTTAATGTTTTAGATTTTAATATTGCAATTCGATTGTTTAAATTTTTATTAAACTTTAATTGAATTTTTTTGAATTCAAAATTCAATTATTAATTTTAACATTAAATTATAAATTGTAAAATTCAATTTTGCAGATTTTAATTCAATTGCAATTCGATTGTTTAAATTTTAATATTAAACTTTAATTGAATTTTGTTTTATTCGAAATTCAATTATTAATTTTAAATTCAATTTCTTAGATTTTAATTCCATTTTAAATTCAATTTTCCAGATTATAATTCAACTTTAATTGAATTTTGTAATTTAAAAAGTAAATTATTAATTTTAGCATTCAATTATGAATTGTATTCAATTTTTTACATTTTTATTCAATTTTAATTAAATTTTATTAGATTGAATTATTATAGTAATTATTTATTTATAATGTTAATATTAATTTTTTTGACATTTTTTTTCCTTTTCTTCACGTTTCTTTTCTTTTCTTTTTTTTTTTATTAAAACAATAATAATTAAAAAATGTATGAATTGGAAAAAAGTGTCTCGAATTTCCCCAAAAATATCGCTTAATAGCTTCATTGAGAGGAAGAATAGTCGGCAACACGTGTCAATGAAGAAGGATCCATAAATATCCCTTTGGACTTTGTAATTGACGACGGATCATCCCTTTTAAACACGGAAGGTTACTTAAACTTCAATCAAAAAGCCCAGAGATGGAATATTATCGCCCCCTTTATTCCCACAAACTTCATTAGCCCGCCCCTTCGAAATATTTCCTGGACAAACGAAGGGAGAGTATTAATTAGACTCTTAAATGCTTTTTTCTATAAAAAAAAAGAAAAAAAAATGAATTGAGGAACAAAAAATTCGTAATGGAGCAAAAAGTCCTGCGCTATTACTTACAGTTTTAGTTTCTTAATTGTATTACTAATTGAATTAATATTTAATATATTAATAATAATAATTATACTAATTACTAACAATAATATTACGATAATAATAATTATACTAATAATAATATTACGATAATTAGCAATAATTAGTAATATTTAGTAATAATTAGTAATACAACTAAAAAACTAAAACTGTAGGTAATAGATTCTCGACTAGGTGAATGATACTTATAGTCCATCGATTCTATCTCGCTTTCGAGAGAGTTTTCATGCCCCCTAGGCGGAAATCACCAGAAACTATTGGCGCGAAATTCAAATTCAGGTAATTTACAATTAAGATTTGGGACAACAAAAGTTATTTTTATAAAAATTATTGAATTATTTTAAATTATTATTATTTTTTATTATTATTTTTATTATTATTATTATTATTATTTATTATTTTTTAAAATTATTCTCATAAAATTAACTTTTGTTGTCCCAAATATTAATTGTAAATTACAAATCTGAAGTTTTTACAGAATAGGGAAAATTAATATTACAAATCTCAATTATCATTTAAGAGGAAAAATATAAATTCATGTACCTTCGCTTTGGATTAATCTCTTATATTCGTTCAGGATACTTGTCGATTCGTTATAAGTACAAATTGTGACGAAACGAATTTTTCCGCTTGTATGATCATAAGTAGAACCACGAGTATAGAATAGGGAACATTTTGTATTATATAAAGAACTGGTTCATTTGAGGGAAAAAAAAAATCCTCGGCACGATTATCTTGCACCACCCCATAAATTAAATATATCATCTCTAATGTGACACACGCCACCAAACCATAAACTGACGCATATTAGCTACGCCCATATGGCGATTTATGTTGTGTAGAATACATTTGGGTACATGGGGGAATACATATTTTCAAAACTCTCTCACTCTTCTTAATATAATATATGGGGTTGAAAAAAATTAATGGGAAAACCTGTACAAATATTACTGTCAATATTCATTTCGACCGCAAAAGAAAATTACGAATTTAATCTGTAATCAAATTATTCCTAGACATAGAAATATTATTTATTTAATTAAGTTTATTTTTTGAAAACTAAAAAACTAATTTTTATGGAAAATAACAAAAATTGTTTTATTAATAATAAATAGTTAATTAGAGGTTTATTATGAATATAATAATTATTACTAATAGTCTAATACTACAACAGAATGTATTATTTAATTATTAATTTATTATTAATAAAATTTTTTTGAAATTTAATTATTTTTATTTTTTTCTTTAGTATATGACAATTTTTTTTATTTCTTCTGTTCTTTTTTCTTGTTCGCGCAGTGAATTTTAATGTTCACGCATTAAATGAATTATTTTTATTGTGAAAGAATAAAAATTTGCGCAGAAGAATTCCTGTAGCATCCTGTTACTTTATAAAAGATCTCATTTACATACATGAGACCTTTTCCATGCAAGATTTCTTGCGTAGGAAACTGATGAGTGGAAATGATGTACAACCATATTCATTTTACAGGAAATTATCATTTTTCTATTAAAATTCTTACGAAAGAATATATTGGCGAATTGAGGTCAAAAATGCTTAAGCGACAAATCAATTGGGAGGAAAAGAAAAATAATTTATCGACTAAAAATAAGAATTATTTAATTACAATTTTTCTTTTCTTTTTTTTTTTTGCAACATGAAAGAAGAAAAATTATTTGCAGTATTTTTGAGAAATTTAATTCTTTTTTAATTTTTTTTTCAATTATTCATTTTCTGAATTAAAAAGTTCAATACTTAATTTTCCTTTCAATTTTTAATTTACCTTTCAATTAATGAATTAAAAAATTCAATTATTTATTTTCGTTTTCAATTTTTGAACTAAAAAATTCAATTTTTCAGTTTTCCATTTAAATTTTGAGATGAAAATTCAATTATTCATTTTGTTTTCAATTTCTGAAGTAAAAAATTCGATTATTCATTTTTCCTTTCAATTTTTGAAT